CAACACTTCCTACTGCTACTACTGTTAACTGCTGTCATTGACACTCTCCACTACAGAATTCACTGTCATCCTTTTTGATTAGAGTTCTTCTGAGCACTACAGTCTGTGCGTCAGGAGCCTGCTATCACTGGGAACCTTGTCACCTCATCATTCTCAAACCTACCTTGTGCTACAATTAGCAAGGTAGTGCTTGTCCATACTCGTCCCAAAAGTCTCTATCATCTACCTTCCAACTATCCCTCCTCCTCAAAACCCACACCCATACATCTCTGGGTTTACTTCAAAGGATCATTATACATACCACCCCATAAACAACCAGAGCACCCACAATTCTAGAAGGCAAAGTCCATAAACAAATTCTGTGGAATCTGGGAGGATTGTGTGTTTGTTTGTTTTTTTGTGTGGTTTTTTAACAACAGTTCCCACCACCAACAACAGACCAGAGCCTATCAAGGCCTGGTGTGTTTATAGCGGAACAAGTCCACCCAAAACCAGGTGCAAACAAGCTACCAGTGAGGATGCAACAACGATGTGATGAATGAGATGAAAAGAAAGAAGAGCCACCCAAACCAAAATAACAATCATATTATGATGTAGTTACAGTAATTCAGGAATATTTACAGGGGGGGTAGAAGTTTGATGTAAGGCAGTGCAATTAACTCAAGATGTCTTCAATAAAGGAGAAACACACCGGAAGACCACCATCCCATTGCTTTGACAATGTGAGGAGGCACTCCTCTGAGTAGGAACTCTGTGGTTCCACCAATACGAAAGAAATAGCCTGTTAAAGGTGGGTGGTTGGATTGGCAGACAATTGGGTTGACACAATGTAGAAAGGCACATTTAGTCAGTGCAACACGTTTGAGTGGTGTTATATAACTGAAGAGGAGATCTGAGGGTTGTGCTTGTTGACTATAAAGTGGACCATAAGAGCAGAGCAGGGGTGGTGCAGTTTTTTTGACAGCTGACAAAGATATCTTCACCCAGATTCTTCTTAGTTGTAGTCCAAGGGAGGTTAAGTACATGAGAACCAACTAACAAGGATGTTGGACAGAGGGAGGAGGCTGAGGGAAAATGGGAGCAAGGGAATTTTGATTGTGAGATGGGGAGGAGTTCTCCAAGGCAGGCTTGCCCCCAAAAGGTAATGGAAGTGATTGCAGGGCATGTTGTGTTAAAAGGATTTGTGGAATCCAAGTTGCAATAGAGGAGCTGTAGCATGGAGTGTGCAACAGGAGGATAAGTGGGCTGCTTGAGATGGGCAGGAGACAATCTGTTGCAACCTTTCAGCACATATTCAAGTTGAATACCAGCATTATAGGGATGATTGTTGACAATATGCCAAGCATGGACACCTGACAACACATTGCATATGTAGTAGAAGGAGTGAATGCCAGCGTGAAAGGAGGCATATGCACAGGGGAGGAGTTGCAGAAGAGTAGAAATTTGCATACACCCTGGTCCTATTTTGTGATAGTTGTTGGTGCCCACACTTCAATAATGATGAAGTTAGACTAATTGTAAAAGGAGAGGATGTGTGGATTGGGGGGGATGAAGATGTGGAATGGTGTTTGATAGAATGGTGTGTATTTCAGAGTTGGATAGGAGACTCATGAGGGACAGAGGGAAAGGTGCAGAAAGTAGCGACAAACTGAATTTATTTTGTATTTTTCTACGGACATGGACATGGAGCTACATAAGGAACAAGATGTACAGGAATCTTAGGTGGTAAATAAAAGAGAGAGATGTTGGCAGGGGCAAGAACCCTTGAAGGGTCATCAGCAATGTTCTGCAAAGAGGGGACCCAAGTTATTGTAAACCACAGCTTGTGGTCCTGGAATAGGATGATGATGCGGCAGAGAGAGGCATTTAGGTGGGCTTTTGTGAGGAGCCTAAGGAGAAGGTGCCAACTACACCCACATTATCGGAATGCAAGATGAAGTGGTGGTTATGGAAACCGGCTGCTATGATGCAATGGAGCACAAGCTCCATTGCAATCAGCTTGGCCATCTGTGGCTCAGCCTGGACAAAGGGGCCATGCAAGATAGAAAGTTTCAAAGACAAATCTGATGCCCCAAGAAGTGGAGGCATCAAGAAATATGGGAATAGAGGAGGGGGAAGGGGGTGCAAGGATGAGCATGCCACACCAAGGCTGGGCAAGTTGATTAGACCACCGGAGAATATTGGGGAGTACGCCAGAGTGTTACTGTTACGATAACACAATTTTTGGACCTTTCCTTTATTTTCATTCTCCGCTTTAACCTTGTACTTTAGCTTTCACACATGGTGCCACGTGGCATTTCCCCTTTTGTCCAAACTCCTCTTTCTTGCGCCGCGTTGCCTTTCTTCTTATTTTAGACACAACTCTCTCACACAGTGGAGCTGGCCATGCGGGCTAGGCCCCATGACATCATCAGCCACTGTCTCTATCAACTGTATAGTACACATGTACAAACAACCCTGTAGTAGTATATATACCCCAATAGATCCAGGAGACTCCTCAGCGAGTCCTCCTGTTGTTAACCAACAAACTCACTGCAGCCTAAGGGGTAACCACTCCCATCATCTTCTTTATAGTGTGTTTCTGTGTGCGCCAGAGTAAGTCACTCTTGGTTGTTACAGTTACACATGAAGTGCTTAACAAAGTCTGAGGGTTCGTCAAGGTTTGTAAAGAGACTTATCCGAAGACAAGTTTGAGAACGTAGTTCTGAGTAGAGGTGTTCTAATGAGAGTTAGTCTTCTTCCGAGTGGGAGTCTGATCTTAGGAGTCTAGCTTTGTAAGCGTAAACTGCGTAGAATTGTATTAGAGAATACTACTACTGTTACACGTGTATTTATAAGGGAAAAAACCGGTGATAGGAGTTAGGTCCTATCTAGGGCAGGTCCGTCTGTTGAGGACTAAGTACTATACTAGGTAACGCGACTACGAGAGGAACAGAAATGTACGTGAAGGAAATGAGTCATCAGTCCAGTGGTATAACCAATGAGTAAAGAGAAATGAGTAGTCCGTAAATGTCCAATAGAAATTGTAACACAGAGAGAATGTGTTGTTGCACAGGGCAATGCGAGGGGGGTGAGAAGTGAGAGGAGAAACAATAGAGTGAGGGAAGGTGGGATCTTCCAGTCACAATTACCATGGCACAGTGATTTAGTGTACTGAAGAGAGTTTGGCACTCAAATTTAGATACAGAGTGGCCAGATTTCCAGGGAGCCAGGTGGAGGAGGTATTTAGATTTTTTGCTTTGTGGAATAGAGACAGTGTGATCAACAAGGTCCCAGGAGAAACCAATGTATGGAAAGGAGTGGAAATCTATACATTTTCAAGAAGACCAAGGCCAACTGAGCCAAGAGGCAATGGACCAGAAAATGGAGGAGTTATAAGAGAAACCCAAATTGGTGGAATACCGAAAGAAGACAAAGTTGTCCGCCTGTTATAATTGACATACCAGCACCTACTTATGCTTCACTTTTTGTACTTTTACTTTTCATTTCAGACTGATCATGCAACCAGTCACATGCTAGACATCAGACTTTGAACTTTATTTACAACTGTACAGTGCCTCATGTATTTTAGTATATATACTGGAGCAATATGTGGGGAGGGACTCAGCGAGTCCTCTTCTAGTGTCTACTAACATTAGTATGACAAGTTCCCTCTCTTAATGAGTTGTACACTCCCGTATCCTCCATTGAGTGTTGTTGTTGTTGTGCTCCAGTGCCCCAAGACTGTGTCTTGTTGGTGTTGTCACACCGTCTATTTGACAATGTTTGAAATATTGTGGTGGCGGAAAATTGTGACAATAGCATCAGCTGCATGGCCAAGGATTCCTGAAGAGCTGGCACAACCAAGGCATGCTGTGTGATCAATGTATACTTGGCCATCCCAAACAACGGTCACTGTTCTTTACAACCATTGCCATCCGGGCAGTCCTGGACCCAGGAGGGTCCAGAAGGCATTTTACAGCCACTTGTGCTTGTAATGTGTATATTACAAATCAATCTAGATATGGACATTGGACCAACATCCACCCAAAACACCTGAGACAATTGACAAATGGAAACCTGGATCCTACAGGTCCAGGAGTACAGAGATAATGGTACAGAGATTATTAAAAAAGTCTTGAGGATTAAGCACAAAAGTATACACAGAATTTCCATCAATTTTAATAGCCATACTGTAGAAGTAGAAAACAAAAACAAGTTAACTTCTCTACACCACAGGCAAGAAACCGTGGCGGCTAGTTTGATGCCACAGAGGTCATGCGCGTCAACCTAATAATCTCGGCCTGTGAGCCCGACCACCCAAAACGCCGCCTGTTGTTAAAGACAAAAGACTATGCCAGTTAGAGCTTGACAATACTGAGCTTATGACTGGTAGAGCAGACAATTTGATGTCGTGAATCAATCATCTAGTTAGGTTTTACTTTAGCTGGCTCCAGACGAGTTTATTTGGACGATGATGCATCGAAGAACTTCTAGTTCTGACCCTCAAATTCAAAGCTTCCAGGCTGCAAATTTTGAGATTATATACAGCGTGCTTTCTACGGACATAGAACGTCCTGGATTATTTAAATCGTATTGTATGTACTAAGTTGTGGGTTGGTGATGATCTATTTTTTACAAAGGTGAAATCCGGCATGCCAGCTGCACATAAGACAGACTTGTTTAGCATGGAGATTTCTACGAGCATTCATGTTGCACCCTGGCTACTTCATCATGCGAATACATAATAGCAGCTTGTGCGCTTGTTTCCCTGTTTTTTCGGTTTTGGCTGTGAGTTTGTGACGACTGTCACCCGACTGGTACACAAAATTACTGTTATTCGCTGCTCTGCGCTGGTCGCTGCGCTATAGCTTCCGGCGCCTGCACTCATCTTTGAGGTGGAGCTTTGGTGGAGCTATGTGTGTGCTGTGTAAGAGCTTATCGGGATCCTGCGCTGCGTTGTTAAAGACAAATGGGACGACTGAATTTCGTTTCAACACTAGCAATATTCCTTGTAATGCCTACTCATGTGCTACTTCTAGCTCTAAAAACTCCCTCAGACCGCTTCGTAACAGTTCCTTTGTGTATGCCCATAACACCGAAATAAATTCCATCAAATATTTAAAGAAAGCGACGGTGGTCATCCGCTGGTTCATACAAAGTTAATGGGTGGCATATAGGCGTAGAGGCATACATACTAGCAGTTGTAATTTCACTTCCATAGAGGTGCTGTCGCGATAGAACGCATACGTGGCCACGATGAGAGCAATACCTCCCAAGATATAAAACTGGAGCTCTCGAACATTTTCCTCGACATTGGCATAGATGTAGAATTTCTGTTAAGTCAAGTCATTGAAATTAGTGATTATATGACAGATCATTTTTGCGATAGACAAACTCACCCATGTGCTTGTCAATGAATCAAGCAATGACTCCCGGGCATCCGAAGCTACAATCCATAGATACATGACTAACGGGCTCGAGAACACAAGAGGTAACATACTGAGCTGTGCTTTCCATATTCTGATGTAAGTTGACTCGCTTTTTTCAGCGGCAGCGGCAGCAATGTAACCAGTGGTCCGATATTGTTTAGCCTAAACAAAGTGAACATATAGTTATCACGCACGTATAAAAATGAGAGGTACGTACACAAATAATCTGAATCAAGTCATCTACTGCCCATCAAAAAGAATCCTCCGCCAAAAATCATAAGAGTGGCGTACCTTCATGAGTGAGAGTTTGAATAAGGTCTCCCGTCTTAGTTTCCCAAAGGGGTACGTTTCCACGGGGGGCACCAGATAGGACGACTTGACCATTGTGGGTAAACGCAACTTCAAGCGGTACATTCCTAGTAGCGTCAGAAACATATTTGAAAGATTGCTTTAACTTGGATTGTCCCAGAGGGTAAAGTTCGATTGCTCCTGAAAGATTTGACAGCAATAAAGTCCGACAGTTGGGCGACAATGCTGAAAAACCGCTATTTACGGGAGGTACTCGTGCACTGTGATATAGTCACATTAAAAAGAAAGCTTACATGTAACCGTGGTCGTGTTCAGGTTCAATCTGCCAAAGGCGCGCATGACTATCGACATCCCAGCAACTGTGTTGTAATAAATCTGAATAGACTCAAATAGATGGAGATGAGATGAATAGACCTAATCACCCCATGATTTAAGTACGATACAACGAGTCGAGCTCCATATTTCAAAAAATGCAATGACCGTGGCCTGATTCGGTTGTCACTACGTTCTTCGTTGAATTTTCCCGGCTTTGGGAGAAGATTGTAAGTAGCGTATCTTTCTATAAACATGTCAGATTGATAGCATCAATGTGAGAAAGTCCATTAACCTACCGTGCGATATATCTCGAGCAATATGCACTTCAGGACCTACTCCGGCAGCGAGGGTGCCATGGGAAGCATCGAATGCGAGACAATATACCGGAGCCTCTGTACCAAAGAGGATCTTTTGACTGCCAGCCTTACTCTACAATAGAATCGGCATTTTCAGCAATACCGTCGCCATCACGAGTCGATTCAATTCGTACCTTAAAATCATTTATAAAACCTGCTACACCATCCTCACAGCCAAACACGAGCGCACCACGCCTCCTGGGATCCCAAGCTAACGAGAGCACTGGACTGTTCATCGTTACTTGGCACAAAGAAATACCTTTCATTACATCCCATATAACAAGTTTCGCATCATCCCCACCACTGGCTATGTAATTCCCCGAAGGTGAGAAAGCCATGCAATTGACGGTATCTTGATGGCCATCGGTGAGATCATGAAGGCGAAAATATGGGCTTTTAAGAGAAGTCATTGAGATATCATACACCTGACCAGGCGCGCTGTCATGCACAGTAAAACGAGTATAATGCTTAGGTAAGCTTCCATTGCGGATCCGCGGATCAGCACGAATCGCGCCCACATGCATTTCGCTGCATCAGCATTCTGCGTTTATCACGATGGATTTGAGGCGTTACGAGCTTCAATGGTCATTTACAGGCCATACTCAACCCATCAATGTGCTGAAGTTCTCCGAAGATGGAACGGAGCTTGCCAGTGGAGGTAGGCTATCTATAAGCCAATATCGATTTGAATGGGAACTGACATATTGGCCGTTCTTAGCAGATGACGGCCATATTCGAATATGGTCCCTGACAGCTGGCAAGCTTAAGCAAATTATCAAACCAAAACAAGGTCCAATCTCGTGTTTACTCTGGTTTTCATTTCCTCAGGCCCCTCGTGACTCGTACATAATGTCTGGGGGTGCAGATGGAACCATTAAGATGTGGCAGAAGTTTGAATCCGCTGACTCTGTTCGTCGATTTTCAATTTTATATATGATTATGTAGGTACTTATTACCAAAGTCTAGGTTGAGTTCGTTTTTTCCACCATGATAACTGTGTACGATGGTTGCATTGAAAGCATGTCAATGAATAACGCACAAAGTCTACTTGCTGTGGTAGGTCTGGGGCGCCTTACACTGTATGCTATGGACATAAATCAGATTGGTAAGGTCATATCATTCTCCAGCTCCGCACTCCTGACGTTGTTGTAGTACCACTCCGGGAGATTCTTTCAGAACCCCCACAAGCAGAGGCACCTCGACCAGCACTGGCGAGATGTGTTCATTTTTTTGACGAAGACCGCGCGATCATGGTTGCCTTTCTTGACTCCAAAGAAATGTCATTATATTCGTTTGGAGTATTTTGTATGTGCTGACGTTAATGGTAGTATAGCGTGGACAATTGCTCCATGGAAGAAGTGCTGGTATGTTAAATTGCATTCGCGAATGTGAGTAGTCTTTTGGGCTTGATATTCGAGTCCGCCATAGTCAAATAATTGGTTTATCTCTTCAGCGGTAATACTTCGTGGTGGCCTGCCACTAGATCTCTTCTAGTCTCGAATCTCGTCGACGGTGTCGACATATATCGTATAACCGACCGACCAACCTTTATTCGCAAGTTACCTGTACGCATCACACGTAATTATACCAAGCAAGTTCATTTTGGATGGAACGGGGCCTTGGCTGTATGTGGTAGCGATAGGGGAGAAGTCTACCTGTGGGAAGTAGAGTCTGGAACTCCACATCAAGTTCTCGTCCATGGGGGAGGTCAGTATTTTGTTCTGTTACGTCAGACTTACTGATGATCAGGTTCTCAGAAACCGAGTTAATTCAAGCTGTCTCTGTGAGTCTTTTTAATACACCGCACGACATGTTTTGTTGAAATTTTATTAATATTTTTACTTGTCATTTAATGCAGTGCTGCTCGCCTTCGAAAAAGAAACATATGCTAGCAAGCGGTTCAACGGATGCTGGCAACTGTCGTCCCTCCATCAAAGTCTGGGTAGCCTCTACTACCAGTAGTCATATTACACCTAAGGATATAAAGGTGATAGATAACTCGACTACATCGACGAGAAGAGTCCCTACCACTACCATGAATGTATGGATACGCTGTATCCTTGTTTCCGTGTTCTTCATTTTTCCTGCTGCTGTGGCGGTATTTGCCTATTGTTACTTATCCATGACAACAACTTGATTTACACCTCTATGTACATTGTAGATGGGGTGGACATAGTGACGAGGGGGCGGCCAGACATGACGGAAATCAAGGCCAATTGACGTGTTTTACCAAATATTCGGACTTGAAAGCAATTTACACTCAAAGCGGAGATCTAAGTACTGTGATGTAGAAAGATGGCATTGACTGATTCATTAAGAAACACTAGGAGCAATGCCTCACCTTCTATGTCAAATCTGCGATCTACCTGTTCTTGCGAAATCCCAGATATCTGTGACACCCTGTAGTAAGCGTTTGTGTCCTTTGTGCTTGAGCATAGTCCTCACCTTTTGTTAGATCATATTTTCTGCCGATTATGCATCGAAAAACATGTCGAACTAGACGATGCATGTCCAAACTGTGGTCACAAGCCGCTGAGCAAGAATTCCTTGAAAGTTATATATGTTACAGGGAACGAGGACACTATTGACACAAAAATGATGGAAATCGCCATGCAGTGAGTTTGTGTTTATGTTTCTCCATAACATCTACATTGGTAACAAACGTTAAACAGAGCCAGTATTGGATCCAAGTCCTCGCAGGGCGGAACTTCCCTGGAGGATCTCAAAGCGAGGCGTGCTACGCTTGAAACAGAACGAATGGGAAATACTCGTATCATTGACAACCTACAAAGTCAGCTCGAAGCCTCTCGTGTGCTGGAACAAGAAGCTCACACGCAACAAACAAATCTGGACAGGACATTACAAGAACTTCGCGTCAAGCATTCGCAGCTGCAGGAGGCTTTGGAAGGTACTAAAAACCAGGTATATTTCAATCAATATCCTACTTCAACGATCGTCTTCAGTTTTATTCTGTAGCGAGGCAGGCGAACCTGAGTTCACTCCACTGGTATATTGGACAGTATTGTAATGGTACTTTGGTGAGACCAGTCAGATAGTAAGATTTGAGCGTTCATAGTATATTTTTATGAGATGTCTGTCACGCTCGTATAATGAAAATGAGAAGTATATGTTATCCAGAATACCAGTAATTGAAGGCCTGAAGGCTTGTTGTCGAGCGTAAGTTATAAAGAACGCAGCTATGTACTATCATACTGTGACGAGAACTACCGGTACATAATATATTCAGAATACTAGATATATCTGTTCTACCTCCTACACTATAAATCTCCTTCATCATCTGAATTGTCGACTACATCATATAGGGCTTCTGTGAAATCTTCAGTGTCATCATCAGTGGTATCGACGGATTGCTGCCGCGTCTCACTATCTTCTCTCCAAAGCACCGACTCACTCATGCCTCCAGGTTCTTGAGACGCAAGTAGTATAGGACTTCTGAAAAACTGAACCGGTTGCTCAGTGACCTCTGTGCTGACTGTAAAATTTGCAAGGGTGGGCGTTGGAGAATTAGTTTCAAGTGTTTCTTGGGTGGCACCGGCTAGGTTTGATGAATCACAGGGAGTATGCTGGCTTGACAGTGGTGATAGTTTTTTAGGACTAGGAGGTATAGATTGGGGTGTTGGCGTGAGGTGGGCTGCCGATTCCATCAGCAAGGAACCATCGACACCTTGATCTGACAGTGGTGGCACAGTTTCTTGCATTGATTCGTGGCCCAGATTGGAGTCTGAGAATGGAAAGGATGTTGGATACTCGACATGAGATTGAACAGGGTCTGTTTCTGGAAAGGAAAATAAGAAAGGTGTTTTGCTAAGCTGCCTTCGCGATGTGAGTTTATGTATAGGTCTCGAGCTGGAGACCGAGGCTGGAGCCGCGAGATCACTTGGCAGTACACCAAACGAGAATTGTGCACAGTCTGCGTGTGTGGAACCAGCAGCAACACTTTGTACCGGCGGCGGCATGCCAGTATGCTGCGTGGTAAAGTTTGATGTTGCTACGGGCTGATCGGTCCCCACTCTGAAAACATAATGTTGTTCCTTCATCTCCAATTTCTTTATCTCTTCGTTGTCCAAGGAAGCCAGCCATTCTGGCTTATAGCAATTGCACGGAAGGCCGGGCGGGGCCACAGATTTTAAATTAACCATATCAGAGTGTTTCCTGTGCCTAGGTTGCTGCCCTCGAATCGCACGGTGTCCAATCCTCGGCTCGCGTCGACGTTGTATGACAGTATCGAGATTGTGCATGAATCTAGACAAGTCGTCGCTGCGCCACGCTGGAGTAATCCGGACAAAGGATTTGTGCGAGTGAACGCTAGCTTCTTCGGCATGGGGGTCGTCTTGGTCGTCGGGACCTTCTGGTTCGGATTCATCTGAGCTCACGGCCTGTGATCCCATATTTTTCATAAGGTCGATATGATGTGCCATATAGCTCTCTTGCAAGACCACTTTGAGCCGGGCATTGAATAGCTACATAGATAACGTCAGCGCAAGACATAGTACAATCAAGTCAATTGAATCATTTACCCGTGTTTTCCTAGTACTCCTCGAAGAGTTCTGTAGCTGCTGAAGTCGCTTTGAAATTGACGGATGTGTTACAAAAGCTCGGTATTCCCCTTTGACGTGCTTGAGGTGAAGGTAGAGGGAGAGCTCGATGTACTCAATTGGAAGATACTTTTCGGGGATCTGAGGATAAGAATACCAACGATCCGTCACAACAGAGTGCCGGAAATGTTTCGCAAACACGTTGATACAGTGACGGTTGAATGGTGAATTCCGAGACCTAGACAGGTCGATTCAAAACGTTTCTGGGGAAACTAGGATCCTTCCAGGGGCATGTATCTCATACAATTCATTTTCTTGGTCGGTTGGGGGGGGGTGAATGCGCCTTAGATGCGGATACCCTTCTATCTTCAGAAGATGTAAGAGATGTCTTTTGATTTTTTGCTATGAAATGGCAGAGATTAGTTAGCATGATGGGTGAGGAATCATCAAATATATGTACTCGAAAGTTAACGTGTTCCGGCTCTTTGGAGTAGGGATCGATAGGAATAGGCTTTTTTGGTGTATTCCGACGTGAACCTGAAATATGAGCTCCTGACTGGGATGTAGCAGGAAATGATGCCGACTGTCCCTGACTTGCTGCCTGTCGCTGCGCCCGTATTTCTAAGCGTAATTGTTTCATTTCTTCGGCATTCTGTTCAATCCCCGACTTCAACGTGTGTGTTACGACTGCAAAGTTCCGGGATAGCGAACCAAACATAGCGCCAAGGGCGCCACTGGCCTCATCGTGGGTGTCAGTATTGTGCGGTATGTTGCCTTGATGTGGCCATGAGCTACTAAGTGGCTGTAAATGAATATACACCGACGAATCAGCCAGTGATTCACAAGCAATAAGAGATCCTCCTACTGGTAGATTGTCTACTAATACTTTCTCCTTATCGCGTCGAGCACGCTCTTGTCCTATCTAAGGGGGGTTAAGTGGGTAATACATTAAAGATCACAAGGCCACAAATGATTCACTTACTTCTGCTAAAAGAGTATCCCATCCTTGGTTTGCTGAAGGAACATGAGCATCAGCTTGCACTGGGTGACCCTAAAAAAACGTTGATGGGAATTATGAACATCTGAATCTTGGCAGAAGTGAGAGAAAAGACATCTACCTGTTGATAGCTCAGCGGATTTGGGATTGTACTTGTACTCGGCTGAAAAGTGAAAGACGACGGCTCTACGACAGTACCTGAGAAGCTGTTTCTTTGAGTTAAGGTATTACTTGAGGTGGCGAATCTCGTGTTGGCTGGATTCTGAGTAGGCCGATGTGATGGGGGAATTAGGCTGGTAGGCAGTGTCTCCGGAAGGGGTTTCCCAGTTGATGCCTCCTCAATCAGGTGCAATGTGAGTATAATAGATTCGCAGTCGAGTGTCTCTTGCTTTTTGAGGTTGACTAAATTTCTGGATAACCAAAAAAAAGTAAGTTTTCGTTATGACAAAGCAAACTCGGTAACAAAGGATTCTTACGCGACCCGAGTCACAACAGATAACGGCACATTACTACTGAGTAGGTTCGAGATGAGAGTGTCCTTTCGTACAAGTCCAGTTTTCTCGAAATCGAGGCTCTTGAACCAGTTTTCGGCTCTCACTCTGGTAGACGGATCAATAGGCCAGGTTGAGGTATCAGAATGGTGGCTGGACTTCACATGGGACAGGGGGGCTCTTGACGTGATATACATTACGGGCGGTAAAGTTGTCGGAACCGTTTTCAAGCGACCACTCGATAATAAATTTGCCAAATGGACGGCAATGCAGAAGTCGTCGCTATCCAAAGTGTTACAATTCTGAGTGTCCGCAAGCCCACTAATGAAATCAGACCCAAGTAAGAATTGGCATTTTGAGATAAATGAAATTATATCAAACCGACCAAATTTGTAGGAGTAGTTCTGAAGATAATCTCGACTCTGACAAATATTTCCATGCCTGTCCCACTAAATGAAGTACTGTTAGCGTAAGCAACTCTATTACATAAGCGAACGTCTAACTGACTATTGATGGTACCATTTTTTGCCCCTAATTTCTCGAAGTAACCTATAAACTGCCTTTTGGCTTCTGGTTGTATAACCCACATGTTAGTATCGGCTGCTTCCAGGCTATTACCATACAAGGCGCTAGGCTGAGCTATCCTGCCGGCTCGTTCTGTTTGTTGCTGCTGAACTGGTTGAAGACTTGTGAAAGCCCCATTCACCACCGAAGCATGAGATGCGAAACGGACCCCTACCTTGTGAGAATCGTAAGTGGTAGCAAAGAAGAAAGAATCGCCATCACCTACCTGTCTTACTTGTGATGATGGATCTGATAATGAGGATGCCGCTGGTTCTTTCAACTTTCCCGTATTGTTGACGCTGACAGCGGGTGGGGCACCATACAAGATATCCTAAGGACGGTTTGAATAGATAATACACTGCAAAAGCATTAGCAAACTCACCTGCATTTGGATATGAGACGGTGTATGAGGAAGGCTAGGTCGAGAGCGATTGTCTCTTTGACCAATGGCTTGTCGCTGGTGGTTATCCTGAGGTGTCTGACTGAGCAGGGAGGTTCGTTCCATGTTAACGTCAACCGAGACGTAACTATTTTCTTGCGCCCCATGCCCTTGATGATTCCATGCTGAACACATGTAAAGAATTAGAAGTAAATATAGCGCTAGTCATCCTCTTACCAGATGTTGTTGAGTTGGCTTCTGCAGGACGACCGGTGGATGTTGACGTAGTAATGTGAAAGTCCGGCATCTAATATAAAATTAATACGCGCATTGTCTCATTGATACTGGAAGAAATCAAAAAAGCAACTCACCAGTATATCCCGATGAGTTGAAGATTGTATTTCACTAGTCATCGCAATGACTGCATTGTCGGCGGTACTTGCGGTTTGTTGAGCTGATGGCTGAGAAGGGACAGGATACATCTGGATTGGTAAAGTTTAATACAGGCCCTATAACTTCATACTTACTTGAAGCAATTCCTGCAGGGTCGAAGGAGTCGACCTTGTTTCTCCTCCTGACATAGCGGGAATCTGGGTGGCATCTTTGATAGTCTGTAGGAATACACAATAGATACACAATAGCATCAGACATGATCCCAATTATATACTAATAAGTACTTACTTGCGGTGGTGCATTGGGTGCATTGTTAGTGGAAGATTGTCCCATGCCAGTGATTTGCTTCCAGACTGTGCGAACATTATCTACGATGGATGAGGGATTCTTCGAGGAGGCCACATGTGAGAGCTATGGATTAAAAGAAAAATTGTGTTTACCTTGGGAGCCTCCACCATATCAACATCTTTGGCGATGGGCGTCTGATCCGAAGCTTCAACATCCCTTTGTCTATTTTTCGATTGACGTTCCATAGCTCGTTCTGCAAAAAGTCGAAGGATACGCGGCCTTCTGGATGGTTCTGGCGGCGGAGAGGGTGGTTCCTTATGCCAAAGGTCAGTTGTTTTATTTTGATGTAGATGTGTTATCATTCTCACCTCTTGTAGCAACGAATCTTCTTGATGTTTCCTCGATTTCAGCGCGTGGAAGCTCTGTCGCCAGTCTTCTCCAGGACCACGCTTTCCGAGAACATTAATGAGGTCATTGTGTGAGTCTGTCAAAGTGTTCGCGTTCGCCGTGGAGGATGACTCGGACGAGTTACTGTGAGATATCGGTATCGACATGAATAATGGGGAATGGGGAATAATCCAGATAGTGGTAAACTCACCACAGTTCACAGTTCTAATATATTGTGTGCTGCCTCATGGTCGATCGACGAACAAAGGATTTGGCGCTGCAAAGGATGGATATATACAGAAATCGTCTGAGTTACGAATGGTCCATTTATGGCAATTGCTAGTATGTAGAACGATAATGTTATCAATGCAGCCTGAGAGTACTCACCATCAGCATATCATTACTCTGCCACAGATCTGGGTACTACATGCATGGTATGTTACAAGCTAGATATGCTTTGCCACCCACTGCATCGATCATCACATCGATAACGCTTATTGAGGCTTGCACCTACAGACTCATGCCTTTTCTGACTTTAAATTGATGAAACACTCCGATTCATCAGCTCTCAATCACACTTTCATCTCAACCTTTGGCATGTCATAATTTCATGTCCGACACGAACAAGTCGGCTAAGCTTAGTCACTGGCAAACCCACCAGGTGCCATCAATCAGCACTCCGCAGCTGGCTGCTGCCAGTGCCAACACCGGCTGTGCACCGGCTGCACCACCCCCTTAAGACTCGCCAAACGACGCCGACGCCTTCTAGGACACTAATAGAGGTTGCACCGTATAAGTGCCATTGCGTATGTACAGCATCCATACTGATTTCATAATGCCTAGCTAGTAGCTAACTCAGCTTGATCAATGGCCTTTGTTCTGCGCACGTGCATGTATAGCAACATTTATGCCTCGACACTCTCAGTATTTTCCTCCCTTGATTAATCGTCGATTATTCAGCCCAGAAAGAAGTCCGAGTCCTGATGCTAGGGAAACCACCAATAGAACGATGTACCCGCTTCCGCGATTCAAACTAGGCGACTCAAATTCAAGTTTGGATGTAGCCGAGCATTTGCATATTCTCGATACTGTAATTTTCTGTAGTGAAGATGATGTGAACCTCCCCTGCGCACCTTTCCCGGAGAATAATATTGATGTAGAACGCCTGAGCGACAGGCCAAAGAACTCGGACCATGTAATTGTAGCCCTCACCCGTACACCTGATACAGGAGTTAGAATTGCCAATACAAGTAAGTCCACATTCCTCTCTTATTTATTTGAGAGAGGCTCACAATAGACAGACGTGAAAGCAGTAGTCTCGGATCCGCAACAAGTTGTGGGGCAGCAATCTGTTCCTCCCCTTCGATCTATACCTGCTCCGCGAGGGCCCCTTTCAAAGCCTGGATCTGGTGGATACGCACTTTTTGATGAGCTCAAATGGGACAGGTCTACATATACCAACATTCAGGTCAGTGTCCTATCCTAAGCTTTTGACTATCTCCCTCAATCTCGCTATGAACGCAGACAAGTCTGCACGAGCTCTGTCAAGAGCATTTTCAAATTACTCTACCTTATCACGAGCAAGAAGCTGACGCTCGCTTGGTTTTTCTTGCGACGGTAATGGGCTATTTTTCATTATTATCTTGGTTGACACCATTGACCCATACAGGCCCGCCGTCGCTTTCCAATGCTCGAGGCATATGTAAATACTTGGCCAGCACGAGATTTTGCGACCATGTATCTAAAGAATACCTCCTCTCAGTGGCGAAGGAAGGCCAGAATTGCATGTATATAAGAAATCGTAGGTTATCAGGTAGAACAAGAACAAAGGGTTGGTGTGATCAGAAAATGTAAACAATTGTATCATACAGAAAATAGCATATTACAACCACCCCACAACCAGCAGGGAGCCGCACTATCATTCGCGTTTCGGACGTTTCTGGGACAGGTGTTGTGAAACATAGACAACGTCGCAAATACTGAATAGAACCCACCGAAAGCAAACCAATTCTCGATGCATCGTGTTTACGCTTCCTCGTTGTAGCCTCCACTGGAAGTAGAAACCTTCAGGTTAGAGATTTTCAAGTCAGAAGATCAGAAGGAACAATGCACTGCTCACGATGGATCGACATATTCTCGGTCTGTAAGCGCGAGGAAGTATTGGAAGATTCTGCGTCTGATATCTTCTATTACATGAAGACACTGTTAATAGTGAGACAAAGCTTGAAAAATAGATAAACACACCTCAGATTCTACACGCTCTAGCGCAGCTACTAGCTCACGAATAATGAGAAGTTCTGCTTGAATCGCAATTTGGCGACCAATAAGCACAGTGACAGATGCTTTGCTAGTCGTTTGGGCCGATGACAAGTATTTGAGGTAGTTGAAGATACGTTGGCGTTGACATGCAATGGCTTTCTCAGTGTCGAGAATGCATGATTGAAGCTTGTTGGCCTCGGCTTCGGACTTAGCTTTCTCAGCATTCTGGACATTGATCTCTCTTGGGTGGGTAGGATGATTAGTAGCGAAAAGTAGCGTCACTTGCATAGCAGATACGCTTACCTCCACTTTATTGCGTCAGGGTTCAAGACGTGGTCGTCCTTGGCGAATAAAAATGCGGCCAATCTCCCATCGGATCGATGAAGGCGTTGGGTTGTGGGGCACTTGAAAGGACATTCCCCCCCTTGTTGGGTGATTTTTTCAATACACGCAACACAGAATACATGGCCTATACAACATGTAGCTTCAAATTCATACTTCTGAGAGACGATGAAAGCAGACTCACCACATGGAATCACCAGAGGTTTGGTACAGGAATCATCTTCGCAAGAGAATTCGTCAAAACAGACGCAACAAGTCGGGCGCATGATTGCTGTACAACCTATAACAAAGGTAAGAAAGAATGGGAAATATCAATAGCGAGAACACTCCCTTTATACTCCTGAGCCACTGATTAATATGCGTAGCATATAACGTGGCAAGCGGAGTACTTACCTTTCGGACATGTATGACGGTGAGTCGAATATCGAGGTCCCAGGATTCAAGCGTTTAGCAGAAGTTTGTGCTGTGAGCACACCTACAAGTATCGCGAAGTTGGGTGTGGCGGTAGGTGCGAAAGGAAAGACGTAGATCGTGGTTGGTTATCATATATTATCCGTACGTACCGTAGAACTGCATGTACAAGCTCAAGTTCAAATTTCATGAAGTGATTGTTGTGCGTCACGCGGAATATCTGAGTCGAAACATTGAAATATCGTTACATATATACAGTAATCGATCACATATCGCATTACCACGGTCACGCCCTATCAATTAATACCCCTCGATTTCCACCTCGACTTCCACCTATCAGCTTGTTTTGGGGGCTCTCCTTAAGACTTCTTAAGACTTTCAAGGTTTAGAGCGTTCGTACGTCGAGATCGCTTTTTTACGCCGCATTGTTAGCAGGTAAATACAATTTCAGTTCTCTCTCTTACCGTGACACACAATAATAATATTATATTCAATTTTGCCTCGTGGACCTGACGTCAAAAATGAGGGAGGACAAAGAAAGATGCATGGTAGAACAACGAAATTCAAAAAGATAAAGGGCGAGTCAGAATTCACCAGTTTCAAGCATACCATTCTTTCCTGGCCCAACAGTTGACGTATCGGACACATCTTACCCATCACGACCTTGCTCTCGATATCATGCCTGCTCTACGGACGCCTATTCTCAGCAAAAAGGTAAGTTTTGTCGTTTTAATGTCACTCACGCCTCGTAAGCTTGGTTCTGAAATTATACGCACTTTGAAGATTCGCTCTGTCTTTGTCAACAGCTTATATTTTCCCGCATCTTCGAAGAAGCATCGTTTTCTGGATGTTGCTGTTCTATCGCCAGTTCCAACTCACGCCGACGCTCGACCCTTTCCCGTCGTTGAGCAGGTTCTTGGAACCAGGTTTCCAATCCATGACGCTTTTGTTGAGGTCACCGACCCACATGGTGTCGCTCAAGAATACCTGGTGTGCTTTCAGTATCACGAACATGCTCCCATCAACAAAGCATTACTTGAACTTTGTCCCCAAATATTTTGGAAAGGAGATATCCTTGTCTTGAAACGAGGCACCAGGAAATGGGTTCGAAGTTTCCGTGGTACCGAAGAGAAGTATTTAGCCAAGCGTGCGGTCGTCCGGTCTGTGCTTTTGTTAACTCAACTTACAGCTTACTCATCGTCATCTGCCATATCTTATTACAGTTTTCTTCAAGTGTCAGCGATACGTCTCGAACATGCAAGAGTGAATGGAGAAGAGGTGCTTTTTCCTATAGACGTGAATTATTGAGATCGTAGTGACACTGTACATGATTCGTGTATCTCTCTTGGCTCGATAAATATGCACATATGTATATCATGGTATCTAAGGGCATACCAACCATAGCTTGTACAAAGGGTTCTGCCCACAATCTTTCATGATTTTTCAGTACCGTTGAAGGCCTTTTTGACAGTATGGTACCCCTAGGATAGATCAGATCGATCATCATGATCTATGAGATGGACCCCCACACGTGGCCTAGCCCCCCTCGTCACAGACCCCACCGAGCTCGCGAATCAGCATAGCCCAAATTGCCATCCATCAACTTTCGAAGTTTCGGGATCTTGAGAGAAAAATATCGAGTAACTAGTTCTCTCATCTTTTTTGGCTCTTTCTATCCCACAAAAACGGTACTGATTGGGCGCCAAATGCAACAAGGCCCTTTATTGTGATTAACTCATTGACTCTCAAAGGGCTGCACCTACACCAGTCTGCCGGTTCACGGCGAGCGAGTGGCAACAACTCTGGGCTTATATGAAGCGATGATGTAGAGTTGTGATGCTATCGCTCGTGGCTCTCTTTTTCGAAATCATTCAGTTTATTCGCATTATTAGCTGCATCCCCCATTCCTCTCATCCATATAACTCATTTTAGGTATTTCTTCGGTGTACCCATGAAAGAAACACGACCCTCTATTCAATATCGCCTCCGATTTCGCAAGTTTCCCGAAACTCCATACCGTGCCATACTGCGTAGTCTGGAGGATGTACGTATTTCAACATTGCATTGTTCAACTTTCAACGCCAAACAATTCATATATTAGGACATTCCCATTCTACGTCAGCGTTTTCCACTGCAAAAAGTCATGAAAAGGCGAGGTAGTGCGGGGTTCTTTTCAGAATTACCATTGGATGTATGTCAATCGAACAAATTGATGTCATGTCTTATACACTGATTAACTTCTGTTACAGTCCACCCCTATATTACGAGAGAGATTTCCGCTGTTCTCAACGACCACAGAAGTTCAGCATAAAGTGGATACGCTTGCACCATCGAGCTTCTCAGCACCTTTGGATCTTATCTCCGACGATTTACCTGGGCCCATTCCAGATTATTCTCATCTGGCCTCTGCGACAGCCCCACTATTTCCCCCCTCTGATGACTCATCAAGCAGCAGTTGTACATCTGTAGTCACCCCATCTACGCGCCCCTTTTCTCATGATGAGACTTCGAGGTCTCTGTCAACTAGCTCATCCCCGTGCCCTCAAATATTCTCGTACCCATTGGCATCAATGACAGCTATGTACACATTCCCGCCCCCACCTCACTCTAGTGACCGAATCATTCCTTCAACAAAGCCATCCGAGGTGCCCTTGCCTAGTGAATCATTGACAGCCCTCGCCAAAATTAGTGCACAGACATCAGATCTCAGCGTGCATTCTTCTACTGCCAATGGACTCACGCCTGAACAACCGTGTCAGGATTTTTCATCTGAAGAGCATTTGTCCAATGCGAAGGACACTTGCATTGACATTGTCCGAACATCTCACAAAATCAGGAACCTAGAGAAACATATCACAGTCTTCGAATCCAAAGGCAACTGTGCCTTCTCAGTCCCACCACCTGTCGTCTCCTCTCAAACTGGCGATATATTTATCCATAGATATGGGATTAGTGAGAAAATGCAAATCTGGGTTCGGGACTCGAGGTCGAATTGGGGCGATGCTAGCCTTGGTGATACGCACCCGTTTTTATTTGACTATCGCCTCAATATGTCTTCCCAAGGTAAGCTCAGTTGGGTCACCAAGAAAACGGTATCAACGTATCGAGGGCGCGACAGGAAGCGTTCCAGCGGTAAGCTACAATCCAATCGTCCCCGAAGCACCATCTAACCTTCGGCACAGAATGATGTTTTATTCTCACATGAATTTTATATCTAGCTCTGTGCTATTGTAGAGATATGTACAATATACATGTAAATATTGATACCAACCGTTGCTGGGATTTATATATGGCTTTATTGCGATATTGTAAGAGATCGACCCTCAGTGCCCCAAGCTTAGATAGAGCATCGGGTTTCCTCCATGAGGCGAAAATGCTGAGATTGGTAACAACATTAACACGAGGCAAGGACAAAGGCGATTTCGAAAAGGACCGGCCCCCGAAAGAGTGAGCCACCTTGTCTGACAGAGTGAGCCACCTCGTCTGACTATAAAGCAAGCTCTGGCTCTACGACGAATACCTAAGAACAAATCCCTCCTCCCCCAAACCATGTCAGACACGATCCCATCTTACCCCGAATATACTCTGCGTCCTGTTGAACAACAAGATGGCATCGCTTACTATAGTGCAACTAATACTCGAGGATATTCTATCCTCGACAGGAATGGGAACCCCGTCCGCTTCCCATTGCCACCGCTGCCTGTACGTGCAAATGGCACAAGGGTCCCACCAGATGCTGCCATAGTGTGTAGTTAGATAGTCGTTTCTGTGAAAGATTACTGACATTAGCTTAGGTGAGGACAAGGGCAGCTCACAGGCGGATGATTCGGAAAGCTCGTCAAGAAAGGGTACGTCAGAGAGACATTTTGACTGTAATATTGTTGAAATCATTTCTTCGCGCTAAACAGGCCCAGTTCCTCTTTGACCTCTGTTGCTTTACAATTGTTGGGATCATTGTCGCTGTTGTGTTCGTCTTTAAGCCAGAGTGGTTGAATGCCTTCGTAGACATGGTAAATTTGGTAGCTTTCAAGTTGTTCGGCGCAATGGGAGAGCTGGTAGTTGCAGGGGCCAATGCTCTCATAGAGGACTAGCTTGAGATGTAGTGTTTCGTTTGTATAAATCTTGATGCTCGGGTGGGTCCTACCGCTGGTCTACAGATATATTTCAGGCTACTGGCGATCAAGTGAGTCAATAATGGTTACAGAGTTTTACTGCACAACATAATTTCCTCCATGATGGTGGTATATAAACAAAGCTCTTTGCACATAGTGAGCATACTGTCCCATAAGTGTCAGTATGAGTGCGGTGGTGGTTTATAATAAAGACTCACAATATCGTCAGAGTCGTTTAGTTATCAATGATGGTGGCAAAGTTCGAGGCAAGCATCTGGCCACCCTTCTCGAAGTGTTTGAGCTCCACGGTGGTACTCCTCATCAGTGAAGACCTCGGTGAGGGCCTAAAAGGTTGCAGCGTCGAACACGGCCATGCAGCGGCACTAATGGCGTCACTGACGACTAGGTTGAACCTATAATGGTGCGCAGCAATCAGGAACCGAGGACTTCTAAGGCAATAAACATCACAGGTACCTGCCCATACTTGAGTACATTCTACTTGACTACATGGAGCGAGTCGAAGAGCTTGGAATGGTCGTCAAGCCAGAACTTGTCGAAATCCTCCTTCGAGATACCTTCTTTTGTCTTGAAGAGAGCGACAATGCGGACATGATCAATGCGAAGGGCCATTATCAATGGTGGATCGAAGACTGCAACAATCAGGGAAGCTATTAGTCGAGCGATAGAGGGTTTGCAGAAGATAACCACTCAGAAGTGAAAGGTATATGTGAAGAGGATGAGAGGGGCTTGTAAGTTTACGAATATTATCTCCTTGCTTTTATACCGTTCATCCTCCAATCTGCCAAGAGCGAATGGACGTATCACAAAGACAGCCACAATAGAAATTGATACGATCAAGAGGGACTAACCCAAATTCTCGCCCGTTGTGTTGAGGGTTATTCCACCGGTACGCTGATCAGATGGGTTGGCAGCAGGAAACATACTTGATTGCCTTCTCGGGTAATAGGAGACCTGGCGATACTCGACTCATGTGTCCCATCACATGGTCGGGGAAAGCTAAAGGGAGGATGTGAATTGAATGGGCTAGAATTGCGCTGATGGGCCAATTAACAAACAAGTAAATTGCTCAATGTGGCGATACCCAGGGGTGGTGTCGATATTTTTGACAATTACTGTCCCCACGGTCGTGTCAGCGCTGTATCAAGGTGTTTCTACGACTGTAAGAGGATACAATGCCAACGTTCACCGTAACATTCACAGAATGAACATGGGTATATCGACCATTTCGTACAGCCATAACAGGTACATGTACAGCCTTTCTTCTCATTGGGTCGATCATGCTGTCGATGTAAATCACTTATTTGACTTCTATTTGGTATAGATTAGCTTGCGCGAGGGATAGAGAAATTGATGCACAAACTGAGAAACGTTGAGATTGCCTTCACATATGCTTGATTATCAGTATATCGGCTGGTGTGCTCGATGGAGACAGTCACAGTAGTACGTGTTACTCAGATCGACAAACGGAGGTGCTATAATGGACTGAGTGAGAGTTAAGTGAATAAAACGCAAACGGCGTCATACCACCGGAATGTAGATGTCATAGTATGAACTTGAACTTCAAGCTTCAAGTTAGACGACCAGAGACGGCCTCGAGGCCGGATTTGTCACTGTACCATTTATGGTAGTCCTCCGTGGATTGTTGGGAACGACTCAAATCGTCTCACCATTAATCACTGCATCACTATTATGCCTCCAAAATTACATCTTTGTCAATGCCATGCCAAAGGCTGTATTGAAAGAGAAACAAGACATATCGATACGGGCCAGATCATCTCAGGAACATACTTCACAATGTCGCAATACGAAACTCATCGATTAGCCGAGCTAGAATGGTCGCAGCATAACGCTCAACTGCAATTCGAGAGCTCCGTGATTACCAGAACGTTGGAAACTCGCAGATTTTCTGCAGCAGAACAGCATTGGACACAAGAACGCGATATATATGAGCCAGAAGTCTTGGGACAAGGTCGGTTCTGTTACCACTATCATCTCTTTGTTGATTCAGTTCTTGGACTATACATTAGACCATCATTCAATTCCCATTTCAAGTACATATCAGGCTGCGACTGAAAACGAACAAACGAATGAAGAGAGAGAAGTTGAGCAGATGCTTGTCGATACGGAGGACAGTGATAAACCTGCTCTCCCCACTGGTGCACAAACCTCGGTATACGGAACTTCTCCTGCAATTCTGCGGTCGATCAATGATCTTCAAAATATTCGAAATGACTTCCTCTTTCAGAAGTCTCAATTCCGGTACCCAACGCTGACTTTTCACCCTGACCCCAAATCGCCACACGAGCCAGTACCTCGCCTGACCTACACTAACAGAAAGGGGTCTTCTAACGCAGAGCACATAGGGTTTCAAGAAAGAATGGAAAAAATGATTCTGGCTATTGATAGGATTGATAGCCATGGGGAGGAAACAGTGCAGTCAACGAGAAGAGGTCTTATACAAGAACTTCAAGACTATCTTACCTACCTTGACGGGATCAAGAAAGAGCAGTGGCTTCGTCAAAAAATGGAGCTAGGTTTACTACCGGGGCACAGTGGTGATCGTGTCAATAATTCAGTGCCCTCTGTGGCAAATACCTGTAAGTTTGCCAGTCGGTGCTGCTCTTCTTGTTTTTTTATATTCATTCTCCTTATCCACAGCTCGATTTTTTGACTCGCGCTTGACCTCAATGCCCACACCCATCCTTGCTTCCCTACTCACTGCATTGATAATATACCTTGTCTCGGGTGTCTCTAGGACAGGGTCAAACTTTGTACTCAATGCGTTACATGCCATTGTGGCTATGACATGTTTCTACTGTGCGGGTAGCTCTGCACAAGGATCCACAATTCCTGCGGATATCCAGCCGCTAACGGACAGTGTTAACTGGCCTAAAGATATCCGTGCAGTGATTCGAGAGTTCAATATTGACCCTGAGATATCGCAATACGCTTGTTGCCCAAAATGTTTTGCTTTATATCCTGCAACGGAATCCCAAGGGGAGTTGCAGTATCCACTCACATGCACCCATCGCGAAACTCCTGGCAGTCCAACCTGTGGGGCTAAACTGTTAGAGGAAAAATCGGGGGGCATTGCTAGCGATGAAGAAGTTCTCGTAGGCAAACAGCCCATTCGTCGGTTTCTATATCAACCCCTCAAATCATGGCTCGCTAGGTTTTTATCAAGACAAGGAATAGAGGACCATCTCGAAAATTTACCAAAGCGTACTTTTACTCAGCGCATGCGAGACATCTGGGATGGCAGTGTTCTCACATCGTTCAAAGGATCTAGCGGAAAATGGTTCTTCGAGGCTCGCAATGGAGAACTACCGCTTGCATTTAGTTTGTCTATAGATTGGTTTAATCCCAATGGACGAAAGCGACAATCGAAATCTATATCTATCGGCGTCATGTATATGGTCTGTTTGAATCTTCCCGTACACCTACGTTACCGCATCGAAAATGTTTACCTGGTGGGTATAATTCCTGGACCTTCAGAGCCGTCTTTGAACCAAGTTAATCACCTTTTGCGACCTCTAATTGACGATCTCTTGCGCTTTTGGAGCCCGGGCGTTTTTTTCTCTCAAACAGCTAAGCACTTATTCGGACGTTTGGTAAAATGTGCTGTTATCCCTTTGGTGTGCGACATGCCTGCCCACCGCAAAATCGCTGGATTCACTGGTCACGGCGGCCATTTCTTTTGCTCATTCTGTCTACTTGACAAGGATGATATTTCCAACACGGACTATCTGAGTTGGCCCCGTCGCACTTGGGAAGCGCACTTGGAGCTTGCTCAGCAATGGAGAGATGCCCCTACAGAGGCCAAGAGACACGAAATCTGGAGAGCTTCTGGTGTGCGGTGGTCCGAGCTCCTTCGGTTGCCTTATTGGAACCCTATGAAGTTTGCTACCTTGGACGCTATGCACAATCTGCTGTTGGGCCAATTGAAGCGACACTTGACTGTAATATGGGAGATGTCAGCTCTCGCAGATGATCCCAATGACCCAGCAAAACGTACGAAACCTCACAGCCCTGAGGAGCAAGCTGAGGAAATTTCCGGAACAATTAAGGCGCTCAAAGCAAAATCTTTGACCCGTCTCAAGAGCTATCGATTAGGTTACTTGATTACCCTGGCCCAAGTGAATGGAGTAGTAGTCGATCGTTCGATCACGAAGCCTGTAAAAGCAGATTATGCAAATGCCCTCATACAATGGGTATGCTCCAAGTATTTTGCGTCTATAAAGTCAAGTTCTCACCAAACCTTTCTAGTGGTCGGATGTTTCCACTCGAGTTGAGATCAAGGTGCCTTCCCCGTACCACGAACCAGTCGTAGATTTATCCAAACCCGTGTCACCATCCAACGCGATCATGAATAAGGGTATCCTGAAGGAAATATGGTTCGATATGGCTAACACTATTATCCCCTCCTGGATGACCCGCGCTCCAAGGAATTTGGGTAGTGTTAACCAGGGTTATGTCAAAGCTGACCAGTGGCGTACAGCCTGCACTGTTAATTGTGTTATTTCGTTGATCAGACTTTGGGGACATGCTGAAGCAAGCCAGCGAGAAAAAAACATGCTCGATAACTACTTGGCACTCGTCATTGGTGTGCGCTGGGCAACTATGCGCTCAACGTCGGCATCACATATCCATATCATCCAGCAATCGTTCCATTGGTATCTGACTTCTCTAATATCATTATATTCCTCAAATGTTCTTGTAACAAACCATCACGCAGCACTGCATCTAGTGGAGTGCATGGAGTCATTCGGTCCAGTTCATGGCTGGTGGTCGTTCCCCTTTGAACGGTACATTGGCGTTATGCAGAAAACTAATACGAATAATAAGCTGAGTAAGTACCTTGCTTGTCTAGTAATTGTAGCGAGCTCACTGTGCATCCAGGGGATATGGAACTCACATTCTTCTTATCCTTCTGTCGTGGAAGTAATCTGAAGGCATTAATTTTTGAGAGCAGCCTTCGTGATGGCCTCCGTGACGCTGTGGATCATTTCAAAACACTATTCGAGAAATACTTTGGATCCAATTTTCATGGAACCCTTTTGAATGATTTGCAGACCCTTAGTGCGGCAGAAATCTTGGACGAAGGCACATACGATAGTTCCGCCCTCAGACCACTTTCAAAAGAGGTGTATAGAAAATTATTACATTGTATCCAGCACGAGTCGGCCACACCACAGTACTGTACAGAAGACGATCATACGACGTTAGGAGCGATACCCATAAGTCCCATGGTACAGCAGCGTGATAGGATCACCTTCCGAGGGATCAGTTTCACGACAGGGAAGAAATCCATCGGTGACTCAATGATCCTGTATAAATCTGATCGTGAGGCAGAGGCACACGCAGGAAAAATTGATGGGATTTTCGTTCATTCTCGTGCAGGGACATGCAAAAAAATCACCGATTACTTCATGCTCGTAAAGCCTTTCCGACCATTAACACCTCTCGAAGCTACATTCGACATCTACAGGCAATACCCGCTTCTGGGTGTTCGTTTGTATCATGATGAGTTTCTAACGGAATCAGTCATCATCAAAGGTTCAGACATTGTGAGCCATTTTGCAAGCTGTGAGTATAAACACTATGGCAATGGTGACTTTCCTTCTGGCCGATACCGTGTAGTTCTCTCGTTAGACCGAGTAAGTCCTATAATTCTCATCCATCCCAACAAGATTTAATCCTAGCCAATACAGAATTAAACGTTCATACAAATATTAAATGATACTGTACATAATTGCAATATACTGATATCCCAAAGCTGGCCCCTGCAGGCCTGGCAACGCAAGAACAGTGACATTGAAGGCATCAGGTCAGCTCCTAATCAATGCTCATGCAGACCCCAGTTAGCTCCCAACGATCAGAGGTAAGTGGCAGCGCAGCGAAAGTAGCGCAGCGTGGCCAAGCCGTTACATGAATAAACCTTTGTGAACCAGCCGCGTGACAGCGGGTCGAGTCTTCAATGCTGGAACTTAAAACTGACGATTTGTGAAAGAACCGCCACCTCTCTTCTCTTCTTTGATAAGATGGGAGAAGAAGAACAATCATAGATCTTCGGGCTTTAGCTGCATGCTAGCCTGTCTCCGCCACTTTCGATATTTTGAAACTTGGTAGTATAAAGCTGAAGTCACGACCACACCAGAGCTTAGCGTACAAGGACTGTGATAGTTTGCCTGAGCGGGGCATGTTGCTCACAAATAAAGGTGTGTACTGACATTGGGGCTCTCAGCCTTGATCTCAATAAACCGCCTCGGAACCAAAGGTAATACGTTAGAACAAAGGACAGAACTAATGCATTGAAACAAGTTAGGCTGATACATGATTGAATAATAGAACTCAAGTGGTGTTTGGGCATGCCGTTCACTCACAATCTTAGGCAATAGCAGTACAGCTGTTGCATACCTTGTAATACTTGAATCTGGTGGTTATCGGCCGAACTGATGATCCCGCCAAAAATATTAGGTTCACGCCCATATCCGTGGTAATTCGGAATAGCTACCACGCTTTCTTGCCCGTGGTGTAGAGTACAGGCAATGACGGACAATGCACACAGGCCACGTCAACGAAGGCAGTTGAGGGGATTTTCGGACCGTGGGAAGTTGAAGCCCCAGAATCTATAGGGAAACATCAGAAACGGAGTCTCGGAGAAATAAACAATGCCGACCTTGCCGGAAGCTCAATTTTCCAAGGGCGCTAAGTCTCCCCCTGGAATTGGGGCGAGATTTAACGCTGGAAGCGACGCTCTTGAGAAACTGAGCCTAAAATGGCCCGGGCAAGCCCGTGCTCAGTTCACCTAATTAGGCCGGTACCCTGGGAGGGTCAGGTGCGAACGAAAAAGGAAATGTGACAGTAACAAGTAACGGAGTAACACGTATCCGTTACAAGTCACAACCGTTACAGCGGACCTTGAATGTTTTCACTATCGGTCGGACCTGATCTTACTGGTACTTCAAACACCTTCAGAAATGGCGGTTACATCAATGGCAGCAGCCCTCGCTGCTTCTCTTCCTGCCCCGCAGGTTATCCCTGCTCTCTCTGTGTCAGTAGCCGAAACCATTCCAGCCACTATGTCAGATGCAATAGATATAGACGCTGAGGTGCCGATTTCCTGTGTAGAACTCGAAGGATCGGTATGTCCTTCCTGCGCTGCCTTTCAACGGCAATGGACTTAATTTGTACTCCCTAGGTCGCTTCAAGCATCATGCAACATGTTCGCGAATCTTCTGCCCATGGACTTCTACTAGGTCTTGATTTAGATGGAACGCTTGAGGTGACCAATTCCTTCCCTATGCCCAACGGCGATGAGGAAGATAAGTCGACCAAGTCAGTCGGTCAGTTTTTTCTATGTTCCGGCTATTCTGAGTCTGTTACCTAACGTACCTCTCAGTTCGGTACCAGAGTTCAATGCTCCGGTCACTTAAAGAAGTTGGGGCCAATGACAATGTTGTTGGGTTTTACCAAGCCATGTCGCTTGGCGTATATTTGAGTCAACATATGATTGATATTCAGGTCGTACATCAGGAAAAGCTAAGACATGGGGGAATCGCTATTATTTTAGGTAAGTCGGGTGACACGTACCTCTACCCTCATAGTCAACGGTAACTTTAGATTTATCACGGATGGGCAAAGGGGGCCTATCTTTTCGTGCGTTCAAGCTTAACGCATCGTTCATGAATGCGCAGAGGAAAAATAATTTTGGCAATGCAAGGTAAAACATTTTATGTCAAATCTGATTGGATATATAACTTTTGTCCCTTAGCATCATTAATCATAAATTGACATTTTCCTCCGTTCTGGAAGAAATCCCGCTCAGGCTCCGCACACGTGCTATTCAAAAATCCTTTTTTGATGTCGTTATCCCTACGACCCTTCCTGCTACACCGAACATATCTGCAAAGTCTTCAGCTGTCCTTTCGCATTGTGCGCTTGATTTGGGCGCTGCCGGGGCCATGGTCAACTTTGAAGCAGCTATCGAAGTTATGGACAACTTCCGCACTGAGGAGGGTAATGTAGCGTACCTCTCCCGTCAGATTGCTCGTGAAAAAGCTCGTTCTGAGAGCTACCTTGCGAAACGTAGAGAGGAGAATGTTGCCCGCGTAGCCCAAGGTTTAGTTCCACATCCAGAAGAGGATGTCAACAGGCTATTCAAAGTTACGTCAGAGCCAAGCAAGCTTGCAAGCATGCTTTTACTCGGGCAGGTGAATGCTTATGCGGAAAATTTGGAAAGTAGTACTTGTTCAGGGCTTCTACAAATATTTTCAGCAAAAACTAAATATACATAGCATCACAGTTGTTTTTATTTCCTGGTACATTAGGTTACCAGGTTTAATTTCACGATTGTTATTGTCACAGTAAACGGCACCAGATAAATATCAATGGTTTGAACGTAGTTACATATTCCACTATAGTGATAATAACGTCTCCGACTAAAGGGCCTTTACATTTAATGACCGAAAACTACAAGTTTGTTTCAGGCCGTTATTTTTCTCTACTATCGTTGGACACCGGATGCAACCGGTAAGAGATATGCACTTGAGCCTCCAGAGGCTCAACGATCACTGTACAGGTAGCTAGAAAATTGTCAGATGTAGAATATAGTATAGAGAATATAATTGTGAAAGAATTTAGTGAATAGCTTATTTGTAGCAACAACGACAGACCTGACACTATACCCTTGAACTCCAGAAGTGTGAATTTTGAGGGAAAGATGGCCAGATTTGACCAGATCTCGTGCTGGGAATATTGCAATATCTTTCTGGAAAATGTCAATAGGTAGGCCCCTACAATGCCAGATACTTACTGAGCTGATTGGGGCCTCAAAGCGTCTGGAGAAACGAAAACAATGATGGAGTCGTGACTAGGCGACCGAAACAGGCAACCACACACCAAGATAATCAATCAAGGACCGCTAGCTCCGCTTCGGTACATACCGCACATACCACCAGCGTCAGGACTTGGTGTGACCTGGCGGAATTTGACTTGTAAGCCACTGTGACCCAGTGTGACCAGAAATTGCAGAACCATTCCAAAACATGTGTTGTCTTTCCGGTTTTGTTCCACTGCTCCAATGCTTCAAGTTCTTGCTTATTTTTCTACATAGGCAGCTAGAAAACTGAACATTATATCTACTGGTCAAGTTCCGACAGTCTAAAGCTCAACGACTGGTGAGTTATTCAACTTCTCCCCAGATCAATTGCACCTATTGTCCAACGATAGTACCAAGTTGTTCCGTAGCACAGAGGTGGGTTCTGAATTCTGCGATTAAAGCTCAGCCATGACAGCAGACTCCAAACCAGTCGACATATATGCGTATGCTATATATATGTAGTTTCACCATTCCAATTGCCCAATAACCTGTGTGATACATTAGCAACTTGCTACATGATAGGGAGCAGACATTTATTTTTAATCCCTCTTTTCACCACAGCACTATCTCCTCGCCTCTTGTTGCCTTTGACTCTGATGAAACACCATTATCTCCTCTTTGAATGTGCTATGTGAGTGAATGCAGCGTAGGGAAAGATCAGTGGGGTAGCACTCTTTGTTAGCGCAGTAGTAGACTGTATAAACAGTGTCCTGTGTATGGATGTATTTTAGATTGTGCTTGTGGCAGGTGTTTCCCTTGAAGTAGAGGCTAAGGTGGGGATGTGTAAAGGAGAAAGATGCTGTTTGTTGGAAACAAGCTATATCCATGTATGAGGATTTCTGGGTGCGGAAAATATAAGCTCTGATATTGGTATTCTGTCATAATTGGAGGTTGGTGTTGTGTCTTCCCTGCTTGTTGCAGGACATAGTTCACCTTGCAAATCACTGACATTGTTGTGGTCATGAATTGGAGGTGCCAAACATGTCATTCAACCTGCCTGGCTTGGGGAGCATTGTTGAATATGCATCTTCTCTTTCACATGTTCTCCAGCATGCACTGCAGTTCCAATTCATGTCTCACCTCAATTGCATTGCACCCACTGGCTTGATACAACCATATTGTGTGGGCTAGGTCCTCTACATTGAATTTGTCTGAGATCTTGTCCGTTACTCTTTGGTTTTTCATGATCACAAGGGTTTCTGTTACATCGTGAGGTTTTTGGGAATGTTGTAGCAAGGCACTGATAGCATTTTTTTTTGATTTTTGATTTGCTGATCTTGATTAATTTTGTTGCTTGGCTGATGGTATGCTTCATAGCACCAATCTACAATGGTGGGGTCACAATCATAGAACTAACAGAGAGGCGTGATTGATGGCCAATCCATGAGGCTGTCCACTTCAGGCAACACTTCTGGTGTGAATATGTTCGCTTGTACCAGCAAGGGTCAAATAGCAGCTAGTATTTTTTCCAACTTTGTCGGCACATTGTAACAATGGACCACTTCACAGGTAGTTTGCCTTGTCTGCACCTGTTTCAATTTCTTGATGTGCTAGAGTGTAGTTAGCGTTACAGATAATTTAGCACTATTGTCCAGCTCACCTTTTTCCCTATCAACCAATTTGGGTTTTGTTCTCTGATAGCCCTTAAAATAATTTTGGTGCTTTGCTTGTATTTTGGCATAACACAATATATATGGCTGCTAATAAGTTTTTTTCGGGTGGATTTGAGTTTTGTGTATGCTGCATAATGGTTTGTGGAACAATCTGTTGGTAGTTAACAACTTGCGCTGATATTGTATATTAATGAGGCGCAGTGCATTTATGTCATAGACACATCATATATTAATTAGGGGTTACTCCAACATGTATACAATTTCAAAATCTACATATACAGTGTATTGAAAAATAGGTGTTCATAAATGAGAAAAAAACATTAACTTTGCAATTGGGTATAACTAGGAACAGGCACAGTGTCCTAGATTTTGACAGTAGGTCCTTCAACTACTCTGTCAGATTCATTAGCCATTGTAGGCCTATCTAGTAGCAACACACTCTGCAATTTGAAGTTTGCTACCCATTTGGTCCATCTGTGAGCCTCCGCAGGGGAGTCACTATATCGAGTTTCCCAAGCCTCGATAAGTTCCACATCTTTAATATTCAGATCTGCCATGGGGTACACAGCCATTTTCCTTTTTGCTGTGTAGGTTTTGTGGGCGTCGGGTACTTCTGTGAATGTGCAGGCCTGAGAAAACAGACAACTGAGTGAACCACTGCTTTGTAACCCACTGAACTTTACCATTTTTGCTCTCAAGGGACCATTTTATTTTGCCAATGAGCAAACCTCACAGCCATCCGATCACTATCAGTGTTTTTTATATGGACATGAGCTCATTTGTTGATATGTTTCATTATGACTTACTTAGCTGAGGGGTTGACTATGCCAACAAAATCTTGTGTGCAATGGCAGCTTCATCCACCAAGAAAGGCACAACAGTGATAGAGGCCCGCTCAGATGTGGCCCCTGCTTTGTCAAAGAACCAGAAGCTTCTAATCTGGCCTGTGATGCCCCACACTATGCCCTCAGATGGGACTTTGTCAATTACGTAAGTGTACTTTTTGCGGTCCTGGAAACTAGCCAAAGTCATGACTTGTCTTGTCAGGTGAGAATATTAGCATATTAACATGAATAATGTTGTCGCACACTTACTGATGAGCGCTCTTATTAAGATGATTTATCATTTCCTTGTCAAGTGCAACAGGACTGACAGATGACATTAGCTCAACATCATGATAACTAATTCAGACATACCCATTGTTGGTGGTTTTGGTAGTGGCATCAGCACTGTTGTCCAAGGTGCTACATGACCTACATGCATTTGACAAGTTATAGTATTGATACAGTTGTGGGCGGCATACCTGGCAGTCACTTTGTTGTTTTCACATCTGGCGGCAACTTTTTTGGTTGAACTTCTAGTCCAATGTTTTTGTCAATGAGCTGCACAATTATTGTGGCTTAAAAGCTTACATAGAAATTGTCAACATATTGCTGCTGTTGTTGGGTGGATATTCAGCAATCACTTTGTTCTCTTCACATCTGGCGAGCTCCTTTTCTGTTAAACTCCTGTGCATGCAATGTTTCTGTCAGTGATGATGACTATCACTGTGGCTTCTACTTGTTTTTTTTGGTGGAGATCCTTGCGTATCAAGTTGCACAAACTTGGGTCTTGTAACAACCAAGAGTTAGTTACTCTGGCGCACACAGGAACACACTATAAAGGTAGTGGAAGATGGGGAGTGGGTACCCCTTGGGCTGCAGTGAGTTAGTTGGTATACAACAGGAGGACTCGCTGAGGAGTCTCCTGGATCTATTGGGGTATATATACTACTACAGGTTTGTTTGTACATGTGTACTATACAGTTGATGAAGGCAGTGGCTGATGATGTCATAGGGCCTAGCCCGTATGGCCAGCTCCACTGCGTGAGAGAGTTTAAGTCTAAAAGTAAAAGAAAGGCAACGCGGCGCGAGAAAGGGAAATGCCGCGTGGCACTTAAAGTATAAAGTTAAAGCGGAGAATAAAAAGGAAAGGAGATGTCCAGAAATTGTGTTATCGTAACAGGTCTTGACTCAATTGTAGACATTGTGGCTCGGTCAGTTACAGGCTTAGCAGATAGGGCTTGGTGGTTTGATGGTTAAAGATAAGGGGTTAGTTGCACCATTTCCAGAACAAGCTACAAGTTATATGTAAAGTAAGAATAGCACAAATATCTGTTGGCATATTTTATTCATAGCATATTAACATTCTATGTTCTATTTCCTCATTATCCTTTATTCTCTGATTGACCACTTTTCCATCACATTATATAAGCTCAAATTATTCCCATGCTTATTCCAAAACTCGTAGCATTCCACATTACACAAACCTCAGTCTCTTAACTATAAGACTGAGGTATGTCTGGCTATTCTACAGTCCACATTTTATCACTATACTCACTTTACACTCTTAGAAATATTCTCTATTAGTCTTCTCATAGCCTTACAATATCAGACACAAGTGAATGGAAGGGGAAACAGCTGATATCAAAGAGAAAAATGAAGCCGGGCCCATGTGGAGCTCCAAAGAAATTGTAATCTTTACACCCCCTCATTGCTTGATTGATCATGCCAAGGGTGCCTGTTTCAGTTTCATCAACCAGCTCTTCTGATATATGCATTTCTTTCAATTGCTCTTCTGCTGATGGAAACAGTAACCCAGACAGTACTATGCGTGGGGCTGGCTTGGCTGATATGGGCACTTGTTCAGCTTCTTGTGGTGCATCAGCAAGTGCACACTACAATGGGTTCATTGAGCAGGGTTTTGTATGCAAATTATTTTGGCGCATACCTTGTTTGTTATAGCTGCAGGAACAAGTTGAAGGACATGATTCAGAACAATGTAACAGTTGAAACATTTCTGCGCGTTGTGGGACCTGTTGTATGCAGTGTGAAAGCTTATGTCAACATCCACAAAATCACTGCAACTTAGAAAGAGAGGGTTGCAGGCCACATTGTTCACTGCTTTGATTACCTTGCCAATTTGGACCTTGTCCAACACTCGCCATCACTTTGCTACTGTGGTTGCGGCAGCTGAGCGATCATTGGTCTGATCCTTCAACTGCACAGAGTGCTTGTTTTTGTTGGTCACCTGCAGGATTGTAGATACATGCCAAATTTCCGGAAATAGTTACTTACTCTGGTGAACATGCAATGTGTCAAATACATATTATTGTGTTTTGTGTATTCGTGATCAAAACTGGAGGTTTTGGAGGTCAACAATGCATGCACAAGGTGCCGAATATCATTGATGGCAGGGCCTTGTTGTTGCCTTTTGACATCAAAGTGATGTGGTGAACAGCATTTGTCACACATTCAGGATCACTGAACATTCTATTTGTTGGGCAGTGTAAAAGAAGAAGGGATGAAGTGACTCAAGATACCCAGAGCTGCTGAAATGAAGGGTAGGAAAGTGTTACAATACACAATTTTTGAACCTTTAACTTTAACTCTCCTCTTTAACTTTCTTCTCAGTTTTTCACACACTGTGCCATGTGGCACTTTCCTCTTGTTCCAACTCCACTTTCTCACGCTGCACTGCTTCTCTTTATTTTAGATACAATTCTCACACACAATGGAGCTGGTCACACGGGCTGTGCCCTATGACCTCATCAGCCACTGCTTTATCAACTGTATAGTATAACATGTACAAATAACCTGTAGTAGTATAAATAAACCAATAGATCCAAGAAACTCCTCGGCAAGTCCTCTTATTGTTTACCCACAACTAACTCAGTCTTAACCTAAGGAGTTTACCGACTCCTACTTTCCTCACTCTTGTTTGTCTGAGTTGTGCGCCAGAGTATACAAACTCTGGGTTGTTACAGTATCTGTTCCAGTTGCCAAAGTGTGAGACATTGAATCTACCTAAAAAGCCTTGGATATGCAATGTCACTGGATACAGGGTGTTGTGTCCAGCGTCTCTCTGTAACTTGCATAACATGGGGTATTATCGTCTTTGCAGCATGTTGCCTCCAGTGTGCAAAATGTACACCCACTAGCAGACACCATCATACTCAGCAAGCATGCACTGCCAATATTGTAAGTCTTCAGTCCATGCTGGTGTGCAGGTGTCCACTATGTGTTGCGGCCAGTGGGAGAGTACGGGTACATTATTCTCGTCTGCATGATAGGCTAAGCTCTTGTAAGATGCAGAGAAAGTAAACACACTTTGTAAGAAGTTTTGTTCTAATAAAAGAAGAACAAATGCTACTAGATAATCAGTAAAGTAATGCAAAGTAAAGTTGTGCTTGCTACTCACCTCAGTCCGAGTTATTTGGAACTGAGGTGGCAGCATGCACTGTAGCTGAATATAAGTACTATGTTATGTAATAATCTGTTTCCCACTATCCTGCAGTTGTCTCAAAAAGCAACTAAAAACAACAAGAAGGACATTCCAAATGGCGTGTTGCAAGGCTGAAATTGAGACCCAAAAATTTGGGTGAGAGGTTTAAGTACTGTGGGGGTTAACTTTCAGAGCATTAAAGCAGCCAAAACACATTTTCCTTTGCCTGTGTATTACCATCCACACTATACTTGTTCCTCATTATTTTTGAAGTCATAACACCCCACCTGTTGTTTACAGAGATTATTTTAAGGTACTTGGCTATTGTGCAATACCAAAAATATGGATGTTTGCATTAACTTCCTGATGTGCTTGTGATATGGCTCAACATACCATTTATTACCATGTGCAACATGTATTGGCACTATTTTATCCTGATGCTGTGCAGTTCCTACACATGTTGTATGAATACCAAGGTGTGGTTGGAGGAGAGATTTCCTTGGCAGTGTTTGATCCATCAGTGAATGTTGTGGGATGCAATACAGAAGTTTATGTTCCAATGGAAGACTTCCGCAGATTTCTGGCCACAGGGCTACTATCAGATTTTTTACTCTGTTGAATTAGATGTGGACAAGCTGGGGGCCAGTGGAGTGTCACAAATTGTGGTGATATGCAATGATACATGTACCATTGCTGTTACGGCTGCCAGTACACCAATCACAGCAGGCCCTATATTCTGGGCAGCATTTATGGTTTCTTTGCTGCATACCCTTAGTTGTTGCAAAAGCAGCAGGGCCTGGTCAATCCACTCTCCTTTCACAGTTTGGTCACTCCCACTCAAGACATCCAACAACTTATTTTGAAGTTAGAACAGCACAGTTATGCAATTTGTATGTATTCTGGCGTTTGGAATGGGCATGTTGGCAGATGTCAACATTATCAATCACGTCCTCAGACTGCAAGGCACACACATGATCAAGGATGTTTAATCATTATTTGTGGCGCACAAGGTCCCGTTATGAGAGTGGTTGATGTCAAAGTGAATTATACTGCAGGATATGATGATAAACTCATTATGGTCTGGAAGCTTGGTGGATGCCAGTGTGATGGTGGGCAAACATTCATTATGGAATCCAGAGATACATAAGTACTGCAAAGTGTGTGACAGATGAGACATTGACTATATGCCTGGCGGAGTAGATATGCACTTTTGTGACCTCAGATCTCACTGAGAATTCAATTCTACACACAATGAGCTATATGGAGCATTGAAGATAACTATTGCAGGCACTATTTATGACTTAATGGTATATGTTCTATTTCCTATCATCATCCTTCTTTGATCACATAGCTTTGGTCCACTCTTGCAGAACCTGCCCTGCCAGAAATATTTTGGATTGTTAATGATATATCAGTTGAGTAGCGTGCAACAGATTATTCATTGTTGTCATATTAGCTGATTAACAACATGCAGGGTTCAATGGTGATTGATATAGGAAATCTGAACAACAACTCATGGAAAATGGGAGTGTGTTGCCTCATACTCAAGGCAAGTCACATTGTGCGACACTTCAAGGCAAGAAAACCTGTTGCAAAACTCAACAGTGAGTGGCTTCAAAACTTTGTCAAACACAAACCATCTCATGATCACCACACCTGCCAGGGACTTAGTTGTTTACAAGTAATACTGATTTGAAAATCCAATTCCCTGTTGTTGTAGACAAAATGAGAAATTGAAGGATATGTCAGGAGAATTTTGGGTCCCAGTGATGGAGCTTGTAAATCAGAACCAGTAATGTGAACATAGGCATATTCTGCACACCTATAACCTCCTTCTGATAAGGAATATTTGAAGGAATGCTGAGTAACTTCTGCACCATTAGCAACATTGGCTCTGATAGCCATGTTTTCTGTTACCATCACCTTCATGCTAGGGACCAATGGCAGTAGACCAAGCACATTGTTTAATTGTAATAAAGGCGCCTTCTACTCCTCTTGTTGGAAACTGTTGTTGAGATTTGTTAGGGGTGGAGATTCATGCGAGTATCCTTGCACACAAAGCATCTGATCATGAAACATATTGCGAGTGAAAGAGGTTGTAGATGGCGGAGGCTTTGTGGATGTGTTTCCCTTCAAACAGCATTCAGTCCTTGTGACACAGGGTATCATCCTATCACCACCCCAGGAAGAGGATCTTCTGAATAGCTGGAAGATCACTCAATTCATCATGTTTACCCACCTTTCTTGATTTGAATACAAGCCTCCCTAATTCATCATCTGACACCCCTAGTTCATCATCTGATGGTTTATTGCCACTTTTGATAGCTTTGTCAGCCACTTCATTATCCTCCCTGACTTCAGCGGCCTCCTTATTCTTGACTCCCCCATTGTTGACTATCTTATCAGAGATGGCAGCTGGTGGGACTTGATCTGAAATAGATCCAAGTCAAGAGACACCCCAGGGTATTTGATGTTGCCAATAGGTCAGTGTTTCACCCGCAAAATAGTGTATTGAAGTCCATCTGAAGTCTTACCCATGCATAAAGTCCTACTTTTGCAAGGACAACATTGACTTCTTTGGCTCCTGCTAGCCAAACATGCTTAAGGGATACATATTGTCCACCCCTAATGTATCTTCAAGCTGTAGGCGGTGTCATGCACCAAAGTTGATTGGTAGCATAGACAGGTGTCAGTAACAAAGTGAAATTCAAAAGACTCACCTTTGCACCACACAGGCACAGTGCCACATGGCATAGTAATTAATGCTACCTTGTTTGTACTTGTAACTGATTAGCACTTGTCTATATTAGGCAATCAATTCACACCTGCCTTTGTTTTTCATCTGGTACTTTCTGCACTTCGCCGCTTTGGCAATTTATTGCATCGCCACTTGGCTACACATTGTACCCTTGCTTTTATTGTCTCTCCCATACTTCTTTTCCCTTACTTGGCCCCACCATGGGCCCTTTTCTGTTGTTTCCGCTCTCACCTGACAGTCAATTTTGGATCCCCATCATTGTCCACTTTTTTGTCACCTCCACCCTCCTTCTCCTTGTCCTTCTTGGGCCTCCTTCCCATCTGATGTCAGCACTCTCTATCCGCTTCCATCGCCAATCTGTTGATTACTCTGTGCCACTGCTTATATCAGCCAATCCCCGGAAGCCACTCCAAAATAGGCAGTTGGTCCACCTCCATGACATTGATCTACCATATTCCAATATTAAATCATTAGTCAATCATCTTGCCTGGTTTGAATGTGGCTGGGTAGTTTTTGAGCTGGAAGAAAGTCCATCCGCTTATGTCACCAATGTTCCTTGCTGTTCCATTCACTTAGGTACATCCATTTCTCATCCATCATCTTTGCTACAGCTACCGTTACCATATACTGCCTGGGAATTATCTGTTCCAGATTGGAACCACTCCTCTCCCTCCCTTGTTTGACTAGGTGGTCCACTACAACCAAATCCTTGGTAAGGCTATGAAACTGTCAAATTTGGACTAGATGGTGGACCGGTGGCTCCAGTTCCTTTTTCTGAGCAGGACATTCATTTGTAGTGCAATTACTTTTGATTTAATCATTCTTATAGACACATTTTTTTTAAATGCCTGACTGATGACAAGGAAGCTGTGTTGATACTGATGTTATTTTGCCTTGCCCCTTTTTACTTCATATTGCTATGACTTTACAATTTTTTCCTTTGCTGTCTTTTTGCTGTTGGACTATCTTTTGGCTGTACAATCTGTAACACTTTAGTTATTTCATTTTTTTGTTCCTATCTTTTTCTTTCCTTATTCTAACAATCTTATCCTGTACTACCCTCACAGGAGATAAAGGCTGTTTTAATCCCTTTATTTTCTTTATTTTTGTAGAGGATTATCTGACAGCCAGTATGAGCACTCACCAACACACACATGAATTGACAAAACCGGATAAACCCGGTCTCTGCCAAAGCAGCCATTGTTCTCCATGGAGTAACCATTGTTCTCCTAGGAGCACAATTGTATTCCTAGGAGTCATTATAGTGTAGCGAGTAGCACCTCCGACTATAAGTAGTAGGGGGTTTAGTATAGAAATACCTTAGTCGTTTCTATAGCCTCTTGGGCAGCGGCTGAGGTATGTTACATTACATTTATTAGAGATCACCTTAAACTAACATCCATTGTAGTTTCACATAGGTAAATAATACAGTCGTTTCTATAGCCTCTTGGGCAGCGGCTGAGTTTCACATAGTTTTATTATGAGTCAGCCACCTCAAATTATTGGCTTTTCCCACAGTACTTATTTTGGACAGTATTACTTTTCTTGAACACCTTAGTTATATTTTTGAGGACCAAGGTGAGTAGACAAAACCATGCTTTCACAGATAAAATATAACACCCATAGTAGTTTCAGAATTTTCTCTTTTTATAGATACATATTTTTCTGCTAATATTGAGTTCTATTAACAAAAACCAAGAATTCTTTTATTTTTCTTTCTGTTTTTTCTTTCTGTTTAATCCCTTTAAGCCCTTGCTTCTGCAATAACCATCAGACTTATGCTAAACCAACAGAGTCTGAGGATATCTAATTGCAAGCAAGGCTTATGTCAAAAATGAAGATTGAGTGAACAGTTGAGAAAATATATTGTCATATTTCCTGCTACCTTATACAGTGCCTTTTTTGCCTTTTCTGTACTTACTTTCATCCTTTTTACAAACTCTTTTGCACTTTTATTTTTTACTTTTATTTTTATTCTGATTACCACTTTTGGATGTTAACTATTGTTTATTGTGCTGTTTGTTGTTGTATGAAAATGCTGCAAGCAGCAACTACTCTGTCCATTATGTTGGATTGTGGTTTACAAATATTTTGAGACACTGTTCTATCTCTTGGTTTACTTATTTGGTCTATCCATCCATTTGTAGCTGATAAGCCATTGACAGATTTGCTTCAGTAGATCAATGTTTTTATTGACTTCCTCTCCCCTGTCATAATTAGTTTATTTTCAGAGAAGATTGGCTTTAATATGTTTTATGTAGGGTGTATAATGTAATGTACTGCAAGTGATTCAACACTTGTAAGAGGTATGCAATTTGTTTCCACATATAATTCTGTATCTGTGACAATATTGCTCCCATAGAAAGATTACTGCTGTTTACTTCTACTTTGTACTTCTTATTGTTTTATTGTAAGGTAAGTACTGGGGTGGAACTGAATAAATCTAAGTGAAACTACAATAGACGTTAGTTTAAGGTGATCTCTAATAAATGTAATGTAACATACCTCAGCCGCTGCCCAAGAGGCTATAGAAACGACTAAGGTATTTCTATACTAAACCCCCTACTACTTATAGTCGGAGGTGCTACTCGCTACAGTATAATGACTCCTAGGAGTACAATTGTGCTCCTAGGAGAACAATGGTTGCTTAAGCAGAGACCAGGTTTATCCGGTTTTGTCAGAACTAACTTGTTCTTGACTTTGTTAAATGCATTTTTCTGCTCCTGTTCCCATTCAAACTTAAATTCAGGCCAATGAAAAATTTCTTTCACCATTACCAGATCCATGTGGACTTCATTTTTGGAAAAAATTATTAGACCAAGGTAATCTACCAAGGTTTATTTAAATTTGCATTTTTCAGGTTTTAGTATAAGTGATATAGCTTATCTACCAATTTGTTGATCAGTGGTGGGGAGTATTTATTTTTGATAGTGATATTGTTCAGTTTATGATAATCCTGAACTGGTCAGAGTTTTATTTTTGATGCAAATAGTGATTTAGATGAATGAATTTGGCCCGATTTTAACCTTTTTTTTGTGAGTGTATTTAGTTGCTCTTGTTCTCCTACATTCAGTGGGTAGACCTTATAATTCAGTTTGTGTTCACCTGGGATTAATTTGATAGCATGATCCCACTTTTGTTTTTCAGCATAAATACATAACAATTTGTCAAAGCCACTGGAAAAAAGCAGAAGGAAGAAGGTTTCAAAAAGATTGTTTTGAAGTATTTCCACAATTACAAAGATGTATTTGACACAAAGAGCTTTGATGTATTGCCAGAAAAACAAAAGTGGGATCATGCTATCAAACTAATCCCAGGTAAACACAAACTGAATTATAAGGTTGACACCTATATTTTTAGTGGTCATGCACCAACAGCCTGCCACAACAGAAGCCAAAGACTCATCCAGGTAATCATTAGTGGACGTAACAGAGGTCAACAGGGAGTTGACAAAGTGTGCCCACTCTCCTGAGTTGAACATTGAGGAGTTTTCATGTGCAGCCGCGAGTCGTGCTATAAAAACATTGATGGCTGAGTTGATCCTAATAGCAGGGTTGTTGACTGCTTGTCACAGAGATTTCTGGACAGCAACTCCACCCCTTGGACAACATTGTTTGACATGCAGGAGCTGGAGCAGGGGCAGGAGTTGGAGCAGGAGCAGGTTGTCAATGTGCAGGAGATAGAGATGGACAAGATTGATGTGCAAGAGCAGGAGTAGGAGCTGCAGCAGCATACAGGTGTTGATGTGGTTGGCATCTTTGTGAGCATACTACTGTCAGAGATTATGGCAGAGATTGCTTGGTCTGCAATTTGGAGTTGTCAGCTTGAGTTTGCTGTGTAGAAACAATGGTTAGTAATATCAGCATTAGGAGGGGAGAGCCAACGTACCTGTCCACCAGAGTGGGCTGGGGATGATGTTGTTAGGTCTTGATGCATGGTGAGAGAAGGTGGGTTGTCAGAGAGTGAGGATGGAACCACTTTGTCTAGCAGTGCAGAGAGGTCAGCAGGAGTGAGCGTGTTTAGAATACCCACCAGTTGGGTGTGAAAATCCATCAGCTCTGTTGGCAGTGGTTGCTGACCCAGTATCTGAGTGAGAATCTTGACCTGTAGTGCCGGAATAGTAAATTGGTACATCTTCAGTATACTACAAAGACTGTGGGAAAAGTATAGCAGCCTGACCTTGGTTACACAACAATATGATAAGGTGTTGCTTTGCTGATAACGTCAAATCAGCAATCTGCTGGACCGTGCAAGAATGAACAGTCTGACCATCCATTCTCTCACGGCTCATTGGGTATTTATTATTGCAATGGTATGTGGTGAGTGCTGATACTGAGGTGGAATGAACAGAGACTTACTATTTTTCTCAGTGATTATCGGCTTTTCACAATAGCAACCTGTTGATTCCACGCAGTGTGAGAAAAGAGATCAGCTGTTGTTCTCTTTCTCACACTGCATGGAACAATGTGACTGCACACATCCAACTGTGGATATGGGCGGCTCTCCGCTTATCATCTTTTGTGAATCATTCTCTTCCTTGCTTGCCCGCTAACACCTACGTATTGGTGCAAATATTTAGATATGAGGTGAGTTTCCTGGTTTTTTTGAAACTACTTACTTGGTTGGCTGATTACTGAGACATAATTCAGCAGAACATCCCATTCTTAGTCTGCAAAAATGCACCTGTCCCCCATGTGCACAATATCCTCCGCTTCCACTGGAAATGGTGCTGCTACATACTGGTATACCCCTCCAGTTATTTAATTTCAAAAAATTACCTGATGGCAATGCACAGCTACTCAACAACAATCTTCCGCCACTCCCCTGAGTAATCTATCAACATCCACTCTTTCAACATCCACCCATATTGCACCAATTGCTACATCTGAGGATCAAGTCCAGCCTATCATTGAGCAAATTGTGAGGCACTTGAAGCATAATTCTCAGGATGTATATGTCCAGGTGAGAAATTATTGTCTGGCTATGTTCCTGATCTGATTTCCCCCCCTAGCAATTATGTATCGAACCATCAAGTTTCCCTGAGTTTGTGGACAAGCTCAGAGTGTAACAGCCTAGAGTTTGTATACTCTGGCGCGCAACTAGAACTAACTATAAAGGCAGTGAGGGGAGCGGTTACCCTTAGGATAGGACCGAGTTAGTTGTGGGTAAACAACAGGAGGACTCGCTGAGGAGTCTCCTGGATCTATTGCAGTATATATACTACTACAGGTCTGTTTGTACATGTTGTACTATACAGTTGATAAGGCAGTGGCTGATGATGTCAGAGGGTGCAGCCCGTGTGACCAGCTCCACTGCATGAGAGACTTGTAGCTAAACTAAGAATAAAGGCAGCACCGCGCTGTCATGCACAAAAGTTGATTGGTAGCATGGACAGGTGTCAATAACAAAGCAAATATTCAAAGAGACTTGCCTTTGCCCCACACAGGCACAGTGCCACATGAAATAGCAATCCAGTCATGCTCACCTTGGCTTTTCCATTCAGTACTTTCCGCATTTCAGCATTTCGGCAAATTTTTGCGTCGCCACTGGCTACACATTGCATTGCGCCCTCGTTTTTGTCATTTCCTTCACTTCCCTTCCTTTGCCTAGCCTCACAATGGGCCCCTTCCTCTCCTTTTTATTCTCACCCGACAGTTGTTTCTGGATCCCCATTCTAATCCACCTTTTCGTCACCTCCACCCTCCTCCTCCTCATCTTATTTGCACCCCCGCCATTTCTGATGTCACCACTTCCTATCCGCTTCCGTCGCCAATCCGTCGATTACCACATGCCACTGCTGATATCAGCAAAGCCCCGGCGGCCGGTTCAAATAGGGCAACAGGTCCATCTTTATGACGTCAATCTACCATCATATACTATCAAAACATCGGTCGCTGGTCTTGCCTGGTTGGAGCGTGGGTGGGTAGTTTTTGAGCTGGAGAAGGTTCATGTCCTTGCATCACCCATGTTCATTGCTGTCCTATTCACTTGGGTACACTTATCTTTTGTCCATCGTCTTCGCTACAGCTACACCTACCACACGCTGCCTGGGACTCACTTGTTCCAAATTGGGACTACTCCTCTCCCTCCCTCGTTTGACCAGGTGGTCCAACACAACCAGTCCATTGGTGAGGCCATGGAACTGTCGGATTTGGACTAGGTGGTGGACCGGTGGCTCCAGTTTCTTTTTTTTCAGCAGAACATTTATTTACAGTGCAATTATTTTTGATTTTTGAATCATTTTTATGGACACATATTTTTTAGAATGCCTGACTGACAATAAAGGAACTGTGTTGATACTGATAGTGTTTTGCCTTGCCCTTTTTTTACCTGTATCTTCCCATGACATCATGATTTTCCTGCTCTCTTTTTGCTATTGGACTTTACTTTATGGCTGTACAAACCTGTGACATTACTCACAGCATTCATTGTTCTATCCCTTTCTTTTCCTTTTTTTGACAATCTTATCCTGTACTACCTACACAGGATTTGTCAGCGTACATTCCTTCCTTCATGTTCTTTCTCATTTTTTTTGCACAGCTATACCGTGCATAGCCTACTTTTCTTTTACTATATAAACCCCTGTATTTTACCTTGTAAAGAACAAAAACTCAATTCCAGACTTCTTCTCTAATTTCAAGTTCACTACTCTGCTGCTTGTGATCCAGTGTGGTCACAACACTTCCCACTGCTACCACTGTCAACTGCTGTCATCGTCACTTCCCACTTTTGAAGTCATTGTCATCCCTTTCGATTAGAGTCCTTCTGAGCACTACAGTTTGTGCGTCAGGAGCCTGCTATCACTGGGAACCTCGTCATATTGTCATTCTCAAACCTACCTTGTGCTACAATTAGCAAGGTAGTGCTCGTCTATACTCGCCACAAAGCCCCTATCTTTCTATATTCCAACTATCCCTCCTCCTCAAAACCCACACCCATACATCTCTGGGTTTTACTTTGAAGGATCCTCATACATACCACCCCACAAACAACCAGAGCACCCACTGTTCTAGGAGGCAAAGCCCATAAACAAGTTCCGTGGAATCTGGGAGGATTGTATGTTAGTTTGTTTTTGTGTGTGGTTTTCTAACAACAGTTCTCATCATCGACAGCGCAAGAAAGAGGAGTTTGAACAAAAGGGAAAGTGCCGCATGGCATGGAGTGTGAAACCTACAGTAAAGGTTAAAGCAGACAATGAAAGTAAAAGGAAAGGTCCGAAAATGTGTTATCGTAATACAGAAAAACCGACTACAGCACGCTAAGGTATGATTTTGAGTGAGTGAGTATACTGTACTTATGTCCCTACTTCCAGATATATGTGTGACCATGTGAAAGGCATCCTGCAACTGAGCATGCCTACTCCTGTACATGAAGTTTTCATGGAGCGCCTCAGTGAACTTCTACAGGGGAAACTGTCAGGCCTTATCAGATGGTCAGATGGGATGTTCAAGTTGAGTTCTAACACAACCAGGTTCCTCCAACGAGGTCAAATCACCACTGTACCCAACTTAGCCCTCAAGTTTCAAAGCCTCAACCCTAGCACTGAGTGGCAGGAGTTGTTCATTGTTGAGGTCTCCCACTCCCAGTTACTTGGGGATGTCACCCAGAAGGTGAAAAAGTACTCTCAGGAGCTCCCCCACCTTGTCAGCATTCTAGTAGTCAAATTCTATGAATCCCACAAATACGCAAAGCCCCAATATAGGTATGCTGAACCCATCAACATGCAGTATTGGTACAACTTACAAAAGGATAACAATATCAAATATGGCCCTCTGAGGACAGCTGATGGCGTAACATGGGCGGGTAGATTGTGGTGGATATGTACCTGTATGAAAAGGACCCAAATGTTGTAGGGAAGGAGGACTATGCACTGGATCTTCCTATGCCCGTAATACTGGTGCATCCCCTCTTGATCTCAACTTTCTTTGTCTAATATAGCATACATACAAAGGGTAGTACCTAACATAGATGTGGGCCAACTCTATCCCACTCAAGCCCAGAAAGACGAGTTCAATGATGTTTTTAATTGTGTTATTACCAGGTCAATTTTGGAGATGGAGAATATTATGAGGAGTACGCCCCAGACTGTTGCTAGCCTAGAAGCTAAAATTGCAGCTGCTCAGATTGCAGCGCTAGAGGTTGCTACCCAGGATTTGATAGCAAACTGCACTGGTTGTCCTCCTCAGAGTGGTACCCATTCATGCACCCCCACCACGACTCTACCTACTCCCCATTTGCACCCCCAAGTATTGCCTAAAGAGATATCTCCCATCAATCTCTCAGTCTTCTAAGTCCAGCTGGATTTTGATCATTTTCTTCAGGCTTTTCCTGTAGCTGATCTGGCACATAGACATTTTCAGGATCATTATAATGCCCCCCGAAGCTGTGCTAAGGCAGCTAGGAGAAGGAGTCTTTTTCACTCCGAAGAAGAAGTGGGTTGGCTTGTTCGACAGAAATTGGGTGTAGGTATCTCTAGCAACAATGTCACAAGGAGGAAGTGAAAAATAGACACGGACAACACATCATATGTATTACTTCTCTTGCTCTTGTACTCTGTGCTTGTAAACAATATGGTACTTCAAAATGTACAACTTCTCTTTGTATTAGAATGAGCAAATTTTATGTTTTACCACTACGTATTTCCGATTTGGGATATTGCCAGTGCAGATTGAGGTGTTGTGTCTTGACAGCATATTTACAAACAGGTGCTAGATAATCAAAGGTATCAATTTCATATTAACTGGTGTTATTATTTCATAAACTGACTGGATGTGTATGGTGTAGTTTAGGTTCAAGGAGAAAAATGGCACATGTACCAATCGCACATGTCCTGCATGTGGAAAACTTTTGAAAACACTACAAGGTGTCATGGCTGACCTATCAATATCAGCAATGTGTGCTTGGTATAGGCAAGGAAAGGGGAGAGAACTTGAGGCAGACAACCGGGCCCTGAACAAGTAGTATTTGATGAAGTCAACTAGGGTGAAAATGTTTACAACCAAGAAGACTATGACTCAGATGGGTCAGAAGACATAATCCTCAACAGCTTACAAGAACCATTTAACAATTTCCTGAATGATCCTGATGCAAGGCAACACCCAGGATAACTTGAACCCTGACCCAGAGATGCAGGCTAGCAGTTTATGTCACCCCCACTCCCTGCACTTTAATCTGGATGATGATGATGATGATGATGAAAGAGTAGTGGAACAAAATGAGAATGCTGGCAAGGCTATAAGGGTGGATCTGGATGCTCATAATAAATGGAGGGAGAGTTTTCACCAGTTCCATCAAGATGACAATGAGATGGACGTTGATATCTTCCAGATAATAGATGGGCTCTATTTTCCATAGAATTAGACTGAAAATTTGCATATTGGGCATTGCAGAAGGGGGTTGGCCAGAAATCTCTTGACAGATTACTGGCAATTCCTGAAGTGAGTGACGCCTCCACATTTTGATTTATGTTTTACGTTAACTGACCTCCAACCTTTATGCCAGCTTTCCCAGAGACTGGGCCTTATAGAGACCCCTTACAAGCCATTGCATCTTTGTTGGGCAATCCAGCACATGCAACAGACATAGTCTATAAACCCTCAAGAATATTCACAAACAGCAACAGGGATGATCATATATTTGATGAGATGTGGACTGGGAATGGTGGTATCTGTATAGGTTAATATGTTCACGCCAGTGGTTCCTTTCTAAATTTCATACTTATTTCTTTAATTTTAGGCTCTTCTACCTCAGTGAGTATCTGTTGCTCTTGTTACAATAGCAACAGACAAAACTCAGTTGACTCGGTTCTCAGGAGACAAGTCTGCATATCCAGTGTATCTTACACTAGGCAATATACCCAGCTCTATTAGGCGCAAACCCTCTCAGCACGCTTGTGTACTTATTGGATATCTGTCTGTCAATAAATTGGTGAAAAAAGGCTTGACAACAAACATATTCAAAGACTTTTCCATGCCTCAGTACAGATAATTTTGGAGCCACTTATTAAGGCTGGACGTAAAGGAATGGAGGTTACAGGTGGAGATGGTGCAGTGAGAAAACTTGACCCTATTCTTGCTTGCTATGTTGCCGACTATCCAGAGCAATGTCTGGTGACTTGCTCTAAGTATGGAACATGTCCCAAGTGTAGGTGTCCAGCTACAGACCTTGAAAATAAAGCAGCTGGGGAACCTGGGATGTCTGACTGGACTCTCTCTATTATTAATCAAGCCTTATCTTTGAACTCAAGGAGGGAATTTTTTGATCAATGTATAGATAAAAATGTATCTGGAGGTATTTACAGGCCATTTTGGGAAGGATTTCCCTACTGTAATATTCATCTTTGCATTACCCCTGATGTCTTGCATTAGTTATATCAAGGTTTTGTCAAACATATTGTCTCATGGTGCCAAGATCTTATGGGTACAGAGAAACTGGATGCAAGAATACGCACTTTACCTCCTGCATATGGATCAAAGCACAGATATTTGGAGGAGAAAGAAAAGATATGGCCAAGGTACTCTTAGGATGCCTTGTAGGAAAACTCCCCAAGCAGGCATTTATGATATCTATCAGATGCTCTCAGAACATTTCATCAAAACAAAGCAATTTTTGTCACCCTGCACTCTGAGTATTAGAAATATTTTGAATATATTTTGAATTTTGCTCTCTACTGCACTATGTTGACTTTATTTGCTGGTTTGGGGACACAAATAACTACAACACAGAACTGTTTGAACATTTCCACATAGACATGACCAAGGATGCATGGAGAGCATCAAATCATAGGAATGAGTGTCCACAAATGACCACCTGGCTGACAAGACAAGAAAAAACTGTGTGGTTTGAATGCTATCAATTGTCTTTATAAAATAGACCAGTTTCACGTCAGCAAGATATTCTCCAGAATCCATCTGGCTTAGGTATTAAAATAGCCAAAGTACCTCCTCTTCCACAATAACCCCTTCAATCAATTCAACAAAACCATCAATGTCATGGCTTTATATGTGATATCAAGGAGTTTCTGAATTGTTGAATCGTCTAATGCATAGTCAGCCAGGTTATATGTCCAGAGATCAAGTCAATATTGCAAATCTCCTATTTGATTCACTTGACATATTCACTAGTTTCAAACTCACTTTAATCCACCTTGGAGATAATGCTAGTGCAAGTGTAAAGTACAAGATCATCAAAGCAAGACCTAGATCCAAAGAAATTGCTCCACAGTTTGATGATGTTGTTGTATTAGACTCATTAGAAGCAGAGTCAACAGGTATTGCTGGTAATATTTTTCTCTAATTTCATAATCAGTTTCAAGTTGTGAATTAATGTTTCATGACATAGGTACACGTGTTGGAAGAGTTAAAGTAATATCCAAGCTCCCTGCCATTTTTCATGGTGGTTCTGTTTGTATACCAAAATATTGGCCCAAAATTTCATTGGCATACATTGAATGGTACACCAAGTTGAAAGATAGTGCAAATCCAGCACATATGATGTATATGGTTACAAAACCTGCACTTGGAGCTGATGGTACTCCACCAGCTTCCATAGTATCATTAAGCAGTATACAACAAGGCTGCCATTTGTTGTCTTTGTTTGGAAAAAATCAAGTGCCTGCTCACTGGGGTGCAGCAAATGCTTTGGATGTTTGTGATAGATTTCTATCAAATAATTGGGCTAGTTTGTGTGCATACCAAACTATTTGGTGAATATTAATTCTATTATTATTAGTATCAGAAAAAGGTTCCCATAGACATAAATGAGCTGGTATAGCTGGTATAGTAACTATAAGGCTTCACATAGAGATTTATTGGCTATAATAGGAATTTAATAGCTATCATAGCAGCTATAGAAACATACCCAGCTATATAGCAAAATGGTTTTTCCTGATGTTAGTTGTGGGTAAACAACAGGATAACTCACCAAGGAGTCTCCTTGATTTATTATTGTATATATACTACTATAGGTTATTTATACCTATGTACTATATAGTTGCTAAGTGTGGTGGCTGATGATGTCATAGGGCACAGCCCTTGTGACCAGCTCCACCATGTGAGAGAGTTGTAGTCAAAAATAAAAGGCCGCAGTGCAGCGTGAGAAAGTGAAAGTGAAAGTGTAAGTGGAGTTTGAAGTAAAAGGAAAGTGCCACATGGCACAAGTGTCTGAAAATGATAAAGAAAGTCAAAGAGGAAAAATAAAGTTAAAAGTCCAAAAATTGTGTATCATAACATAAGCTGTACTGTGTATTGAAGAGTTAGCTAATAGCTACAAGAATCTGCCTATACACCAACAATATTCTTCAGATTCCAGAACTTGCCCAATGCACACACAATGCCTGCCCTCAGTCTCCTCAAGCCACACTTCATTCACTATCTCCACAGAGTTAGCCATGTTAAATCTACCAGCAAACACATATACCCTTCCCAAGTATACAAGAAATCAAGCTATGAGAATTGGTGAGTAAGTCAATTTTGTAGTTCAGCAAAAATTTATGTTCCCCAGGGTATTCTGAAGTGATTAGCATGATTGGAGCCTGGTTAACACACACACCAGTTGAAGCTAATTGTAAAACCCTTATCCCCTATACCGAGTTAACGGAGGGATGAAGGCTCAAATCAAACAAGTAGCGTTACAAGATAGCGATTGAGAATTAATCAACAACTGAGGAAAGTATGTACATGATGGCCTACTATATATATGTTTCTGAAAGTCAGCCATGAGGCGCTGACTGATGTTCTTTGTAATGGTTCTAGACTCTTGTCACGTGATGGTCACGTGATCTGATATAACTACGTATTATGTTATCCGCGCTAAAGCAGCAGCTTAACATATCTTATCTGTCATGTGATCAGATATCAAAGAAAGTGAAAAAAGGGAACTAGCGCTCAGACTAGCGCTTCTGGTTCAAGTTGTGACACTAATCTAGTGGTGCCCCATGGATATGACAAGCCTGCATAATCTGTGGCAGATACAATGGGGGTGTTATGATTAAAAGTTAAGTATGGTCAAGAGAAAAAGGTGATTTTTTTGGGACAAACTAATATATAACATTTGTTTTGCTGGGATATCTGGCGAGAGATGGGACATGGAGAAATGTAAAGAGTCGGATGGGTGAAGCACAGAAACCTGTATAGGGGGAGGTGAATTACAAACTGAAATGAGAGTGTATATATTGCATAGGGAGCTTGCTGAACCTGACCAAAAGGATTGCATTGTAATCAAACACCTTTGCATGGGCAATGGATACTGTGGCAATACCCAAAGTTTGTATACTCTGGTGCACACACAAAGGAACAAGAGGACTCGTTGAGGAGTCTTCATCTATTGCAAGTATATATATACTAATATACATGTGGTATTGTACAGTCAATATAAATCAAAGTAAACATTCCATAGTGTTTCATCATATTGATACTCTGCCGTTTTTATCAACTTTTTGCTTAGTTTTTGCAAATATTTTAGCAACAATAATCATTGATTACCACAACAACAGTGAGAACAAAAACAACAAAAACTAGCTATGATATCTACATGTTATAACCTGAATGAATAAACCAGCCTCTGGCTTTCATGGCTGTTACAAAGTGAGCAGTGTCAAGTAAAGCAATGTCTGGATAGTTATGCTCTTGCAGCTTAATATAGATACAATGGATCCAGGATTTTACTGGAAACAAGTGAGTGAGATTAAAACAAATAAAGAAAAATAGACTTACCACAGCTGAAGCTCTCCTCATTCGGGTTGAAATCAGGAGAGTAGGGAGGGGGGAAGAGAAGCACACATTCAATGCCCTCCACTACTTCACAAAGTGCATGTATCTTATAGATAGCACAGTTATTGAGGATGATTATACGGCAATCTTGAGGACAAAGGTTCATTGCTAGCAGCTAAACAAAGTATGAGTTAGTAAGGCTACCCACATATAGTAGCTGCAAATCCATCAAGAGTAAGAGCAGCTATGGGGCTATACCTCTCTCCCCACGAACAAGGTTGGTTTGTGCAACTGTGCACCATGCAGCAGGAGCACATCCATAGCGCCAATAAATTATACACTTGTCCTTGCTTGTTTCATCCACCATGACAAGCTGGCTTGTTGTAAACTGTGTATTGACATCAGCCAGCCAATCCTCTCTCCCATCATCATCTCTTTCTGCCGCCGCTTTATGCGACAGCTTGTAAGTCAAATAGAGCTGTCTTCAATATCCCAACATTGTGCACCATCACCAGCCACTCCAGAATCTCATCCAAGTACTTTTCCAGTGCCTCCTGATTATATTGTGTGCCTTATCTGTGTTGAGTATACAAGGACATCCATGAATGAGGCTGATGGGAATAATTACTAATCCATAGGTGTTATGGTTGTCCTTCCATCTATGGAGGCTTTGTTCAGAGATGTCAAAGTTGTCACAGACATCGGCAGGGATAAGATTGTGTTCTAAAAGCCATAAAGCTCATTCTTTCATATTTTTGCTGATGGAGTGATAAACCATCTTTACAAGTTTTGAGACAGTATGTGCAGGTCAGTGTGACAAGGGAATCCTATATTACATAAGTAAAATTCCAAATGTCCGTGCAACAAAAAAAAACAAAAAGTTGGCATGGACATCCTTTTCCAAATACACTGTAAAGAGCTCACTCAATAGTTGCACAACATGTTGTGCTGCTCCGTGCGACTGGTCTTCTTTCGGCAGGAGCACCATCTCTAACAGGGTGGACCACAGCAAAGTTTGCCAGTTGGCTTGGGGTGTATTCTCAACACTAAAGTTTCAATAAATCTTGGCAAAATTAGGTGCTATCAGCATTGCCTCCGGTGCAAGGAGCGGAATGTGAAGTACGCATGTTCCCGAGAGGGTTACGCGTGGGAAGGACAAGCCACGTGGCTTTGGTCTCATTGGTTTTCTGTTCTACTACATCTCCCCTTTACTGTTCATTCTCTGACAAACGATGCCTCCACGAGGAAACGAAGGCTTGGATTTCACGCACATTCTCACCCATTATCTCTTTTTCTTTACTTCCATTATCTCAGTGGTATGTCATCCTTTTTTATTATATTTTTCTAGTCAACCACATCCTCCCTATAGCTCGCATGGTTCATTGCTTTCATTTCCCAAGCAATTGCGACTGCTCAGTGTATGTCCTTTCCATTTTCCCCCCCTCTTTCGCTTTCTTTGACCTTTCCAGCCAGTCAGTGAACGTTCTGTAGGCACGGGCTGGTTCGCCATATTCCTCCAGTTGTTTCTCATTCTCGGTGTCATGCACACCCTCGCAAGCGACTCGATAGGAATGCATCGCCTCCAGATATCTGTCTTCGGTGCAATCGCAACCGTTTTTGCTGTCGTCAGCGTAGATAACAGCATCTTCACGGGACACGCTGCTCTCGATGCAATGGCTGCTGGCTGGCTCATTCTAGCTATAGTAGACATCCTCTGGGTCCTCTACTTCACATCGGAGGAAGACTCTATTGTTCTTTACGTCTTCAACCTGATGGGCACGGGTGGCCTCACTCCTCCTTCACGCCGCCGGAGAACTCGACAGGCCTCAATGCACAACATGGGTAACAACGGTTATGCAACAAATTACTCCTCTGGTGGTGGAATTGGCCCTCACGATATCCCGTACGATACTCACAGTAAGATTGGTGGTATGGGTGGTGATCCAGGTGTTAGGAGCCAGAACAGCTTTGTCGGAGGCGCTAGCATGGATGGAGGCGCTCCGCGGAGTATGGGCCCTGTTGGTGGTGCACCGAGCGTGCATAGTATTCCTCCAGGCGGCCCGAGTTCAGTTAGTGGGGTAGATGCTAACTTGAGTCTCGGATCACCTCTCATGGGATCCGGCGCAGCAGGCGTTGGAGCTGGTGGCGGTGTTACAAGTGGTAGCCCAACGGCTGCAGACACTCAAACAACAGACTCGTACTCATATAAAGCGAAAGCTCTCTATGCGTGTAAGGATCATTTGATTATCGCACACGGGCAACGATACTTATATGTGCTTAGACACCGCATCACCCGATGATCCCAACGAAATATCCTTCGCCAAAGGTGAAATACTTGACATCGTCGACAAGCAAGGAAAGTGGTGGCAAGCAAGGAAAATTGATGGTACGGTAGGAAGTATGTACCTTCACATATTGTGATGATGCGAAAGTTAATTCCTCGCTTCGTCGCTTGTAGTTGCACCATCCAATTATCTGCAAATCATCTAATGGAAGTCCATTTCCGTATCTGTGTCTCCTTCTGCTTTTATACCAATGCTCTCGTGAACATTCATGTCTTATGTCCGTTCCACATTTACGAACATAACAGTTCATCTTTCATGACAGTATTCAGTTGTCCAGACTTTCACTTCCTTTTTATTTTCTCGCTGATTGGTGTTTTCTTATATTATCCATTTTCTTTCCATTTTCCAATGATATATACTTCTGCCTTTTGCTACATTATCTCGGTTCCATGCGATACCATCATTCAGGGTTTTAAAAACGCGACGACGTTACTAATATCTCGTAGTTGGTTTACGTACTCAGCAACACTCTGTCTCTATTACTAGGCCGTCGCAAAGCGCCGTCTCAAACCTTGCTTGATCTCAGCGGACTATGAATCAGAATCATGTTTATTATGCTACTGTTTTATTCAAATTTTGCTAGTGTTACATGAATGGAACGTGGTTCACTACGAGTGGATGTAGTGACTACTACTACTTCTTCAAGCGCAGTGAAGTCCATCCTTCGTTCTCATTTGACTGCTGTCATGAATGCAGTGCCCTTTAGCTGGGTGGACACTGCTTGTTATTTCACATCCTCCTTTCTGCCACAAAGCCAGTACAAGAAAACAAAGCATGCTTTATCGCTTATCTGGGACATATCACCCCCATGTCCCAACTAAATATGAGAGCACAAATTCCCCTTCATCATTAGTACCATTTGATTCAAGGGTAATTTGCAAGACAGCTATCTAATCAGCCCTCGTGATACAATGCCATTGTAACAACCAAAATTTTGATATTCTGGTGCACAACTCAGACAAAGCTATAAAGGTAGTGAGGGGAGTGGTTACCCTTTGGATAGGACCGAGTTAGTTGTGGGTAAACAACAGGAGGACTTGCTGAGGAGTCTCCTTGATCTATTGGGGTATATATACTACTACAGTTGATGGAGGCAGTGGCTGATGATGTCATGGGGCACAGCCCATGTGACCAGCTCCACTGTGTGAGAAACTTGTATCTAAAAATAGAAAAGGCAGCGCAGCGCGAGAAGTGGAGTTTGAACAATAATGGAAAGTGCCACTTGGCACACAGTGTGGAAACTACAAAATAAAGTTGAAGAGGAGAATGAAATTTAAAGGTCCAAAAATCGTGTTATCGTTACAGACATCCCCTTCATGCACCATCTGCTTGCATGAGGTTTTGTCTTTTAGAATGTGTAAGACATGGTTTGGGGCCGGGCATAAAGGATATCACATTGGAGCTTGTAACAAGAGGCATTCCATTTCACACTCTTCAGCAGGTGGAGTCCCCACCTGCAATTGTTCCTCCATATTGTGTGAACTTGGAATATTGCCAGGAAGGTTACAAACCTGACACCATTGACTATAGATGCTACGAGGATGTTCATGATAAAATCCTGTTGTATCATCATGGGCATGCATCATTGCTGGCAGGTGGGGTAGCATGGTGTCTTGCAATTGATGTCATTTCTCCAGAAGTGGTCTTAACAGGACCTTTGAGCAGTCCTCGGGAACCAAAAGAAATTTTTCAGGCTGTTGATGGTGGCTACTTTATTGATGACTGCTTGTTACAAGAAGAGCTTGACCTCATTTTGGGTGTCTACAGCATCTCTACTGGACATGGGCCTCAAACCTCCTAGTCATCCTGGTGGCCAAAGAATTTTACGTTCATGGGCAGCAGTCTAGATACAGGCATTTGGACATCCTCAGCAGAGAAATGGTTTCACACGTGTTTGGAGCATATTTTTTGTAACACAACTGAGTTGAGGGGCGCAAAACAGTGGAAGAATAGTCTTTTTTCCAGTCAATTCCAAGCTGCCCAGTGATGCAATGTTTTCTGAGCATACCTTAAAATTGCAGTACTTTTGAATGAAACTATAACCATCCCCAATATTGTAACAATCCTTACTGTGTTCAAGAACCAAGTCCTTTACTTGTTTCATTTTACAGGTTATTGGATTTTACATGAGATACAAAATGATGTTCAAGCACTTATTATTGCCATGGACAATATATATATCCGTCTTGTATTACTAGGCATGTAAGGAGAGATTTAATATGGGAGGGAAACAACTATCAGTATGCTTGTGCCGCTCTTGCCTTTGCTGATCACTGGGCTATAGAAAGTGACACACTCATGGCTTTTTTCTTGGCCGCAGGTATGATAATGTTTTGATGTCAACCAAAAACTTTGCTGCAACAAAAATTAGTGCATCACTAAGAAAAAAAAGGCCAAACTACGCACCAATAACAGATCGAGCAGGAGCCTGCTCAAACCAGCCCACTATATTATTTTAGAAGTCTTGATAATCAAAATCTCCATCCTTTGCACGCCAGGAACTGATGCTTGACAACACAAATTGAAGCTATTTGATATGGTTAGAATATGTGTGGGTGGGTAATACAAAAACTAGCCTGAACTGCTGTGTATGATATTAAACAGGGTGTAACCAATCTCATGCCAATCAAGGCTGCGACATGGCTGCATGTTGCCTTGTTACCTGAGGCTCATCTCCCTGTATTTTCCGTGGCTGGTGTATTATTGCTTGCAGTCACATCTCGCGCTGAAGTGGAAGACATAAAAATCATCTTATATGCCTAGAAACCTTTTATCAGTATCAAATAGACTTTGAAATTGCAAGACTTTAATAAAAAAGTAGACTGAAACAGGTCTTTCATGACGTCGCTGTGGTCAACTTGGTAATCTATGTCATAAAGGAAGGCTGGCCACAAATCAGCTGTCACCCAAAAATCTGGGCAATGGTCTCGTATATTTGTCTGAACACTACAAAAAGGCCTGGATTTAAAATATAAAAAGTAAACAGAACTAGACTCTTACCTCTCATAAGACCAGTCATATCCGACAGGACAAAGTAATTTGCCTGTCATGTTGTGTTTGAACCCTCTATTGTCCTTAGTATGTGAACTAAGAGGAGGGCTAATAAAGGGGAGAAGAGCCATCAACCAGGGAACAGTAGCATGTTTCAAGGCACCGGTGTTGTCCCCACAAGTGGCATCAGCTTCTTTATGCAACCAAAAATAAAAACAGTGAGATATGAAAAAAAAACATTAGATAGATAAAATACATCACTATATGTAACAACCAAGAGTTAGTTACTCTGGCGCACACAAGAACACACTATAAAGGTAGTGATGAGGGAGTGGTTACCCCTTAAGCTGCAGAGAGTTTGTTCGTATACAACAGGAGGACTCGCTGAGGAGTCTCCTTGATCTATTGGGGTATTTATACTAATACAGAGTTTTTGTACCTATGTACTGTACAGTTGATAAAAGCAGTGGCTGATGATGTCAGAGGGTGCAGCCCGTGTAACCAGCTCCACTGTGTGAGAGAGTTTGTGTTTAAAAGAAGAATAAAGGCAATGCTGCGTGAGAAGGTGGAGTTAGAACGAAAAAGGAAAGTGCTGCATGGCACAGAGTGTGAACTATAGTAAAAAGTTAAAGCGGAGAATAAAAATTAAAGGAAAGGTCCGAAAATTGTGTTATTGTAACACTATACATGATACTGAGCTGTTCTTGGTCTTTAAGAACCAGCTTTTCCTTGACCTCCTGCATGTAATAAACCAGTTCTGTGTAAGCTCTGAAAAGTCAGTCATTGCTTGTGATCTGTCAGCTAAAGTCAGAGTCATCGCTTGAGGAAACTTACTCTGCAGATTCAAACCCACCCTCAGCTTCATCATTATTGGTCTTGAAGGACCAACGGTCATTCTCCTGCACCAAGTCTCCAACATTATTGAACAATGTAACTAAACAGCATATTAACCTGCCTTTATTGATTCTTGATTCACTTTTCCTTAATAACAAAATTGATTAGCAGCTGATTATGAGAATGAGAGAGAAACTTACGAGCATTTTCTACAGTGGTGGTGACACCTAGAATCTTTTGGTTGCTCTTTGAGATCATCTATTTGTCTCTTCACTTGAGCATTTGCTGCACGTAGCTTGCGAGTCTCATTGGGAGTTTCTTTGGTATCAGGCATAGCTAGAAAGTACCAGGAGAAGAGCTGGTAAGCTGATAGGATCACTGTAGATTGAGTGGTTTATATACTCACCAGGAGGCTGAGTTTTGTTTGTAGAGTGGTCACATTTGTCACACTTTTTGCACCGACTTGCTAACCTGTTTTTAGCGCAATACTGTTGTTGAGTAGAAGAATAGCATCATGTGGCACTTACCATGTGCAGGATCTCACCAAACAGCAGATTGTCCCATCATTCCAAGTCATGGTCATAAACAATTTGGGTGATCTTTGAGCTGGCCACAGTTTAAACACAATAGAATCTGTAAGCGTAAGTGTAAGTTTAACCAGCAAAAAACATTGTCACAATGTTTCTCAACATCAACGATGATCAGATGTACCAGAAAACTTACAATTATGATTTTGATACGGTACACAATGGTACAGCCAACAACACCTTGGCAGGTGTGATGCCATGATAGATTACCTTGCAGTAGTCTTTGTTACAAAGTGTATAACGGGGATGGGAGCATAGGTAAACAAGGGACTAGATGGTGGAAGAGTGGGCAAGGTTTTTTGCTGGAGAGTGCGCTAGTCATGCTTAGTAGCAGTAAATTGAGGGTTTGTGGTAGCGGTGATGTTATGATACACAATTTTTGGACCTTTAAATTTCATTCTCCTCTTTAACTTTCTTTTGTAGTTTTCACACACTGTGCCATGCGGCACTTTCTATTTTTTTGTTCAAACTCCACCTTTCTTGCGCTGCACTGCTTTTCTTTATTCTTAGCTACAAGTCTCTCACACAGTGGAGCTGGTCACATGGGCTGTGCCCTATGACATCATCAGCCACTGCCTTCATCAACTGTATAGTACACATGTACAAATAGTCTATAGATGTATATAAACCCCAATAGATCAAGGAGGATCCTCAGTGAGTCCTCCTGTTGTTTACCCACAACTAACTCGGTCCTATCTCAAAGGGTAACCACTCCCACTAACTTCACTACTGCTTGTCTGAGTTGTGCGCCAGAGTATACAAACTCTTCATTGTTACAGGCAAGGTATGAGTCACACACAATGTCACACTCATGTGGGACTCAGATTTAGACAGCTGTCTGATGTATTTTATTCAACAACCAATATATATATGAGTGCGGCCAGATGGCCGTGTGGTGTGCCTACAGAGAATTGACCCATCCATCATTTTCTCCTTCACCATATTCCAGACTTAAGTCAAGGTTGTCATTGAGAGATCCATCTGAGCTAACTTTACTATCACTTCTTCGAGCTCGTTGCCCTCATCCCTGGGAGCATCAACTTTTATGCCATCATCAGAGTTTTTATCTGGATCTTGCACTCTTCCTTCAGTTACCCAGCCCTCAGCTGGATGTTAGCCAGCATGGCCGTGCTGGCCAACTCCACTGCATATAAACCTCATAAACATATCACGGTCAGCAAATCTGGATAAAAAGATATCAGTAGTCAAAATTTAGATATTTGCTAGGGCTTACATATTAACGTAGTATGTTGACCAATCTGACTCTTCCCCATGACTACGACCAGCTAATGAACCAGCTCTTATTAGTTCTGTTGTCCTGCCCTCAGCAAAACATGGGATGAGGTGGCAACCTCTAATAACCTCCAATGGATCTAAGAATCCAAATATGCATGGGTCGTGAGCAGGAAAAAATCCAACTTTGGGCAGCTTGCCGGCTTGCAGGCCAGATGGATGTTCATTGATGACCCCAAACCAGTGTACCCATAAAAATTGCATCTCGTGTATTGAATCACTATTCCCAACATGAACAAGTTGAGCATGGAAGATGCCCATTATTCATGCAAACTAAAATGGTTTGTTATCTTTTTTGGACTCGCAGGCAAGCACAATCACATTGCTCTGCCTCTTTGGATTCATAATAACTTGGTCTCGTCTTATGTTGTACGTAGTGTTATTGATTTTAATTAGCTTTGAAGAATAGAGGCAGTTGTCCAGGATATACACAGTATTGTGTTGCTCATTTGTGAACCCATATTCATTGTAGTCCAATCCCATAAGGCAATACAAGAAGTGACCTTTGAGTTTACGGATAAAATCCTGGAAAAGCATCAGGCCAGAGTTGTTTGCAAGGAAAATTTGAAATACCGTAATTGCAGGGCTGTCTGGGTACTGGTGTAACAAAGCAGCATTTTCAATCGGATGATTACACAAATCAGATATATGATGATGCAATTTGACCAGCGTAGAACAGAGGGGTCTGCCTCAGCGAAGGGTACATGATGATAATGACTCCCCCCTACGATGTCTTCCCCAGATGATGCAGATATTCACTAAAGTAAAGCTCTCCGCCGCTCATGCCTTTTAAGTTGCTTGGCGACCCTATTTTTGTTGGTGAGAGCATAGAGTGCTTTTATAAACCTATGAGCAAGTTCACCCTAAAGTGTCGACAAAGTAGTGGTGAGTGAAGATTTTGCATATTCCACAATTGAAGAGCTGTAGTTTGCAAGGGCATAAAATTTGTAAGTACTGAGATTGAAGGCCTTGGATTTTGGTTCAGCTTTTGGAGCTGGCATTTTGATGCAGATAGGCTGCCCTTTCCTTGGGAAGTTCCTTAGTATTGAAAGCTGGGCAGACCGTGTTTCAAAAGCTTCTCAACTCTCGCCCAAGATCCTGACAGTTTCCTTTAACATCTCTAACATTGTGTTGGTATGGATTTGGAGCTTTGCAAAAGCATGCCATTGGGCAAAACGGAAAAGAAGGATGATAATGATTTGATCATATTCAGGAGGGAATAGACCTTCAGATGCTGGGATAGAGCACTGAGAAACATAAAAATAAAAGGTATATAACAGCGCAGTGGAGTCTGGGACGGACAAGCTTTTACAAACTTGACACACTTGCAACAAGTCTTCAAAGTCTCTAGTGGCCAATTTTTTCATTTCAGAAGCATTATCATGAAACTTGCGAATTGTGTTTCAGCCAAAGGTAGGAATCTGGCAAAATCTATAAAGTTCTCAAAAAAAGCCATAAATCAAATGAATAATACAATAGAAAAAATACCTGGCATCCAATTCTGAAACACAAGAGCCTCTTGGAGAGACACTATACAAAAAATGTATCAAGTGAGTAAAAACAGCCTTCCACGTACAGAGCTCACACTTGTGCATCAAGTCAACTACGAGCATAGAAAAGACACTGAACCCAAAGGAATTATGTTTTTTGCCAAACACTTTCTATAGACAATGAAGCAATCTTGCAAATGTAATTTTTGGGACATTTACCAGTGTTAGCGCAAGTAATTCCTTCTCCAGAAGCCATTTGATGGCAGCTCCATCAATTGGCGTGTGTTCACAATAAATATACTCCCTTGCTCTTACCACTTTATCAATTATATACATGTGCACCTGTTGAATGCAATCTGCAATATCTGCAAGCAGCCCTAAATTATGTATAGACTTCATTGACACAAAGCAGCAAGGGCAAGGGTGCAATCCTTTGTCTCGAATGGTGGCCAAAAGAACTCTGGGAAGAATTACTGAGCATGGAAATATGATGAAATAAGGATAAAGAAGATACCAACTTCTCCTGATAATTGGCAGAATACATAAATATTTGAGGATACACTCCACAAAAGATCCCGTTTATATATTTAATCACAATGCTATGTTAATAAGCTGCTAGAAATTCAGCATCAAGAAGAATATCCCAGACACCCTGGAATAGCTTACGCCAACAATGTGCAAGGAGTCTATTCCACATAGTCTTTGAAATATTCCCAAGTTTGCTGGTGAAGAATCACTGGATAGTGTCAGGAAGCTTGTTTTATAGTCAATAAAGGTACTTCCTAATAGACAATGGTTACACTTACCGAAGGAATATACACTATGTGATGGCACACACCAGAGTTAGGCTGCACACAAATATACTTGGAAAGGTTGCCGAAGTATATATATACTGGTAGATCTGTGATGAAGTCAATGGATAGGTTCTTGAATGATTCTGTAGTCTTTGGGCCCAAAATTGGTTGGATGGGTATTTTAATTGGATTACTAATCACCTTGCTTTGTTGGCATATTGCACATCCTGTGACATAATCTTTGATCATCTGTGTTATACCTGGCCAATAGTAATGTCTTGTTACTAATTGGGTTGTTTTTAGTTGTCCTGAGTGTCCAGCTGTTACTGAATCGTGTTGTTGTTGAATACATGCTTTTCTCTCGGTTCCTGTGGGAATGTAATGGCAACCTTTGTAAAACACATTATCATTTTTCATGGTCCAATCCTTGGGGTCCGAGCACATTGGTAATGTGATTCTTTCATGTAAACTAGTTTGTATACGTGTGAAAAATGGGTCGGTGTTTGCTACTGCAGCAAAAAACAGTTTTTGGGAGTAGTGGTGTGTCTTGTTCTTCGTCTTCTGTATATAAATCTGATCTTCTGGAAAGATTGTCCGGAATTGTCATTTGTGTTCCGGGTACATGTTTCAGGGTATAATTGTACTGTGAGAGTAGAAGTTGCCAGCACATTTGCTGTGGTGTCAATTTTCTGGCTTCTTGCCAATACATGAGATTTCTGTGGTCGGTTAATATCTCTACCGTGTGGGCACTGCCTAGGATGTAATGTTTCCATTCTTCTAGTCCTCTGATGACGGCAAGCAGTTCCTTGTTGTATATTTGGTAGTTCTTTTTGGCTGGTGATAACAATTTGGAGAAGGCATATGGATGCCATACTCCATTGTCATTGGGTTGGTTTAACACTGCTCTAGTTGTGTGTTTGGATGTGTCTGCCGCAATTTTTGATGGTTTATTTGGGTCTGGTATCTGGGTAACCGGCAATTTGCTAAAACAGTGTTTCAGTAGCGTAAATGTGTCTTCTTCGGCTTTTGTCCAATTCCAAGTTTTCCCTTTTTCTAGTAGGGCGTTGAGTGGTTTTGCAAGTGCTGAGTAGTGACCAATGAATTTGCGGTAGAAGTTGCCAAATCCAAGGAACTTTTGAACCTCATTGATATTAGTCGGTGTAGGCCAATTTTGGATTTCTGCCAGTTTTACTGGGTCCATTTGTACCTGGTTGTGATGGACAATCATGCCAAGATATTCTATTTTGGCCACATCAAACGTGCATTTTTCTAGTTTTAGGTATAGGTCATTTTTGCGTAGGCGTTGTAATACCCATTTCATCCGTAGAATGTGTTTTTCTGGTCCCTTGCTGAATATGAGCATATCATCCATGTATATGATAAGCCATCCTTCATTTATCATATCTGCGAAGAAGTCATTCATCATGTGTTAGAAGGTGGCCGGGGAGTTGCACATGCTGAAGAACATGACTGTGGGTTTGAAGAGTCCTTTTCTGGCTCTGAACACTGCTTTCCATTTGTCTCCTTGCTTTATCCTGACATTTTTATATCCCCAACGTAGATCTAATTTTGTGAAATGTGAAGCTCCACAGAGTTTGTCTATCAGGTTGGGGATCATGGGCAGTGGGTAGGGATCTCAGATCGTTTGTTTATTGAGCTGTTGGTAGTCCTGGCATGGTCGTGCACATCCATCACCTCTTCAACTTTGAACTTTCCTTCCCCTTCCTGGTGTTAGAATATACTGTTAGAATATACTCTGACATACCAATACTCCATAGGATAATACCTCTGATCTGTAAGCCAGCCCAGCATGCAGCAGCTATACTATGTAAGATGTCTGTGGTTGCATGTCATGTATATTGTATAACTTTGGCCATATAGCTCAATTGGTAGAGCAGCTGGCATGTATCCATAAGGTTCCAGGTTCAATCCCTGGTCTGGTCAATATCCAATTTTATCACCTGAGTCACTACAACCAGTCACGGCCAGTCTACATTTTATGGAGGCAAGGACTGAATGTGGGAACTAGAAGCCCATCTGGACAATTCTGGCAATGCTGTTCACAAATTTTATTCTAAGAGTTCCTCAGCTTCTAGGAAGTTTAGAGGCATATATTCAAATCTTTTCAATTCTCTTTTTCAACCTATGCCCAAAAAATTTACTACTGCCACCAGAATTCAGTTGAGCCTGAAATTTGAGCCTTAGAAGGGGGGTAGTATTATGATACACAATTTTTGGACCTTAAACTTTCACTCTCCTACTTACTTCTTTCTTCTTTTGGACCTTTATGCCAGGCAGCATTTTCCATTTTATTTCAAACTCCACTTATACTTTCACTTTCTTGTGCTGTGCAGCTTCCTTACAGTGACTCCAAAAACCCTTTCCATATTGACTAAAAATGTCATATATGAAGCACACCATCTAATTAACCAATCTATGTGAAACTCAGCTGCTGCCCAAGAGGCTATAGAAACGACTTTATTATTTACCTATGTGAAACTACAATAGATGTTAGTTTAAGGTGATCTCTAATAAATGTAATGTAACATACCTCAGCCGCTGCCCAAGAGGCTATAGAAACAACTGAGGTATTTCTATACTAAGCCCCCTACTACTTATAGTTGGAGGTGCTACTCGCTACAGTATAATGACTCCTAGGAGAACAATGGTGACTCCATGGAGTGGTGGCTATGCTCCATGGAGAACAATGGCTGAAGGGAGTTTATGCACTCCTTCCATCACCCTCCATGCTTGTTGTAGTTGTGCACCAGAGTATAAAAACTTTAGTTGTTACACATGCCATCTGAAGCCGAAGCTCAGTTGTGGCACCACCTGTGGTTATTGAAACCAAAGGTGGGCTCCCCCCAAAAGGCCTGTCATTCAGAAAAGACTAGGCCAAGTGGCCCAAACATTTATTTGTTCTGACACTACTGGTGGGCACTTGCTGAAGTGGAGCTAGCGGGTTTTGATTGATCACTTGGTGCATGATTGCCTATTCCAGTCATCAAATCACAACTTCAGCATTGTTCAAACTGGTAAGCACCTGGAATTGTAGAAATTAACTCATTGACATTTTGTATAAAGACATCACAGCATGTTCAGCATGGGATCTGGCCAGATCTGGCCATCTTTCCCCCAAATTTTGCACTTTTGGAGGTACTGAGCCTGGTGTCAGGTTTATGTTGGAAGTATAGGGAACGCACAAGCGTAGTACAGCGTGGTGTAGAGGAGTGGCGCAGGCGCCAAATCCGGAAAGTACAGTAGTTGGGGTGGCCCGTGCACCCAATATACCGCATCATATTTTTTGGTTCCTTCACTTATATATGCTGTTACTGCCTCCATATTTTTGATTTTGAAGGGCCGAAATGTTGCCTTGAAATTCAAAATTTTGCATGCAATTTTCGAAAATTTCCTTATGGTGAAGTGTTTTTTTTTGCGAATACTTTTTGCTAAGACCAAAATGTTGAGTGAAGTGGAGTTTTCTACTGCGTTTTAAAAGAAACTGAAATTTCGGAGTTCTCATTGCAAGTATATCAGTAGGATCTACTGCACTACTCAGATAAGGATATTTGACCCATATAACTCGGATATCCTGATAGTCGTGTAAGTCAAGAGATATTCATCGCTTTGCGGTTCATCCACATCATATAGGGCTCCCTAGAAAAATCGTGTCCTGCTGTAGGCTTGGTTCTTCTGCTACGTCGCGCCTCTGGAGCTTTCGCGCTCATACTCAAATCCTGGGATAAAATTTGAGGCAATTATAAAAGGAAGCCAGATGGGCGTATTGATTCGCTCACCGCTATACGTTTCCGCATACCAGGAACTATGTGGTTCCACCATTTCATAAGACTATTCTTTAAAGCTAGCTCGCGAATACCCTTGGGATTTAGCCAGGCCACAAAATCGTCAAGCTAGGGACAGAGATGATCTAGGACAATGTCAATTCAGCTGGTGATGAGAACTGACCTCCTCAATATTGACGTAAACAGCCCATTCCCCAACACCTAATATACCTTTCTCCCCTTCTTCTTCTGTCCTTCTGGCATCTAGTCCACTGACCCTGCGTTTATCCAACATCTCTGCATCGGAAATACTTGGACCCTGAACAAATATTCTACCAGTCCCATATTGAACCACACCTCCACTACCAAGAAGTGACGCTGAGCCCACACCATCAAACCACCAAATCCGATTGTAGAAACGGTCTCTACCCAACGGTTTAACTCTAATTGCCCCCAATAGCTTTCTGAAATCTCTTTCAATGCCTTCAAGCCTCCGTTCAAGCTTATTGACTTCTTCGTCCAAGCGGCGGTGCTCTGCCAAAGATTGTTTAGTAGATGCCACTTTAGCTCTAGCGAGCTCCCTCTGCTTCGCCATTGCTTGAATGCGATCTTGCCGGTAATGGGCCTTATCACGGAATACAGCCATTGGGCGGCCCGCTCCGGGTGTGGTTTCGAAGTCATTATCTGACGGAATATCGGACAAGTCGCTGGAGTCTTGAAAGGAATAGTCTCCGCCGGGGGTTGTTGCAGAATCATCTTTTACTTCAGTTTGATGGACGAGCGTACTCATCTCCTCTACACTACGTAAAGTTCATGAGCATCCATCTTATGAGCAATTCATAGCACTTACTATTGTTTCTTCATCCGATTCACCTCAATCTTTTCCTTCCTCAAGGCTGTGAGCTGTTCCTCACAAGAGTCCATATGCGCATGTATAGCCTTACTAGAAATCGCCATGTTGCACAGAAAAGCCAAGATAGCAATCCTGTCAGTTGCTGGCAGAGCATAGTAAAGTTGCCCAGGAGATAACTGGATAGTCACCGTCGACGGACTTGGTCTACAGCTCACAGAAGAAGAGCGTTGTTCATGAGCCTGTTCTTGACCAAAGAATAAATGAGTCAGGACTCCTCTTAAACGAGGAAATGTTTCCAAAGTTGCGTGCTACATAATTTGTGGTCAAGAACAATGCAGAGAAACTTTTAATACTCTCGCGTACATCTTTCAGGCACCCCACAAGGGCATCTTCCCAACCCACTCTAAGATCTGCGTGCCGTAGGGGTACCCTCTCCCAATTATTGCCCACGTCTGCCATGGCGGCAATTAGCTGCTTGAGGGAGACACCAAGGACTGGTTCTTGTGCACCAGAATGTTCTTCCGTGTGCAACAAGGACAGCACAGCACTATGTCGGGTAAATGATACGGATCGCAAATTATATATCAGTGTTGAATGAATCTCTGCGAGGAGCTGACATGGCGCATCAGCAGCAGTGTGCTCCATTGCATGTTCAAATTCATCCATCGTGAAGGTGGATAGATGCAGGGGTTGACTAAAAGACAAGCGAGTTGTACCTTTTTCATGCACAAATTTGCAAGAGCTTACCCAAAAACGACCAGAAAGTTCCACACCATTAGAAAGGCACCAAAATTATTCTGGTCATCACCAAATGGGAGTGCTACGCGACTAGGAACGGGCTTCACTAACTTTGCGCCGGTCTTCTTTTCCTTGTCGGAAAGCCATATATCGAGATCTTCCGTTGGATATCGCATTGGCTTCTTCTTCTTCTTCTCCGCAGCGAGGCGTTCCGTATCTTCCTTGACTTTTTGCTGCTTCTCTATTTTTTCTAACGCTTCTCTTTCCCTTTGTTCAGCAACTGCGGCGATGGTTTTTGCTGGGACAGTATCAAACCTACAGAAACTAGATAAAAAAGTTCCTGAAGCTCACCTCTCTCGCCTGGGCCTCCTATGGATTTCCTCTGCTTCTTGACAGGCGAACCCTCCTTACCTTCCCAAAATTTCTTTCTCTTGTCAATTTCTCCTTTCTTGATATCTTGAACTCCCCTACGTGTCTCTTCGGTCATGGTGGAAGCAAGGCCATATCGCTTGGCAATCTCCAACTTGACAACCCAGGGAGAAGCAACGGCAGGATCACGGTCCACGCAGTCACGAATGAAACGACGCAGGATAGATTTCGAGAAAGCAAGACGATCTCGACTGAAATCTCTAATTAACGAAATGGGGCACTGTTCTTCGATAGTGATTCATACCTCATGCTAGTGCACTGTACATCAACCAGATTCCCACTTGGGTTAACTTGAGCTCTTGCCTGGACCTTGCCTTTCTCATAGCACTTTTCGTAGCGGTCTTCCAGGATTTGAACTTGGTAGAGATATTTCAAAGGGTCGTCCTTAACGAGTGCTTCTTTGAAAGGAATCCTGAGGTCTCCTCCAGTTGCATGCACAGTTAAGGCTTCCTCTTTAACAGAAGGGAGTAGAGGCGATGAAGTGGAAGTCGACCGATTAGTCGCGGAAGTTGGGGGGAAAACCTTGACAACCTTGGCATACAATCTACGCCATCTCAATTAGATTCAGCCTGCAACAGATCATGAAAAGATTAACTTGTCGCCTCGTGTTTCTACATATAGCTCTGGATCCCACTGGTTAGTGTAGTGGCAAAGACATAAAATCACTCACTCTCATCAATGAAATAACGATCTTTGAACCTGTTGTATACAGCTTCCACAAGATGGTCCAAGCGACCCATAACCTCTGTAATGTAGTAAGCTTACAGATAGCCTCACCATGTGCATGTGATTAAGTAACGTACGCCATTGAACAGCTTTCAAGACAGCTGGTTTTAAGGGTTCGGGGAATCGGGAGTGCATGGTTCGCGCCTCCAGCTGCTCACTATCTACCGCTTGGAAATAATCAAGTCCGCTCTTCCCCGTTACTTCACATTGGAATTGCTTGAGTTTGTAGAAGGACATCCGCGAAGCATATGCTCTAAGACAGGTTATAAAGCAAGATAAAGTGGCGGATAACGTAGATGATACCCTTGTGAAACGTACTCGTAGCTTTCAAATATTTCACCTGTCTGCTGGAGAAAGTAGACTTCATGATCAGGATTGGTCTTTGCACCCTGCATCACAGCGTCCGAGGGTTGCATGAGAACGACACGTTTACGTCGACACGTTGGCATGGTGAAAAACAGATGCTCTTGGAGGCAATTGGCTTACAGCAGTGGCATGGATATGGTTTACTATGAGTCTGTCTAATCCCAGTACAAAAACTTTGAGCTCGTACCGGAGAGGTTGGGCGATGGAGAAACCCGACAACCCACGTTTTCAAACACACTTCACGATGAATATAAAAGCGTGGCAACCGAAGACAGTTCGGAGTTTACGAGGTCCAGCCCGTGGCTCTGCCACTGGTGCGATGTTTTTGTGATATGATAAATAATAATAATAATAATAATAATAATAATACTGTTAAGTGATCAAAATGTCAAGTCAGTGAACTTATGCTGTCTGTAATGTATGTTAAGTCTTTGAATCCTATGATGCATGTTTGACTTGCAGTTCTGTCATTGAATGTCCTTATAAGCCTGCCCTAAACTTGTGCACAGTATGCTGTTTCTATCACTGCCAAAATGCTCTTTGATTCCATATCTGGTTAGCTTGGTATTATCACTCCTAACAATGCTACCAACCACCCCTCACACCTCAACATACAGACCCCTGCCGTCACCACTTCACCAAGTCCACTTCCGTCTCGGAAACTAACACAGATTAAATATTTTCAAACTACTTTAATACAGTAAATGTGATGAAAAAAAAACATGTATATATATTGCCTCAATTGTCATATAGTGCCATAATGTTTCAATATTTACTCGTCTTACAATTGTTCACAACTGCAATTATCTGCACCCCACCAACATTAAGTCTTTGCCGCTTTTCCTTCGCCATCTCATTTCAAATTACAAGTTTGCTTCACAGACTTGCTGAATCAATATTCAGTGTTTTTTTATATGCCAGTCCTCCCCTTGGGTCAGGCTAAAATCACCATCATACCCGTTGGTGAAGACTCCTGTGCTAATGCACACACCTGGCTATGCACTCTGCACAATCCGGTTCTCGGTAATATTTCTCACTTGTCTCCCTATATTACTTTAATTCAACCTTCTTTCTCAGAAGCTCGCTTTCCTTGGCAAGATTTATGAGCAATTTGCTTCCAGACTGACTTTAACAATCCTAAAAGAGAAGTAATACCTTCTGTATTTCTACCTAAAACTCCTCACTCACGCTTGTCATAGCCTTTCCTTTTCACAGATGTGTATAATGCACACATAGCTTTTAAGGATAAATCCTTTATGAACATCTATCCTGTGCACCATTTAAAAGAAGGTGATTTGGTGTTAATAAAGGTTCATATCAAACACTACAAGCCCAAATCAGCATCTCCCTCCTCAGGTTTTACTGCAGATGCAAGGCAATCAACTACTTGGACCACCTGGAATGTTCAGCCTGAATTACAAGTCTTATCTCTCTTACACACCACATTGAATACATTTGTAATATAATAACTTCTATATTAAAACTAGGTGTTACTGAATAAACTTCCACATCATTGTTCTCCTAAATTGCATTTAACTCCTATAACCACCTTTCTCTAAAATTGTGACTACCCAACGACACACGATATCTTCTATTTATTAGATGACCTGGAAGCATTACATCCAGGGATAGGCTTTCTCCATACATATCAATCATGTAAGGAACAAAAACCTTGTTGGATCCTATGCAGAAAAGTATTCTTTTGACCTCATTATATGTCATCCACACTAACTCAGTGTCTAGCAGCTGCGCAATGCCAGGTAACAACACCATGTGTACTTGTCTTCACATCACACTTGCTTTGTCATACATCCAACTTCTATAATGCAACCATCATTTGCTCGTGATAAGCTCCTGGAAAACATTGTCTCTTTCCCCCTGGAAAGCAGGGTGGATGATCCTGCTGTGCTTCTTGAGATGTCCAAAGCATTTGGAGGTGTTAAAATCACCAATCTAGGCCATGTTTATGATCATGATCCTGCGGTGAATGACTGGTATTACTAAGTATACGGTGAACCTCCATTATTAGCATCTGCCAATGACAGATGGAAAAATGATGTTCCCAACTTACTTTTCATGCATCAACTGTCCTCTCTACCACTTAGAGGTTCCATTTTTGTCATGAAAAAATGGGTCACTGGAAAACCCCACTTGTATAGAGCACTCCACATTTGAGGCCAAAACTCTAGCACATACCATCTGATGATACTATAAAAGTGGCTCTTCCCCCAAATCTGAGAGCCATACTCACCTCCTTATTTGCTCCCTATCAAACTTACTTGAACTTTCTCCATGTCTCTCAAAGCACTTCATATCATCTTCACAATGCCTTCCAAACAATATATGTGATCCTTTGGCAATGGAGTGTCCCCTCAGTTTCACTGTCAAAAACAGCTCACCATTGTAAAATTCAATCCCCTCAATCTGTCCTCCAAGCCACACAATGACCAGCTTTCCCGTCCTACACTCACAATGGATAGCTGGTGTTCCCATTGGAGTCAATGGTCCTGGTCCCCAAAAGACCTCCTCATGTGACACTCCACTATAACCCTTGTTCTCTACAAAAATTGAGTTTTCTACTATTAAGGACAGTAGCTACTCACTTTTCAGATATTGTTGTTGAATGATGCATCTTTCCCTATCATTGAAAATTGTCTTTAATAAATGTAAAATTCTAATACATTTATTCTTCTCCACATTTTGAACATTTCCAGTAATCACATGTCCCTTTACTAAGCTGCAACTCCTGGTACCAGGGATGCCCATAGGGCTATTTATGATAGAGGCTGAGCAGAGTGATGGGGAGGATAAAGAAGAAGAGCTGCCTGTTTGCAAGAGGTTGAGAAGGTCAGAGGCTGAAGTTGACCTTAATGATAATAAAGAAGAAATGATGGATTCTTTGAGGCAACAAGGTGCATCAGTATAACTTCTTATGGAACTATCAAAGGAAAAGTAGCCCTTGTTTCCTAAAGAGCATGCAACATCTGTAACACCTGCAAGGCCTCTGACACCTCAGTCTGACACTGACCAATAATGATGACAACATAATCTTTCCATTACTCTAATAACAGATAATTTGTCAAGAGGCCATTATATCCTTCTTCAAGGAGAATTGTGGTGCAACACCATCAGCTACTTTATCAAGAGACTCCAAGGCTAGTTCTCCATATCATAGAGTCTCTCTAATAATACAATGTCCTACAGGTGACAATGTCTAGCTTTAGCCCAAGGACATGCACAGCTATGGGTATTACTTGCTACCTCTAATGTCTTTCTCTCACTTGATGAATGTGATCAGCTTGTATAGACTACATTAAAGGAAGCAGTGAAGTTCTCTATATCACAACACAATGGGATCCGCACCCGTGTACAGTGATTCATAAGATATATGTAGCATAGTAAAATGGCTGCTGAATAACATAATAGGTATTTTCATCTTTGGTGATCTGGATATTAGAGTGAATATTACTCTTTATTATAAGTTGAAGCTAAAATTGGATCTGCTATTTGTAGAGCCAAATATATGATAAAAAAGCCATTTTGTCATCATATCTTCAAGATCCTTCTCTAAATGTAATGGTTTCACAAGAAGGGTGAAAAAATCCTTTGCCCCTGCTAACTTTAGTGTCACTGTATATTCATTCTTTTTATTTTTTCATCATGTTCTAATCTCTTATTCTCAGGTTGAAATTTGTCTTCATGAACTTGCTACAGGCATTAGAAAAATCCTAAATTTTTCTGATCAAGTTTACAGGGATAGGTATCAGTGCTGCCCTCAAATTCTTAAGCTAACACTGATATTTTATCAAGTATCAATATTATCTAGCTGGGTTAGAAGAATTCCAGAAGAAGGCTCTAAGATTGATGGAAAAAAATGTGTTTATCTTTTACCTTCTTTATATGATTGATTAGAGGGTTAGATCAGGTGAAAAGATTGATTTTGCAGCTTTAGAGGATTCTGTAGAATAGTTGGATATTTATATTTCATCTCATTTTTATTATAGAATGACAAAATTGGATAAACCCGGTCTCTGCCGAAGCAGCCATTGTTCTCCATGGAGCATAGCCACCACTCCATGGAGTCACCATTGTTCTCCTAGGAGCACAATTGTACTCCTAGGAGTCATTATACTAGTAGCGAGTAGCACCTCCAACTATAAGTAGTAGGGGGTTTAGTATAGGAATACCTCAGTCGTTTCTATAGCCTTTCGGGCAGTGGCTGAGGTATGTTATATTACATTTATTAGAGATCACCTTAAACTAACATCTATTGTAGTTTCACTTAGGTAAATAATAAAGTTGTTTCTATAGCCTCTCGGGCAGCGGCTGAGTTTCACTTAGTTTTATTATAGAAATCAATATAATGTTCATATCACATGGATAATTATTTCTGTGAAATTTTTACACAAACATTAAAGGCACAACAAGCTATAATTAACTGTATGGGATGTGTTTACTATTATAACTGATAAAATAAATGGCTCCAGGGCTTTCATAGCTGGTAAAGCTAGATGGCTAACTATATAGTATTATAATAGGGATGTCATAGAGGGAAAAAAAGTGGGCAGAGGTCAGATTGATGGTATATGATGAAGGCAATGTGGAAAGAGCAAATGACATGGTGGTAACAGTGATAGCAGTGATAGGCCTTCAAGTTGAGGTTATAACCAATAAGGACACACCCAGTAGACCACTCAAAAGCCTTAGGGTTGTGTCAATGTTGAATAAGAATAAAAGCACAGGCACCAATTTTCCATAAGTGAGAATGGGGTTTCGGGAGTAGATCGGGAAAAGGAGCAAACAGTAAGATAGTTTTCTGTGAGAATAAATTCATCCCACAATGAGGGTGGGGCATTGCAAGTGTGACACATAGCGTGCTCCTTGTTTGTTTGTAAGCTTGCAGTGGAGTCATTTCACATGACTATTGTGAGCTGAAGTGTGGGCTAAAGGTATCCTTTGCTATCTTGCTTCTCATAGCCCTCATAGGCTTTCTTAACCATTGTTATCACTTCATATTGCAGATCAGAGACTGGGTAGTACTCCCAGCTAGCCAGCACAATGGGTAAGGACTAGTAGCCGAGATCTCGCCAACCAGCTCCAAGTCCCATCAGTGCCTGGAAATATTAAGATATACTTTAGTCAGGATCATACCTCATCATGAGGATATGGTTTCTGAACATGCCATGTTATTAGTACATTTTCTCACCTGCTGATTAATCCCTTAAGTCATATGATAGCTGTTCTTTTTCTTATTGGATAGTTTTGTCCTCAGACCACTTTTCCTTTTATTCTATTTCTGGTCTGAGAGATAGAAAATTAGCTATAAAAACCCTACATACTCATGTATTGTTCTTTATATTTTTATCACTTGAATAACCCGCTTCACTCCTCATCAGAACCCCTTGAGTTTATTCTCAGTCCTCCACTTGCTATAATCTTTAGCATCTGTTGACCTCAAACTCCCTGCAAGTACAGTCTGAGACAGGTGTTGTTTTGGCTATAGTTTAATGTTGCCTCACAGGGTGGTACAGGATGACAGGTTTGCTTCTCAAGAATATAGCTGTCACATTTGATTTCCTTGTAGGGAAAGGAGACTGGCATACCTGTGCTGTGCCATAGTGGACATAGTGCAATAGTTGGCCAAGGCAATAATGCCACACTTCCAGTGTTGCGGAGAAAGCAAAATTGATGATTTGAGTGTAAAGGTGACACTTCAAAGCTTGTGAGCAGTCAGAGTGCTGTTGGAATGGCAAAACCATTAAAAGCATTAACCCAACAGTGAGTGGCTTCAAAATAAGTAGTTTCACAAATAGATATGCCTGGTGCACACACAGAGATGAAGCAAACAGAAGCCAAAGGGATATACAGAACATCACAAAAAGTAAAACAGGCACTATGGCCCATATAAAGTTTGACAGAACCAATGCCGGGTGCAACATGGACAACCCACCAACACCAGGTACACCACAATTCACAATGTGATGCAGAGAGAAGAAGTTTAATAATTTGGTGAAGATGTGCACAGAAACACCTGTATTAAGAAAATAATAGGCATAGCGTCAGGATTGAGAATAATGGTGGGGTCAACGTCACCAGGGACAGCTAACAGTGCTGTAGCCGGGTTAGGTGGGTGATCCCAGTGGACACTGGTCATTAATGGCTCATCAAATGCTAAGTATCCATTGAATTCCATCATGTCCATGTTGTTTGTCATACCAACTGTGGCTGATTTGGTCAGTACCGGAGTGTTGGTAGAATCAATAGGAATAGTGGATGTGGATAACTTGGTGATGGTGTGTGACTATTATGTAGTGTCAAAAGGCTTGCCATCCTTATTCTTTGCATGCTTGATGGCTTTCTGAGTGGAAACCTCATCCTTCTTACCAGCCAGTGGTCCACCATCTTGAAAGCACTCATTGAGAAAATGTCAGGTACATTTACAGTTGGAGCAAACCATTTGTGAGCAAGCAGGCTTGATGGTGATAAGGGCTGTATTGTTGGAAGGGGTATAATTCCAAAGCACAGCTTGTTCTAGGTCAAGTTATCATTAAATGTTGGCTGTAGTGAACAAATTGAAGTTTTTTGATAGTTCAGATGACACAAAGTTGCAGATGCATACAAATTCACCTAACAGTGCATGGAGTATCCTGATGGTAAGGGAATTCTCTTGGTCAGGTATTCCAATGGCAAAAATCTGTTGAGCTAAACCAGTCAGGTGCTTGTCTTTGTTACAACAGTATTTTTGGTATCTATTTTTGCTTTTATTTTATTTTATTTTACTTTTATATTTCAGACTTTTACTTCTGGAAGTCACACAATTGGTACACATTACCTACAGTAACTGGTGTCTAGACTCAACACATAACTGGTTATGTGCTACAACATCATATATTTTTCTTGCTCAGTGATGACATCATATAGAATACAATAGAATACCACAGAACATTTACCTCCATTTATATTAACTGTATAGTACCACATGTATTTAGGTATATATACCCTTGTAATAGACAGTGACTCCTTAGCAAGTCCTCCTGTTGTATACCAACAACATACTTGTTCCTACTACCTTGAATCTACTAACTCTATCTTCCCTTCATCAATACTCTTTGAGTTACTGTGTGTGCACCAGAGTCTACAAACTTTGGGTACTGTTACAGTCTTAGAGTATTGGACGTCAGAAAACTCTTGTATGAAAATGATCTGAGACACAGGACCAACCTACTTGTGATGAGCAACCAGAACATCCCAGGCTTCAGCTGTAGATAAATAATTCTGCAGGAAGCCAATAATGGCTCAGTTGTTTGCCAACCAATTGGCTGTACTAGAGGGACCATCAGCAGCACTTGGGCAAATGATGGAGCTGTTGATGTATCCGCCAAGCAAGCTCATGTCAAGGACTTCCAGGACAGACTGTTTTTGTTTCCACTCGAGCCAACTATCCTTAGTCTTATCCAACATCACAATATTTCTCTAACATCTGATATGATTTGCCCTGAGCTGAGATGTTAGCATTATTGATTGTGGAGCCTTTAGCCATTTTCTGGTAGAGATATTGATATGAGCAAAAATAAGTGATAGAATATGGGGGGGAAAAGTTTGATTGTATGCTTGTACTTGATATGGCCTGTATTTATCTACCCAGGGAATAGTATATGACATTAAGGTTTTAGAAATTAATGATGGTAGTGATTATCTGTTTCTTTTGGGAGATTATTGTGTCAAAAAAGGAGGTGACATCAATAACCCTCAGTTATATGGATGATGCTAGACGTTGCAAACACACTTATGTGGGCATATGGTTTTAGGGAGAAGGAACCTGATTTTTTAGGAGGTGTAAACAATAATGTGGGGAAAATATAAGAAAGGCATACCCTCAGTTGTACACAGAACAACTGAGGGGATTGAATAGGTGAAAATATAATCTATATATGAGAATGAACAAATCATGTGTGGTTGGAATATCTTATGTATTGCAAACCTAAACTGTACACTCCAACAAGGTGAAGGTGTACACCACCCAGAACACTTCAAAGGTATTCCTTTGCCACTGCTTACAATAGTCAATGCAACAGTGAGTTTAATAACTTTTATAATTCTTGTGTAGCTTACTATACTATTGAGATTGAGTATTTATTGCATGGTTGTATCAATGGCAGCAAATCCACACAAGAGTTTTCAGAGAGTGCCATCAAATCAAGGTAAGTTTTTGTTTACATTTTTTATGCCATACTTTGGTGTATTCTATTCTAAGGTGGGACTACTACCTTAAGAAGCTCTCAATTCTCCAGGACAGAAGCCCAACATAGATGATGAGAACAAGGGATGAACTATATCAGGATATTTTGTGAGTACTAATATCAAATCTTATTTCCTTGCTAATTGTCACAATGGGAATCAGTCTTCTTTACCTTGGGAAAGATAAAAAGAGCATCATCAATAACTCTGGGATTGATTTTAATGCCCTGGAAAATACTTCAAACAATAATGCTCCTTCTGTCTAGAAGTAGCTAGCAATTATCATAATTAAAGTATTATAATTATCTGGTCACACCTTTCTGAAAGATATAAGAGCCATAAATGCTACCATGATATTCCGAGTACTATAGGTGTTTTTACAAATCACAATGCTACTATATAAGCCTATTTGGACTATAGTGGGCTATATAGTACTATTATGCTTCAATAGATATTGGGGTTTCTATGACAGCTATATATGCAATTATAGTACTACAGATTGCTACTTTTTCTTTCCTGATATAGTGTCTCTACTATATGATACTATAAGAGCAATCATAGTAATGCATATGTTATATAGGACTATATGTTAGTTTTGGTGATTCTGCACCTTTGTGCTACCTATATATTTTCATTCCTTTCTCTATCTATTCTTCTATCATTCACTATTGATTGTGTTCTCTATTATTTCGCCTTTGTGGCTGCTTTGTTTACCTTTGTTTACAAAACTTCGGACAGTATTGCAGAGTCTAATGCTTCCTATTCTCTAGTTACTCACATTGGACTCTAGGTACTGTATACCTGTCATACTCTCTAATAATAAAGTTACTCACATTGGACTCTAGTTCCAGTCCCTGATTGCTCTCAGCAAGTGGCTAGACACTTCCTTCAAGCTTTGTTCTTAATACTATATTAGCCTGGATAATAAACCTAAGTGAAACTCAGCCGCTGCCCGAGAGGCTATAGAAACAACTTTATTATTTACCTAAGTGAAACTACAATAGATGTTAGTTTAAGGTGATCTCTAATAAATGTAATATAACATACCTCAGCCGCTGCCCGAAAGGCTATAGAAACGACTGAGGTATTCCTATACTAAACCCCCTACTACTTATAGTTGGAGGTGCTACTCGCTACTAGTATAATGACTCCTAGGAGTACAATTGTGCTCCTAGGAGAACAATGGTGACTCCATGGAGTGGTGGCTATGCTCCATGGAGAACAATGGCTGCTTCGGCAGAGACCGGGTTTATCCAGTTTTGTCACTATATAATAGTGGCTACTGTTTTTGAAGTAACTATAGTGCTATAAATGCTATGACTGCTATAGGTGCTATCACTAGGGGCAAAATCCTATGCTTTGTGGGAAAATATCTGAAAAACACCCAAAAAATAGAGATTTTGCTTTTTAGTATGTTTCTCCAAACAATATCAGAGATATTGATAAAAATAAATGTTTAATGTTGCCTTAAGAAATAGTGGGGGAAACATAGTACAAAATATTAGGTATTGCCCCCAATGTATGAGTGTCTCTTAGAGCGCTATCAATGCTATGGCTACAATTTGAGTCTTTATTTACACATATATACTGAAGAAAGGGTGAACACTGGTCATGTTTATGCCAAACTCAGATCTCTACTCTAGACAAAGTTGATGGTGATGATGATGAAGTTAAACCTGAGGAAGAGATTAAGAGGCTGGTACCTCCAGAGTACCATAATTTCTGGAACATCAGAAAAACATGACTTAGATATAAATGCAATAAATTGCAAATATATGCTATAATAGCAAAAATATCTCTTATATCCATAAGTGTGATTCTTGCACAGTCTCTTACTCTAAACTGCATAAATATCAATAAATATCATCTTTATTGATATTTGCATAGTTTAGAGTATTGCTATATCATCAAGAGTGGTTTATAGCATAGTCATCAAAACAAAAATGACCTTACACTTTTTCACTATAATTTACTATAATTTACTCTAAATGCAATTATAACAATCCATACTCAATTATATCCAAGAAAAAGCACTAATAAAGCAAATTATATTGATTCTAAATATTTAAAATGCTGCAGCATTATTATCATATTTGTAATTATGGTTTGGATGCTTTTGCTGCTTCTTTTAAAGCATCAAAATCAAACATGAGCTCAGATACATCAGATTGCCCCACTGTTATACAACCATTCCGACAAAAATTCTTGAGGTTAAGAAAAGGTTTGAATGATAATGAATCTGTAGTAAACTCTTACCAAACACACTCACCAATCACATTAAATATAGCTGCCAAGTATGTAAGAGAACATTTCCGAAATATTTCCAACAACCTCATATGATGATCCCACCTTGTAAAAGTATAATTAGTATAGGGTTATGGTGATTAAGGTGACATACCTAGCAGAAAATGCTGTCTCTGAGAATTCTATTGTAGTGTTGTTAATAGCACCTAGTAGAGTACATTCAATTGGGTAAATAAATTTGATTGTCACTTTTATTTAAAGAAGGATATGAACACTTACAGAGCATTCTACTAGATCTAAAGTAGGGAGGTTACATAGATAAAGGTTATTTTTTCTACCATACTTTCTACCTTCACCTTTGGGACCCCACTATTGTGCTTGAAAATGAATTTTGATGATATCATTCTTTCAAGGTTGGTTGTGTCAGATATCTTCTCCTGTATATTTGGAGTTAGTAAAAGTATAACAATAACACTTTAAAATAACTCACCTTTAAATCTATGCTGTTATTGATAAAAGCTGCTGAGTTTATGGTCCAATGGATTGTATCACTTAGTTTGTCCTTGTGGATGTTTTTGATGCCATACATAGGAAGTACACTGATTCTAGCTTTGGAAATAAGTTCCCCTCTGATATGTGTAGAACCTTTCCACATCTGTATTTACGGTGATAATCAGTATGGATATATATGAAGAAGTTTTAACTCACATATTGTAGTAATTGAGACTTGACGACCTGGTTGTCTTGTATGTCCTTCATTTTGTCCACTGGGCCACTGTCATTGTCTGCTGCTGTGGCTTTGACCAAAAAATCCCAGCATATTGCTTGACAACTGAGGGGGTTTGGAAATCCTTTTTCTGTGACTGTAAAAAGTCTCATAGCTTTGTGAGCCTGGCTTGCAATATGTTTGATGATAGGGCAGGCCATGGAACAAAGCTTTGGCTTCACAGTGGAAGATTTTGGAAGAGAAATAATGCTGGGGCTGCATGTCATAGTAGACATAGATGTACGAACAATTGAACAATCTGTTCCTCTTACAACCTGTAAACAAGTAAATAAACATTCTCAAGGCAACAATATTTTTACCTCATTATTATCCACAACTCTTTTTGGGTAGCAGTTGTCCTCCTCCTCCTCCTTTACCTCCTCCTCATTATCATCTGATAGAGGCTGTAAAGAAGGTACTACATAATTATCTTGATCATCACTAGATATTTCTGCGGGACCCAGAATATGATCTATTATATTCTTGCTATCATCAGCATTGTCATCATCATCAGCAACATCCTTATTATTATTCATTATCATCACTATTTAGGTATATATTATTACCATGTAGGTTGTCTCCTTCAGAATCTTCTTCATCAGCCAACATTGCTGTTACTCTTTTACGTGTAGCTACAAATAAGTATTCAGTTTTTGTGCTCTTAAGAGTAAAATCACATACCAGATTTCTCTGCCTCAGCTTCTGAGGCTAATGCAGCCTTTTTTCTTGCTAGAAAAGCCCCAAGCAAATTTTCCTCTATTGGTGTAGAACAAGTAAGAAAAACCTTTATTTTGACGTGGCTGGGGCTATCTAGGCTGGGTTGAAGGAGGTGGTGATAGAGAAGATGCTGTCACTAGATTATTTGCTACACCACTGCCCCTAGTTCTGAGAGCACTAGATTGTTTGGACCATGTAACTCTAAGCTTTAAAGACCTCAAGAAAAAATAAGCAAAAATGGCCAGACCTAAATGTGTCTTCAGCAGAATGGTAATTCAGAATAAATAAGCAATAACAAACCATACTGGGACCCACAAAACAATACATTACCTATGTCCCCTCTATCCCTTTCTAAGCCTATAAGTTAAAATAAGCAACCCAAATAAACTGATATTAAGTTAAAAAATACATTCCCCTCCCAACTATTTCTATTTTCTACCCAATTCCTAAACTGACCATCTGTGTGTACAACAAATGAGGCTCTCTCACTCTGATAATCTAAATTAAAGTGTGTTGACTCCTTAGATCTGAAAATGGCAAAGTCCCCACTCTTCAGTTCAAGAATAAGTCCCTACTCATGTAACACAAGAGCACCCTCTGTGAAATCTCCCAGTGGAAGAACAAGACAAAGGATGTGATCCTTACCATCTTTATAAGTGGTGGTGCTCACATTAATATTAACAACAAGAGATAAAAAGGGGTGACTGGAGATCCTGGTCTTCCAGGGAGCGTATCAACTATCTTGGCTAGCATAGAGTATTCTTTTAGTAGGCAGAATTCCATCTAGGAAACACATACATCAGAGAAGTTTAGGCATGAAAGAAATAGCAGAAATCTTACAACGTCAGAAATCCATTGGAAAACAACTGCAAAAGCATCCTACAAGTTCAAATAAAGCTGCTCATTGTCTAAGCCCTCCTTTGACATATAAGGGATCATCTTGGTGTTGTTAGTGACGTTCAACTCATGTGGGTGCACATCAATAGGTGCCCTATAACCCTTGATCAATGTATGTATGTGGGTGATATATATATAGAGAGGGGGGGAAATATACCTGAGTCCCATATCTGTTCCACCAGGAGGTCTTGAGGAAAATAGTTGAAGGAGTCTAGGAGGTGTTGTATTGTGTCAGCAATTGCTTAGCCATGTTAGGTCCATATATTATCTTGTAATACTGCCCATGTCCAATAAAATTTGTTGTCTGTAGCATCACATTTGACAGTTCCACACCAAAGAAGAATCAAAGGGTCTGAAATGTTGAGTAATATCAAATGCTTGATATCTGATTCATACAAGTTTGATAGTTCAAGGATTTTGCTCATTGGAAAAAGACCCAAGAAGATGCTTGGCCTGCTAATTCCAGCATTGAGGTGGAGCTCTCAATATTGCATTTCATTTTAAGCTTGCATGAGCCAGGTAGCTTCTTGGTGGATAGTATCTGGAAAGAGAAGTGTCAATGGGCATGTGAAGTATAGTCAGCGCTCAGAAAACCAACAAGTCCATGGTTTTGACCAATTAGTAAGTGGTGGTTTTTTGTTGCCTTGAGGTATCTGAACACTCATTTGGCCACTTCCCAGTGCATACATCCTGGATTTTGGAGAAAATACAATAGAATCATGATCTTCACTTTTTAAGGGGCCAACAAATAAATTTAAATTGAAGTCAATTCAGGCTGGTCATGTGATGGCTGCAGCTAATCCGGGAAACCCCAACTCTGGTGACCCTTTGCCACTGCAGTCCCTGTCCAAGCGACTCACTGATGCTAACAAGCGACTCCTCCAATGAGGCGTCTACACACTCTGAGGTTAATGCTGTTGTGAAGAATACTAGCTCACGAGCCCCTGCTGCTATATAAACAAGGGAACAGGAAGCTGTTCTCCTTGATACTTTGTACAAAAATGTTGGTCAAATCACCGACAACTACAACCTCAAGGAGAATATTTTTGCAGAGGCAGCAAATATTATCAACATAAGGTTCCAGGCAACAATGACAGGAGCCCCCAAGTCTATAACCTCATGCAAAACAAAGTGGGCAGCAGTAAGTGGTGTTATGGCATTGTTACAATACACAATTTTTGGACCTTTAGATTTCATTCTCCACTTTAACTTTTTTCTGTAGTTTTTACACACTGTGCCATGCGGCACTTTCTATTTTTGTTCAAACTCCACTTTCTCGCACTGCACTGCATTTTTTTATTCTTAGCTACAAGTCTCTCACACAGTAGAGTTAGTCACACGGGCTATACCCTTTGACATCATCTGCCACTGCCTTCATCAACTGTATAGTCCCCCTGTTATTTACCCACAACTAACTCAGTCCTATTTTAAGGGGTAACCACTCCCACTCACTTCACTACTACTTGTCTGAGTTGTGCGCCAGAGTATACAAGCTCTTGGTTGTTACAGGCATCATTTTATCATTATCTAACAAAGGTATACAGTTGACTCTCCAATAACCCATACTGCTGGGGAGAAGCTCCAGGGTATGGGTTATCAGAAAAAAGGGTATGGATTACTATAAAGAATTGAAAAGGATGAGATAAAATATGATTCAAATGTGATTTTCTTCAATACAGCATGTTTATAGATTGAATGATGAGCAAAAAGTAAAGTCATCAGTAATTTTGGATTCTTTAAGCTGCTGTGATGCTTCAAGCCTCATCTGACGTATGAGGGAGGCAAGCATGATCTTGAGTTTTTGAGCCAGCTCACTATCTGTATTGTCAAGGTGCCACACAATCACAGCAGTGGCCTCCAGGACCTCTTTGCGCATGGGAGGAGACTCAACAGGGCATCTTCCTTATTGTCCCAGGATCCCCCTGCTCCCGCATTTGTGTCCTCACTTCTACTCTCTGCCATAACTGTTTCGACAATCTCCACATCTGACATACTTAAGGCAGTCCAATGCTCCTCCTCTGGGTTCCAAATCTCCCTCAAGTACATCCGGTTCACTTTTTGGAGAGCTCCTGTTGCCTGAAGAGCATCAAGAGCTTCTTCAACTGCTTTCTTGGCATGCACAAGAGAGTCAGTATCTCTATAAAGAAGGGAAAAAACCAGAATAGAGGGCTGGGAGGGCAGAGCTAGTAAAGTTGGGTAAAATTCTAGCCTTCTTCTAACAGTTACTGAGTGTGGAGGTGTCAACCTTCCACCAAGCAGCATCAACCAGCCGCATAGCTTGGAGCTGGAGCTGATTAATTTCATAGATGCTGCTTGGGGTGATGCCCTGGTTATATTGGGTAGTTGCTCACTAATGTAGGCAGCCCAGTAGTGGGCCTTGAAGCATCTGATGATGCCCTGGTCATTTGGCTGCACATGAGATGTCAGATTTGGCTCAAAATTCTCAACATGGATATTTGTAAAACGAGAGGGAACAACGTGGCCAGAGAAGTTATCCTGCAATAGCAGGATATGCCTCCCCTTCTGTTGCAGCTCCTCATTCTAGTTCCTAATCCATTCTTGATACAGGGGAGTTGTCATCCATGTCTTTGGATTGTTTCAGTACAGAAATACATGTGCTGATGCTGATTTCTTGTTGAATGCTCAAGGCTGGAGGTATTTTCCAATGACAAGAGGCCTAAGTTTGTTGGTGCCAGCAGCATTTGCTGTGAGAGCATATGTGAGCCTCAGCTTCTGCGACTTCACCCCATTCATCTGTTTGTTGGATAAGCCTTGATCAGGTGGCATCCTGTCCAGTGAGAACACCATGTCAGTACCATTTTCTGACAACACAAAGCAGGTAACACATGCATAAAAAATGCCAGTTTTATCCATGTTGTAAATATTTTGCAGTTGACAGCCCAACTCCTCAATCAGCCCTTGGATACATCTTTGCTCCCTCTCAACAGTCTCTGTATTAGCTGATGCTGCCTCACCATGCCACTTACACTCCTTGAGCCCCATCCTTTCTCTGTACTTCGTCAACCAGCCATTGCTCAATGTGAGCCATTTATCCTCCGGAATCCCAGCCTGAGCAGCAAAAAAGCACCACTTCTGCCGCAGCACTTCCGCATTAATGAGGATATTATTAGCCATCACATTTGACTCACCACTTATCCTCATCCTTCAGCCAGTCAGAGAGGAGGGGCTGCAAGAATGCAATGTCAGGGTAAATGGCACAGAAGTAAGCTGCTGTTTGCTTCTATTTCATCTTTGTATCCCTCTTGTGGTTTAAGACCTCGATCCGGATGGCAAGTGTGGCCCTCTGCTTTTTTCCAGTGTTGAACTGGGAAACAGGTGCAGGCTTTGTGGGGTTACTGTTGCTCCTGGGTGAGCACTTCAATTTTGATGACTTTTTCTTCCTCACTATCTTACTCTCACCTCCTCTCAATTCTCTCAGTTTTTCAACCAGTAATTGGCTGTCTTTATCAAGTCCCTGGAGCCCCTGGTTGTAGTAGGATATGAGGGCCTCAATGTCACATTGCTTGTCAATGAGGTTGGCTGGGCCATCAAGCCAGTTCTTGTCTTCTTCAGAGATGGACTGACCACAAGAAATGTGAGCCTCAAGCTCAGCCTTGCATTGCATGACACTCTTTTTGAGGGCACCAAGTCCCTTTTTGAGTGTTTCTAAGTCAGTGTTATTCATTTGCGTACAAATTTGGGAGATGAAAAATCAAGAAATCAGTGCGTAAATTTGTATCAATACAATGCCAGCTGGTCAGTGCTAATGCTTAAAATCTACTTTTAAGGGTCCAAAAGCTACCAGAAAGTATGGGATTTGCCCTCCCAAGTGCATAGGGCATTGGGTATCAGAGGTATATGGGTTTGCGAGCCCACTTTAGTGGGGACCAACTTGGGAGAAGCCTCAATGTAGGGGGTTTCAGAGGATATGGGTTAGCAGGGAGATGGGTTATTGGAGAGTCAACTGTATATGTTGTACACTAGCTCAAGAAAAGCTATTGGGCTATCAGATGCCTGGTGAAATCTGGCCTTGCTAGGAGTGATAATAAGGGAGCAGGTATAAAGAAAAATGATCCTGTGTGGAAAGGTATTATGTTGGTATGTATCATTTTTACATTGTGAATATAGCTCACCCTCCTCTTTCCAGAATGATCCTGCTGCTTTAGCCTTTCAAAACAAAGGCTTCCCCCACTCTGAAACACTTTCCAAGATTCTCCCTGGAACAGAGCCTACTGGACATTACATCCACCACCCTAGTGCTACCACAACTATGAACCTGGCCAATCTTGCTGCAGTAACCACAGAAATCAGCACTTTATTATCAATACCCCCTCCCAGCACTTTAGTATCAATGCCCCCTCCCAGAGCCCCTGTTGCTTCCCCTAGCATGGCCCGATGCACCCCTCCCACTGCTGTCTCCTCCTCACAACACAGTTACTCCTACCTCTTCTGCATCTGTATCACCATACTCTGACAGTGTGCTTTCCTCTCCTCACCAACCCTTGTTGTCTTCAGTCAGAAGTGCTGTGGACCCCAGCACATTTCCATCATTGTTTATTGCCACAGATGAGGGCTCTGGGTCTGTTTTTACGAGTGTAAGCAGTTTCAAGCAAAAGCATAGTGCAATGGAGAGTGCCAGTGTGTCCAGGTCTTTAGAAGGTGGCTCTGTTGTGAGCATCTCAAAGTATTCGCATCCAATGACAGCAACAGCAAAAGCCCAGCAGGAAGGATCAAAAGCAGTGAAGAAGATAACCGGCCTAGTTAAAGAACTCACAAGGGGTGCCAATACTGCTGCAAACACCGCAAATGCACCCACAACCAACCTTGGCTGTGCCATTATTTTCTTGTCATCCTCCAACTTATCTGATATAGATAAGGCCAACCTTACCAATTATTTCACTTTACATTAATTTGAAGCAGCCGCTTATTATTATCTACAGAGTGAAGGTGCCCGGAAGATATGGGTCCAGAAGAGTCCCTGTTTATCTCCACCTACAATACTGTCACATCCCCAGAGCTAGCAAAGCTCTTCCTCTTACATGTGTTCTCCAAGCACAGAGTTCCCGCTTATATCACCTCCAATTGCGGCTCCAAGTTTGTCTCCCATTTCTTCCGCTCCCTCGGAAAAGCTCTCAACATTTGCCCCCACTTCACCTCCGGTTACCACCCAGAGGGCAACGGACAGACGGAACAAACCAATCAGATGCTAGAACAGTCAGTACCTATGGATCTACTACAACTACCAGCAGGACAATTGGTCTGGACTTCTTCCATTAGCGGAGTTTGCATCTCCGAGCGCCGCTACAGGGGTGTCCCCCTTCTTTGCGAACAAGGGTTACCACCCTAACATCTTTGTGCACCCAGAGCGCAACCTCACTTCCGCTAGAGCCTGAGAATACGCCATAGACCTTGACGACCTCCACCAGTTTCTCCGGGACGAGATTACCCATGTACAGAAGCAATACCATAGCCCCACAGATGCTCCCCGTATGCCAGCCCCGGATCTCCAAGTTGGCGGACAAGCATATGTCCTAGCCAAGTACTTCCGCTCCACACACCCCTCCAAGAAACTCTCAGAGAAGTATCCTCCTTGACCCTCTGGGCTTCTACTGCCTGTCTTGCTTCCTCCTCCACCATCTCTGCGCAGAGTCAGGCCATTTTTGCAATTGCGGTCTCAGGGGTGTTGAACATCGTGGGTGGTACTAGGTTGCGGGTGGTAGGAGGGGTGGGGTGGTCTAAGTTTATGAACAAGACTGTTCAACTGAAGGAATTCTGATTCGACCCCCCATGTTATATATCCTCATTCAAACTCAGCCGGACTCTGCATGCCGCCCGCTACTAGAAAATTTGTCCACCAGAAAAAATCCTACCCTAACCACGTTTCAATATATGTCCACTGGAGCCCTTTTCCCAAAGGCTATTTTTGGGTCTCAAGGGTTTGACCCTAAGAGGTGGATACTGTCATATCCGTACCAGAAGACAGAACTCCGGCATCTCCAAAGGAGTTGTTCTCCGAGTCCAAAGCCCCCAAACTATTGTTATACTCGGGATTACGTTCCTCATGGTCTGCCGGTCAGCATAACTTTCTCCTTGCACATTCTAGTATTCCTTGTGGACTCTGTGGTTAGACCTTATGATACACTTCTTGCACATACATTCTCCTCTTGCTAGATAATTGTCCGCATGGAACTCTGTACCTACATTACAAGTTACTCCTTACAAGCTCCTGCTCCCCCAACAGTATATAAGCTGTAACTCCTATACTCCATTCCAGCAGTTCAAATATCAACTAGATTCCCTCGCTTTCTTACCAGTCCTTTTCTAAGTCCTTTCCGATCCTTCTCCAAATGATCTTTACTCTGCTCCTTTTCATCCTCTACTTCTCCTCTGTCCACTTCCAATGAGCTAGGGACCAAGGTCCGTGGAAAGGTCTAGTGCACGAGTTAATCCAATTCCCCATCTTGTCCTCCGTACTCTGTTACTCTGCCCTCTGTACTCCGCAGCTCTGTTACTCCAAAGAGGCCATGGTTCTGACAACCATCCAGCACCATCCAAGTAGTTGTAGGCAGGCAATCTGACAAGACCAATGCAATTCTCCATCAGGGCTTTTGAGACCTTGATAGCAAATTAAGTGCACTTTCATGTAGTACAGGCATATCAGAATCACAAATAACCGATCTTGGGCACAAATCCCACTCACGCAAGATTAATGCCCATAACTTCTGGAATATTTATGGTCAATATTGCTGTCCACCAAGGAAGGGAAAGGCTGAGGTGTTCTTCAAACGACCAGGTCACAGGCAGCCATTGTCATTTATTACAGTAGACATCATCATATTTCAATTTATTATTATTGAAGCGGTAGCAATTCGCAAAGAGTGCTACATGCACTTCAAAAAAGCATACCCAGATGCATGGCAAGATATCCTTGGAGCATTTGAAGAGGCCTCATAATGTTCTGAGTTTCCAAAGACAGTTGTACAATGTTCGCAAGACTTCAACAAGTCTAAAAGGAAAATAGTTCAACTTGTTAGTGTTTGCAATTGGTTTGGCATAACATATGTAATTGATTATTGCACTAGATTGAGGCACCAGCAAAGGTGCATGACTTTGAGGTGGCAATGGTGATGGCTGGTAGTGATGTAAATCAAGATGCCTCTCTTGCATTTGTTCATACTACCCTACGTGTTACAATACACAATTTTTGGACCTTTAACTTTCATTCTCCTCTTTAATTTTCTTCTGTAATTTTCACACACTGTGCCAGACAGCACTTTCCTTTTGTTCAAACTCCACCTTCTCACGCTACGCTGCCTTTTTTTATTTTTAGCTACAAGTATCTCACGCAGCGGAGCTTGTCACAAGGGCTGTGCCCCATGACATCATCAGCCACTGCCTCCATCAACTGTATAGTCATACATGTACAAACAACCTGTAGTAGTATATATACCCTAATAGATCAAGGAGACTCCTCAGTGAGTCCTCCTGTTGTTTACCCACAACAAACTTGGTCCTATCCAAGAGGTAACCACTCCCCTCACTTCTTTATAGCTTTGTCTGAAGTTGTGCGCCAGAGTATACAAACTCTTGGTTGTAACACCAGGTGCTGAGAATGTGAGTAAAAAGAGCCTAATAAAATCAAATTAAATTGCTGATTCTTGTGAAAGTTCTTTCAAGACCAAGGTTGAGCAAATAATGACCAGATGATGGGTAAATTCAAGGCTCACATATAGTAGGTTGTTTAACGTACTGGTTGACATACACTTGTTTAAACCCACAGCAACTGTGTTTCACTGAACTCAATAGGAGATACATTTGACAATCACAGCAACAAGGCAAATGTTGCTCCTGAGTGGGAAAAAAATTTCAAAGGCTCTAACAAGGTTGACAAGGAGGCTATTGTAGAAGAAAAAAGTGATTTGACCCCCATCAGGAGGCTGGTTTTGGCTTAGCTTGGTATGTTGTTCACATTCTCAACCAGGTAATCCTCACATATGCAATATATACAGAGGCTCTTGGCCACAAATTTGTGTCTGGAAAATATTTCCCTTGGAAGGGTATGGCAAAGGAACTTGCATCCCAAGATATTGTCTATGTTAACTAGCCTCACAGTGTGCTTCTCCCAGGAGAAGAGCAGTCTTCTACAGCCAAACCAAAAGGTATATCCAACTTAACGCTCTCTGAGCACTTAAAGCTGTTTGCAAGCTTGCACAACCTATAACAATCAATTACTCTTCAAATCTTTGCCATAGTTACAACTTAAGTACTATAATTTTTTTGTATCATGTACAAGCTGACACTGGCGGCCTACTGGTGGCCTCCTGTTGCTCAATTAATCCATTCTACCAAGCTTGTCATTGTTGGTGCTGCCCCCCCAAATGGCTCTTCAGATCCTTTTAGGTGGAGGAAATTTGCCAATAATGGCATGAATATTTGTGGCTTGCCACACAAAAAACATATATCAGCCAGGGGAACAAGAAAAAGAAAGGATCAAGGACATCCCAGTCAAGCCACCCACCAAGATGAAACCTCAGATGAGGACAAGCCTCATGCAGAGCCTCCTGCAAGGACCGGTGGCAAAAAAGTTGAGGTTGTTAAAGTTGTGCCCCCCCGTTCAAAGCTATCGAAGTCAAAGGTCAGGTTTAATGAGTCAAGCAATACAGAGTTGATATCAGAGGTTGAGGCTCCAGAAAAAAATGAAGAACATGATGCACAGTCCACTTCTGACACAGGATATACCTTTCCAGTTCAAAAGCAAAAAGTCAGTGCTAAGGCATCCAAAGTGGTACACACTCCATACATTTGCAGCAGGAGAAGACTACCAACAAGCCACAGTAGGCAAAGAAGGCATTGGCAATGGTCAAAGAGTTGCAAAAATCATCCCATACCAAGAGCCTCCCAACCACAAAAGGACAGAGTACCGAGTACCAGCCCTAGGGTTGGCCAGCCATTGTCACTAACTGAACCTTTATCAGAGAATGAGAGTCCCAGAAGGACACAGGAAAGTGTTTGTCCCATTGCCAACCTTTGAGTGCCTGTGGAGGCTCACCTAACTATTGTACAGTCTTAACCCTACTCAATGAGTGTGAAGAATAGCTAAATGTGAAAAGTAAGAATAAATGTTTATTGTTGGGCTCTGCTAATATTTATCTATATAAAGCACAACTCAAGCCCACACTGTGCAAGGCAGATGATATTTCCAAGGAGGGCAGTGTTAACCTGGACAAGATGCTCAATTTACATTATCGGACATTCAAGACGCTTGCAGCTCGTGCCAATATACCGGAGCCTCACAACACTATGCAACCCACTAGCAGTGCTCCCCCCTTTATTTCTGTTGCTAGTGCTTCCTTACCCTCTTTAACTGCAGAACATCCATTGGTGCAACATTTGTACATGCCTGCTAGGCTTGCTGGCATCAAGGAGGGCCATCCTTCTGTTACGTTGGGCAATAGCCGCCTTGCCGTACAAGATGTTCCTACAGAAGACCCATATTGCATGCCAGGGGAGGGAGCACTTTGCGGTGAACAAAGGCCACTATGCTGGGGAGCAAGACAATATCACAGCTTTAGCAGGTGCCTCTCGGGAGCCTCCCCCCCCCTCCTATAGACTACATGGGTCATAGCAAGCAACATTTTGTGGATGACTACGTTGGTGTTAGCGGTGGTGTGGTGTCATCACATCCCCCACCTATATCAGGCATTGGCCATGCTGAAGGCCCATATTACACACCATTGGAGGGGCCACTTTATGCTGGACAAGGGCCTTTGCATTATCCTGGGGAGCAAGTACATACAACAGCTGGAAAGGGAACCTCTCAAGAGCCTCCACCACCTCTCGACAACTACACCAGTAGTGGCCGTGCTGAAGACCTGTATCACGCACCTGGGGAGGGGGTACATTGTGTTGAAGATGGTGCCAGCCACTATCAGGAGCAAGGGAATGTGACAGCTGTAAGGGGTAGCTCACGAGAGCCTCCTCCCCCTGTCAACAACTATGTAGGTCATTGCAGACAGGGTTCTGTAGACAACTATAGTGGTGGTGCTATTGTGTCACATAGATTATTGGAAGGCCAGTACACTGACTATTGATCAAGAAATCAGCTTTGCAATGGGTGGTTGTATCAGGGACAATGGAATGAGCCTTACACCTTGGAAAATGCACACCATGCAGGACTCGACCAAAAATATGGTCAAACAGCCCCAGGTGGTTATGCGCCCTCAAGCCATGAGGGTATACATCACAAAAATATGTGCAACATTGCTGGCACCCTGCGCCCTTAAGAAGACATACATGGATGTACTCCAGTACTCTATCAAGGTTCTGGAGACCCCCCAGAGTACTCAGCGAACCACACCATGGCAGGGAAATTGGTACCATGCAGGGCATGGACACCAAGCAAGGGTATTGCAGTTCCATCTGCCACCTTATCTTGCCTTGCCTGCTCTTGCCTTGCTAGGAGAATATTTGTAAAAGTTGTCCAGCAACCTCATATGATGATCCCACCTTGTAAAAGTATAATAAGTACAGATTTATAGTGATTGAGGTGACGTACCTAGCAGAAAATGCTGTCTCTGAGAAATTCTATTGTGGAATTGTTGATAGCACCTAGCAAAGCACATTCAATCTGGTAAACAATATTGATTGTTAATTTTATTTAAAAAAAAGATATGAACACTTACAGAGCATGCTACTAGAGCCAAAGGTCTTTCAGAAGTAGCCTAGAAATTGTGAATAGTAATATCAAATAACGCCAACATAAATAAATTTAATAATGTCATTGTTATAGTTTGAAGGTAGTGATGATGGAGAAGGAGTACTTTTTGCAGCTCTACCCCTGGCCATCAGATAACTGCATTGTTTAGAATGTATAATCCTAGGTATTGGAGTCCTGAAAACCAAGCCAATGATACAAGTTCAGTATACGTGGCAAAGATGAAAGATACAAATGATACAAACAAATACAAATCTAAAATAATAGTTTCAGCAAGTGAAAAATTCTTGCGCACCAATATAGGGAGAATATGACAGTGAAAATATACTGTATCCAATGCACAGAGGCCCTTCTTTACAAGTACTGAGAAAGACCGGCCTATTTGCAGCCCGAATGGTTGAACCCATTTGAGTTTTTATTTTGGTTTGGTATAGTATTGAAATGACAATGTGAAAAGGTAAATAAAATTCCCACATTTTGACACTGTGTGCCACAGTGGTGAGCCATAATAGAGGGCAGGAGTGCGTTGCAGCACAGTAGCACTTTCCCACAGTTGACAACACATTTTGCTCAACACTATAGGCATTATAGAGAGATCTGACTGCTTTTTGAGATGTTTAAACTTCGGTTGTAACACTTTCCCGCGCATCAAGCGGGAAAGTGTTACAATCGGAGTTTAAACATCTCAAAAAGCGGTTCAGATTCAGTCTCCTACCCACCCTCTATTTCGAGAGAGGGGGGATTTATCCTAGTGCTTTGATGTTGAGATGATATACGAAAATAAAATAAAAATAAAACACATCACATGACTCAAAAATTTGAACGTCCCTCGCTCTCTCTCCATAATAGCTGGAACATAACATCAGTAAACAATGGTTTGCCACAGTGACGGTGTCGATGATGAGAACTGTTGTTAGAAAACCACACACAAAAACAAACTAACACACAATCCTCCCAGATTCCACGGAACTTGTTTATGGGCTTTGCCTCCTAGAACAGTGGGTGCTCTGGTTGTTTGTGGGGTGGTATGTATGAGGATCCTTCAAAGTAAAACCCAGAGATGTATGGGTGTGGGTTTTGAGGAGGAGGGATAGTTGGAATATAGAAAGATAGGGGCTTTGTGGCGAGTATAGACGAGCACTACCTTGCTAATTGTAGCACAAGGTAGGTTTGAGAATGACAATATGACGAGGTTCCCAGTGATAGCAGGCTCCTGACGCACAAACTGTAGTGCTCAGAAGGACTCTAATCGAAAGGGATGACAATGACTTCAAAAGTGGGAAGTGACGATGACAGCAGTTGACAGTGGTAGCAGTGGGAAGTGTTGTGACCACACTGGATCACAAGCAGCAGAGTAGTGAACTTCAAATTAGAGAAGAAGTCTGGAATTGAGTTTTTGTTCTTTACAAGGTAAAATACAGGGGTTTATATAGTAAAAGAAAAGTAGGCTATGCACAGTATAGCTGTGCAAAAAGAATGAGAAAGAACATAAAGGAAGGAATGTACACTGATAAATCCTGTGTAGGTAGTACAGGATAAGATATTAAGAACAAAGCTTGAAGGAAGTGTCTAGCCACTTGCTGAGAGCAATCAGGGACTGGAACTAGAGTCCAATGTGAGTAACTGTATTATTAGAGAATATGACAGGTATACAGTACCTAGAGTCCAATGTGAGTAACTAGAGAATAGGAAGCATTGGACTCTGCAGTACTGTCCGAAGTTTTGTAAACAAAGGTAAACAAAGCAGCCACAAAGGCAAAATAATAGAGAACACAATCAATAGTGAATGATAGAAGAATAGATAGAGAAAGGAATGAAAATATATAGGTAGCACAAAGGTGCAGAATCACCAAAACTAACATAAGATTGTCAAAAAAAGGAAAAGAAAGGGATTAAACAATGAATGCTGTGAGTAATGTCACAGGTTTGTACAGCCATAAAGTAAAGTCCAATAGCAAAAAGAGAGCAGGAAAATCATGATATTATGGGAAGATACAGGTAAAAAAAAGGGCAAGGCAAAACACTATCAGTATCAACACAGTTCCTTGATTGTCAGTCAGGCATTCTAAAAAATATGTGTCCATAAAAATGATTCAAAGTCCGATGGTATAACCGATGAGTAAAGAGAAATAAGTAGTCCTTAAATGTCCAATAGCAATCATAACACCACATGAGTAACCTCTGCCCAAGCCTTTAACTTTTTCTATTGAGAGCCCCAGGCCGCTCTTACCTTTGGCCTGACCTTCCCAGAGTATAAGCTCCTGACTTACTAGATGGTGTAGGCCTTCAATTTTGCAAGTGCCTATTTGTAAGTTAGAGGGTAATACCAATTTTCTCCTCTCAATAGGCTCATCATTGCCATCACAGGAACCCGGGAGGTCAAACAGATTTATGTCTTCTGAATTGTCATCTTTGTTGGAGTTTGGCCATCCCAGGACCTCCTCAAGGAATTTGACAACATCAATATTACCTATATACCTTTCAACCTTGAGGTTGAAAGCATTTATGCAGGAAAGCAGGTGTTGACACCTTTCCTCTAACTCCAGTTTTTCTGCAGTTGTGCCCTTTTTTTTTGATTTGTTTTGCATACATTTGCAGCTGTATCGTGTTAGGTAGTGTTAATCACCATTAGTATGTATCCCCAGGATTCCGGGGGCCCGGGGACTTACATCAGGAAAAACCCTTTTGCTATATAGTGCTATATAGTCCCACCTATATATATAAATGCATTCATAGGAACTATAGTACTATCAGTGCAATCATAGCTCTTATAGCTCTTATAGCGCAGTAGTAGGCAAAATTTTGACCAAGGTGAGAAGTTTCTATATTTCCTCAAATTCTGGATTAATCTAGTAAATTTGTTCAACAATAGAAAGAGGCCAGAAGTGTTTGGAGTCAAGTATATTAATATAGGCAAGGTACTATAAGTGTTCTTATAGCCTATAGCAGCCTACATAGCTCCTATAGTTGTAAAGGTCATAGTTGTAATATAGTTCAAGGTGCTTAAAAGGGCTAATAAATCATACAGTATTAATCAATTATGTATCCTATATTAGTGAAATAGTAATTTGTATCTTTGATATTTATAAAAGTAAGAATAATGATTCATCCAAATATAAGTGGTGACAATGAGTAAAAAAATAATCTAAGTCCATAAAAGGTCAATATATAATACCTATATAATATATTTTATGAGCTCTCATTATGTAGTGGATAAATGTGATGTGTGGCTATAGGTTGCTTAGTCACCCAAGAGCTGACCGGCGGGTTGGGAGTTTAAATCCTGTTTGTGTTGATTTTTTTTTATCAGCCACACAACAATTTCCAACATCTATAAGAGCATTTATAGGGCTATATGAGGCTCTATAGATGGCAGAGGTTCTATAACAGGTTTAACCACTATAACAGCTTTATGAGTACTTATAGTGCTATAGAGCTCTATATAGCTACCCCCATTTTTCCTGATGCCTACTAAGTCTCTTCCAACCTCAGACCCACCAATAACCAAGCAGCAGTTCCTCGGACCACTCCATTTCTTGTTTCCTATTGTGATAAATGCAGCTGGATTTTTGCTTTGCTGGGTAATTTTGCTATGGAGACTTTATATATATTCATGGCATCTTTTTTATACAGCCAGTTTTGCTGTGCTTTTTTTTGCTGGGAAATCCAGGCCTCTATGTCCTCAGAGTCTGCAGTGTAATTGATGTTTTCAAATGCAAGCTTGCTTGATGTTGAACCTTTTTGAACTTCTTGCAAAGTGCTGGGACTTAGCCATAAATATGGATAAGTTATTGAAGCCCGGGACCTACCCATTCATATAAATTTTTTTCAATTCGAACCACTCATGTGATTGTCCAATATTTCTTGCCTATGTGACTTGCTCATAGCCCGGGTACTTTGAGAGACATCATTGAAAGGAGCCCAAAGTGTTTCTAATATCTCACCATCAACCTGCCCGGCCCCGGGGATGAAGTTAGGGGCGTATCTTGGGAAGCAGATGTCTTGATATCTATGCACAAGAAATAATCCAATGCCTTTGTACATGGATACACCACTGGGGACCTGAAGGTAGGGACTTTCAAGGACCTCTTGGAGACATTTTTACCATATTGGCACATTATATTGTAGAGGACTATACTGAGTTGATCCCGGCCAATGAAGGCAAGGCCTGATACAGGGAATAGTCCATGCTCATTTGGCTATGAAGAGTGAGCACTTGCACAATCTCAGATTTGTGGACCACTCCCCGTTCACCTTTCTGAAAGTCCACTAGGGCACCTGGGCAAAACACCCTGTGCCAGGTGCAGGCAGTAGCACCAATCCCAGTAGCATCAAGGTGCTGCTGGTCCTTGTTTGCCAGGTTTACAGCTCTGTGGTCATCACAAGTAGACACCACTTTATTTTCTTTGGCAATTTTGAGGTGCTCCATGTATGGTTGGTTAGCTGTCAAGAATACTGTGTCATCAGCCAATGGAACTTCATCATGGGGGTTCTTTGACTTTATGCATTCTGTGTTAAAGTTTTTGTTCATGACAAAAATCCTCAAGTGATACTGCCTGAGGGGGTCCTGCTTCCAATTAAGCGAGACATTGATACCCGGCTGAGGGCAAGCTGGGCAAAATAATGCTAGAGACCCCAGGGAATGGTGACACTTGGGTAAGTGTGCAAATCCATGCCAATGCATATATTTCAGATGTCTCCACTGCTGGGACACTCTCATGAACTCCTGATATCTATTCCAGAGTGAGAAAATATTATTGAGGTTGCCAGGAAGTCTAGAACTGAGGGATGCACTGGGACCTTGTGTGGGAATGCACTATTTGTCACCTGCCATATCTTGGAATAGAAAGTCATTGCAGAAGTTTTACATTCTTTGTTATCAATTAAGAAGTCATCAAGCAAAGCAAAGGTGAATGCTGTTTGAGGCTTCTTCTGATTTGCCAAATACAACCCATTGGACAAGAGCTGAACATCTGAGTGAGCAGCATTGGGATAACTACATCATCTCACAGGTCAGTGGACAAAAGCGATGGACGCTATGCAGAATGTGCTTATGTGACAATTGAGGGCTCTAACTTACAATTGCCTGATTTGCCTACTGATATTGTACCAATCCTGCCTACTCCTACAAGATTCACTTACAATCCTAAACTCACCACTATGGACAGCTCTTCAATGCTGTTCTCTAAAAAGAGTCATACTTGACCTCACTAGTTGCATGTCTCTTCAAAGTGTATGTTATGCTATCTTGAGCCACTTTGCTCGCTGGTATTGCTATTTTAAGATCATTTACAGGCAAAAATATCAATTAACATATAGCACAAGAATTCTGAGACAAGTTTTGAGGGCCAAAAAAATTGGATGACACTACAAAGCTAGACTATGATAACCTCCCAACCCCACAGACCTTTATCAATATGGAGGCTGGCTCCCACATGACATAGCAAATGGGTGTAAGGTCTGATAACACCCTATGTAGCTCAAGCCTCCCAAATGCCATATTAATGTGCACCTCCTGTTATCTAGATGTCAACATCTCCATGTTGAAAGCGCAAACAGACATCCTCAATCAGCTCACAGCTATAGCTGCTTGTATTTTCATTTGATCCAAGGACCAATGCTGTGGCTGTTTCCTCTTCATTTTCCAATAAATGGGGGGTATTATCTCATAATTACACATGGTTGAGGATCAATCCCCTATTTACCTTTAAGTACCAAGATACTAAACTTATCTAAGTTCCGACCTACATTATGAACCTGAACCATGGATCAATCCACCAATTAGTTTTAAGGACCAAGGTATTATCCCAAATTAGCTTTAGTCCCCACTATATGGACATAGACAATGGACTAATACCCTAAACACCTCTAAGGACCAAGGTATTGAGGGCTTTTAGCCCCATCTTTTTGGTGAAGATGATCAAGCTAAGAGCCCCCCCAAAATGGTCGCCTGAAGTGAAATTTTGGCATCAATAGCTTGATGTCAGCTAAGGAGCCGCGACTGTAAAAATTATCATTTTTATTTATCAGTCACCAAGCTTGTTATTGTGGCTGAAAATGACAACTTCAGATATTCTCTGGTCAAATTGGTCAAGATCAGGTGAGTACAGTCAAGGGATGCCAGATAGTCATGTTTAATAGGATAAATAATGTATATTGTGTCAGAACTTAGTAGATTGGTCACACCATCAGACTGATAAACATTTCACTATTTTATGTATCTCACAATGCATTATAATTAGAGAACAACAATTATAGGACTCTCTTCAATTTCCTGATGGAGCTTATAGACTTGGGGGCTCCTGTCATTGTTGCCTAGAATCTTGTGTTTATTCTGCTGCCTCTGAAAAAACAGTCTTCTTGAAGTTGTTGTTGTCAGTGATTTAACCAACATTTTCATACAAAATATCAAGGAGAACAGCTTCCTGTTCCCTTGTCCGTATAGCAGCAGGTGCTTGTGAGCCAGTATTCTTCACAATGGCATTGACCTCAGATTAGGAGTTTGGAATGTAGAGAGCGTGTAGATGCCTTACTGGAGGAGTTGATTGTTAGCATCAGTGAGTTGCTTGGACAGGGATTGCAGTGGCGAAGGGTCACCATAATTAGTTTCCCGGATTACACAGCAAGCATAACCAACTTTTGTCATACTCATAATTGATGGAAAAGTCTGAAAGTAGCTGAAGTATTTGATTGCATTTTGGACCTACAAAATGATGTCTTTTTGTTGACATATTCCCATAAATACTATATTTTTGTGTGGATATGTAGAAATATGTTAACAAAAATACATTATTCTAATAAAGTCTTGTAGGTTCAAAATGCAATTAAATATTTTAACTACTTTCAGACTTTTTCTACTTTCAGACTTTTTCATTGATTTTGGGTGTGACAAAAGTTGGTTATGCTTGCTGTGTTAACTGCAGCCATCACATGACCAGCCTGAATTGACTTCAAACTGACTTCATTATTCGTTGGCCGAATGAGGCCTAGGTTTGTAAACTCCGCTGCCATGGCTTATACCGAGCGGCGTTTCAATTTCAATGTTACACGAACGATCTCATCGAAGGTCCTTGGCCGATAATTACCATTCTGCACAGTGATAACATTACCAGCCATGGTAAGCACTCTTCTAGAACACTGCCTGCTTGCGTTTTGTTTCTTCAGATAAAATATTGGGATGTTCTTCGGGATGGATTGCAATTCTGGACTTGGATTATTCGTTTTTAACTTTTGCTGATTATCTGCATTACATAGGCTGATAGTCTCCCACCTGTCACTCTTCGTACTCGTAAATTTATTACCAATCGCCTCCTCGCTCGTCGTCAGTTCGTCCTCGACGTACTTCACCCATCTCGTCCTAATGTTTCCAAGGCCGACCTTTCTGAAAAATTAGCAGCTATGTACAAGGCAGACAAAGCTAGAGTGGTCACCTTTGGCTTTCGAACGCATTTTGGTGGAGGACGCAGCACTGGATTCGCAATGATATACGATGACGAACCATCCCAGAAAAAGTTTGAACCTAAATATCGTCTCGTGCGAGTACGTACATTTTCTTTCATTCGAAAGTATTACTGACATGAACATCCATATTTTAGTCGGGTCTGGAAATCAAATCAGACAAAGCATCTCGGAAATTGAGAAAAGAAAGAAAAAATCGAGCCAAGAAGGTATGCCCATATCGTAATCATTACAATTTGTTAAGCCTAATTGTTTTGTTGCAGTTGCGTGGTACCAAGAAAGTGAAAGCTTCCGAACCCCCGAAGAAGGGCAAGTAGATATTTGTAGGGCTGGTTTCGAATCTGCTTCCTGAATATTCCTTGTTGGTCGGGCATGTTGGAGTGATGAATTTAAATACGTTTCAGACACATCGCTGTAGGCTCGTGACCAGACAAGGTGAAATTATTACGCACTTACATAATGGCCTGTTTGGATGTCACACCAAAGTGTTAATAAATCTAAGTGAAACTCAGCTGCTGCATAAGAGGCTATAGAAATGACTAATATTATTTACCTAAGTGAAACTACAATAGATGTTAGTTTAAGGTGATCTCTAATAAATGTAATGTAACACACCTCAGCCGCTGCCTAAGAGGCTATAGATATAGTTGGAGGTGCTACTTGCTACAGTATAATAACTCCTAGGAGAACAATGGCTGCTTTAGCAGAGACAGGGTTTATCCGGTTGTGTCAAGCATCTGCCTACAGCACTTATGTTGGCATGACTGACTCAAGGCCATTCCCAAGCTGCTCTGGCTTTCCGTCCGGTTCATTTGCTCCCTATGGTATTTCCAGCTAAATTCATAACGAGAGACCAATATCTTGAAAAATCACACCCATAGAAGTTTGGCTGACTTTCCACTGAGTTAAATTCAGTTGAAATATCAGACTATGGCCTCATTCAGCCAACAAATAAACTGAATTTGAAGTCAGTTCAGGTGGGTCATGTGACTGTCCCTGAGAATTTGAGTGAACCTTCACTCAGAGATATTTGTGATGGCACTGATAAGATTATCATCATGGCAATCATCATAGATCCTCAAGTTCAACAAGCAAACCATCAATGTAGATTCCTCACCATAGTTGCTACTGTCCTCGCACAAGTCATGTACTACTATAAACACATATTTCTGTCTACTACTGTGCCCATCCTGTACCATACATCATTACTGACTGGTGATGCCTGGGTCTGTAAGCTAATGAATGGACATCCAGACCAAATCCGGCACAACCTTGGAGTCAGCCTTGAGGTTTTTGAGGTTTTGGCTTACACCAGAACGGCTTTACAATGTCACACAATGGAGTTGTGCTTGAGGAATAGCTAGCTATATTTTTATATGGGTTTGTGACAGGATTATCTAGCCGCCACCTCGGAGAACACTTCCAACATTCACCAGAGACCATATCCTGGTATGTGTTTTAACTCTCATAGCTGGCAAGTATCTGTGACACACTTCTTGTGCCTTACTGCGGTGTTCGTTATCATTTAAAAGAGTGGGCTCAAACAGGTTCAACATGAGTACAGTTTATTATTTATTTCTCTACTCAAACATATAAAAATAAACAGTCCACAAAACCCACAAGAGCTTTTTAATTTGCAGCATACTATGCTGCTCAACATTATTGAGTGGATCTTTGGGGTTCTCAAATGTCAATGGCATATCCTTCAAATTCCACCTGAGTACAATTTACATATTTAGGCCCACATCCCCTCAGCTTTTTTTGCAGTACTTTGTAGCTCTCATTTCACATTTTCTAGTGATACCTACATGTTTTTATAGCTTACAGATAATTCAATATTTTTGCTGTTTTTTCAATGTTATTTTGAGTGGTTGAAGATCCAACTGGAATTCTGCAGATAACACCAAATATCTGGATGTTCCAAATTTCCAAATTTTCTCTCTTTTTTTAAATGTGGTTTGTCCAATTTCTACAAGACAAATCTTAAAATACCTGGAGATTTGGCTTACTCAAATGTTTCTGACCTTTGATGATTTTTACAGATATTTTCATCAATTTCTATATATTTCAAGGTATATCTAGATATTTACATTTGTGGCTTGTCACTGGGCATCATGATGATGGTGTAATGACAACAAATATTTAGATAAGATTCAGAACAACTCAGCTTGCAGGATTCAATCAAATTTCAGGAAAATAGTCACACAAGGATGAAAACAGTCTGGAAGATGATTAAAAATAATTTCAAAAAAATGCTGTGGATAAGGGTTGAATATAAGGAAGACATGAGTTTGAAATGTTTTATAGTGAATGCTTAGGATCAATGATAATGCAATTTAGAGTGGATCCTTGGATAATTTAATAAATATTACCTACAAAATATTCTCTTTATGTTGCCTGCCTTGAGCATGATCATTTTGTAAATATTTTCTATATAATATATGAAACAGTAGTACAATGATTTTACTAGAAATTCTAGACTCAAAACTGTGAGGACAGGCAAATGATATTAGGGATTATATTTTTACAAAGAAATCACTGTAAGATCACACTGCAAGTCTAACTATTATAAGTCAATCCCCAGTGTTAATGGTGTTTGCTGCTTGTGTGAAAATGGCCTCCTTAAAGTTGTAGTTATTAGTGATTTGACCAACAGCTTCGTGCAGAATGTCCAGGAGAACAGCTTCCTGCTGAGTTGTCCATATAGCAGAAGCTGCTCGTGAGCTAGTCTTTTGTACAACAGCATTGATCTCAGATTGCAAGATGGAGTGATTGGAAAATAGAGAGTATGCAGAAACCTCACTGGAGGAGTTGGTCACTGGCAGCAATGGTTTGCTTGGGCAAGGATTCTGGTGGCAAAGGTTCACCAGTAGCGGGGTTTCCCGAATCAGTTGCAGCCATCACATGACCCACCCAAACTGACTTCAAATTCAGATTATTCATTGGCTGAACGAGGCCTAAATCTTACAAAAAAGGCTTAACTGATGTGGTCAGACTCTGACAAAGTCACATGCTGGTGACTGGCACTGTAAAATTATTTCACACTCCATGTAGTCTTCTTGTATGTCTGCTCCCATGTGGTGCTGGTTTATCAATATGAATTTAGCAGTCAGTAATCTCAGCACCAGACACTTTGGGAAGCGGAGTTGAACTGTTGGATCTCCCTTCCCAGAATGTCTGGAGATTTTCATATAGACAATATAGGGATTCTATCAGAACTGTGATCTTTGGAGGAGCAGAGTTCAGAATGCAGAGATGAAGTAGAGACACCAGGAAAAAGCCTTTTGCTATATAGCAGAGGGGTTTGTACATATGTGCGAATAAAGACTATTATAGCACTATAAGAGCAACTATAGTATGATCATACTGACTATAGTATTATATGAGCAATAAGAGCAATGGGAGCAACAAAAGCAATAATAGTATTATAGACACAAAATTTAAAATGTTATATATGACTACCATAGTGTTTGATATGCATATTTGCTACTGAAGTTATTAAGACAAAATTTGTGACAAACATCCAGAACATTACTATGAGTTCAATAATGAGGACATGTATCCTGCAAACCACCAAAAGCAGGGATAAGTTGACAAACCTGTCTAATACTGGATAAAGATATGATTTGTCCTGGAGGAAAACCTTCAGTGTTTAGAGGTACCTTGTTAACAGCGTACATTAAGTGGTCCTTTTCAGCTGTGGATTTAAGGTTGCTATACCACTCTACATATGCCAAATGATGTTTTGGCCAATTATTGGGGGATGCGTGGAAACCGTATAGTGTTTCAGATAGTTTAATTATTACTCTCAATCTCCCAATTCTTGTTCCTTGAATACAGTTATTAGTATTGGACATGCTTGTGGTCATAGGGTAAGAGAAACATTACCATTTATGCCTGTAGCCTCACTGTAACAACCAAGAGTTTCTTACTCTGGCGCACAACTCAGACGAGCATAAGAGAAGAGAGAAGGAGGGATCACCCCTCAGGTTTCAACAGGTTTGTTGTGCTAGACAACAGGAGGACTCACTGAGTCCTTCCCCATATATTGCTCCTGTATATATACTAAAATACATGAGGTACTGTACAGTTGTAAATAAAGTTTAAAGTCCAATGTCTAGCATGTGACCAGTCACATGGTGAGCCTAGACACTGGTCAGGTGATGTGTCACATGATTGGTCATGTGACTTATGAAAAGTCCGAAAATGTAAAGTAAAGTAACTGGTCACATGATCAGTCATGTGACTTGGAAAATAAAAAGTAAAAGTACAAAAAGTAAAGTGTAAGTAGGTGCTGGTATGTCAATTGTAACACTCACAATCAGGAGAATTCATCACAACCACTGTGTCAAACTGCGGCAATAGATTGTTTTTTCCACTTGGCCTGGCTTTGACAGAATCTACTCCAGGTCGACATTGTTGCCTAGGCTATCTAAACAGAATTTGAAGCCATGGAAGATATTGAGGTTTTGAAATGGAAGAGGTAGTAATTTGGTTTCACTACGTGTATTTCGGTGAGTTAGTTTACTGTTAAGGAAGACTTTGAGTGCTGATTCAAATCCAGGGCACTGATGCTTCTCCATGACATCCAAAATGCTTTGCTGACATTTATTAGGATACTTGGCGACAACATGTCTTTGGTTTTGGAACTTGGAGTGAGGGAATTTGTCTTCTTCATTATCCATGGTCATTCTCAGATAGCTCTGGAAAGCGACCACCTTTTCACGACACAGAAGCCATGTCACCATTTGTGGTGCCCCATCCCCCACCTCATTACAGAGGGGGCCACTCGTCAGAGTGGGATGCCGGCTGGTCTTGAGGACGCATGTAGTGCGCGCCTCTTGTCCGTCCAACAGTGTCTCACTGTTGGAGAAATTGTTGCGCTAGTGCCGATGCCCTATGCCGACACCGCTTGCAAGTTCCTAGAACTCGTCTTCTCTTCTCGTGAGAAAGAGTTGGCAGCAGATGCGGCTCATAAAAAGCTGCAAGCTCTGCACAATGCGGGTAATTTCCCCTCTTGGCTAGGTAGCTCTAGCCCTGAGATGCCGCTTACTAAGCAGTTTAAAGAGGAAAAATGGGAGGAGAGCTCTGCGCTTGAGAAGGCATATCTCGCTTACAAGAAAGAGCAGCTAGACAGGGCTATTGCCCTTAAGTTGTCAGAAGCTTCTATGTACCAAAATGCCCTCACAGAACACACCATGTACAATTATATTGTACCTAAATTCGCCATCATCCACAAAGAGCAGACAAGGCTTTGCCAAATCCCCACTCTGGGAATGGTTGATAGCCATGGTATTGAAGGGCCCTTAAGGGTTGTAGCATGGGAGGAGCTTATGTACTCGCTGACACCAAATATCACAAAGTGGTCCTTGAAGGCAGATGCCGATGTTGCAATGGGAGAAGTGATGGCATCAGGCAGTAAATCCATGGAGTCCCTCATAGACCGCAAGGTCTCCACGGCCTTCAAGAAAATACAGAAGCTCCATAATGCGCACATCAAAGAGAGGGTAAGTCTTGATACTTATTTTCAAACTGGACAGCATGTAACTTCCTTTTGTCACACTCTTACAGAAGAACAAGATCAACTTCGTGAAGAGGGCAGCAAAAAGGAGGAGAAAGTCAACGGACCAATCAGAGGGCGCAAGTAGAAGCAACGCAGCCCCTCCCCCTGCCAAGAAAGGCAAAAAAAGCGGAGAGCCTTACAAGGGGAAGATCAACAAGTTGAAGAAGGACAGGAAGGGCAAATGGAAAGCCCCCCGGAAATAAATATACATATCTTTGATAGCCGTTGTCACAGGACTCTAGTACGAGTTGGTTTGCCCAGTCCTAGAGTACCTTTCTACTATACATGGACACTTTGTGCTAGGACCATTTTCAATTATATGTAGGATGCTGAAAAATTCATTTACAATGATTGTAACACATGGCCAGACTTCTAATTAAGTATCCCAACCCCAGATGCCATTGATATCGTCCTAGACCACGTGCCTATCTCAATTCTTGAGGCAGCCGGATTTCATGGCCTTATACATTTAGGACCAAATATTACTGTTCCAACTCATCTCGCTATACACCTAAGTGTGGGAATGAAACACCAATCCGTCCAAGAATGAGACACTCACTTGCTGTTATCCGCTTACAATGACTTAGAAGATCGCCTAGGATGGCAGTTCTTTTTTGGATTAGCAGAAGGAGTGAACCCAGAAAAAGACACCTATGACCCTGATTACAAGGTAGCTAAAGTTAGAACTACTGCCGAGTCATCATATTATGGCTACATTGAGCACAGCTTCAATATTGGAAGAAATATTGTGCAGAACACAATTCTCACCATGCCGGTCGAGACACATGGCGGAGATAGATCCAAAATAACCTTGGATCTGCACATGGCCGAACTCAAACGATTCATGACCGATAATAACTATATGGTCATGATAACAGATAAAAATTTTGGAATAGCCGTCATTAGGAAAGACTGGTGCATAAAAAGATGTCTGTCACTGTTGTCCGACCCCGTTCAATATGCGGTTGTAAGTCAAAATGAGGCAAACAAGTATTTTTAGTGACAGGAGATATAGTGGCATACTATCCATCCATTCCAGTGAAGCGAGCTGAAGAGATTGTGTTGGAGATGTTCTTAGAACACTACTTCCACCGGACAGATCTCGATACTCGGTTGGACCAAACTCAAAGCTTACCGGCTTTTTGAACGGTGTCTGCAACTGGCCCATTCGGAATTATTAACACAATTTCAAGGAACAATTTACCGAGTGCTCAATTTGGAAGAATTGAATAAGCGTTGGTTGAACCGGCTTTTGATCCGGGATGACAATGATGCGGCAATAGACCCGCTTATAGTCCTGAAGAGCCAACTTAACCCCGTATGGAACTATTTTGATGCTAAAGAATTGCAGACAGGCATTGTTGGCTATTGGCGTGAATATTGTAGAAAGTTCATGGCTGGGGACGTACCGTCGCTAGGTTTCCTCATGTTCATGCACCGGCCCCGGTTGCAATGACCTGGTGGTGCATGACTCAGTGTTAGTCCGCCTCGGTGAAAACCATCCCCGTGCAGAGCAGGTTGAGGCCGGCGGGTTGGTGGCTTTGGCCGCTGATCCAATGGACTCCTTGTTTCTGCCTGTGGGCAGACCCCCCCAAGCGGTGTCTGAGCCCCCTGCACTGTCATCCTCTGACTGTTGGGTCATTGCGGATGTGCAGAAACTCAAATTTGCAAATGTTTCTTGTTGGCTCATGTCAAGGTTACTGATAATCTTTTTAAGCGAGTCAACAAATAGAAATGTGCCTTGCTTGATTGCAAAAAGCCAGAGCTTAGAGCACCGGTAGACTGGAGCACCTATCAGATTGAAGATCAGATAGTGGCGCCGTTCAAAAGCATGGAGATTGGCTGGGATTGAACTAAAAATAATATATCCCACATCCAGTATTATCTCCGTGCTCCCCGGTACTGACTTAGTAGCTATCTTTAGACGCAGAAAGCCCGTAGGAACAACCCCGTAAGGGAACAATACTTGTTCTGAATTGGGAGTAGATTCTAAACTCTATCCTTTAGACCATAACGTAAAGGATACTGAGAGGGACCTTCAAATAGTGTACGCGGAATTAACCCCAAATAAACCTATGATAAAATGTTTATGCATGTGCATATATGCTTGCAGGTACACAATATTTTTGATGTTCGAAGTTTTCACACTAAGATGAAGAAAACCCGCAGATAATCTGCTGCATTTGAAATGTTATATATTTGGACGGAGTTATGCGATCTCACGCTAACCTAACCATACATTATCACGCTGAGTCTATTGAATAATGACCTGATAAAGTCTGATTAGAGAACCTAACCAACTCTAAACCTCATCTAACCAACCAAATTGCGCAAAGGCTGACATAAGAACTCGGCCTATTATGGACCAAACCTTTAATGACCCTCTAGGGGGGCCCAACATTATTGGAAGAACTCTATAAATGCCTACACACTCTTGAAAGAATGGTGGCGATAGGCTGCCAAGTGACTGATAGAGTTGACTAGTTTATATAATGCAAACTTGCTATCCTCGCCCAACTTAGTAGGGCTAATTGGAATGTACCCCCGGCATTTGCTATGGGCTAAGTGTGAAATTGACCACATTGGTTGCACTTGCAATTAGAGCAAACCTTCTAACCCAAAAAGGGAAGGCAGGTGCTTGGCGATCAGGCATATGGTATTCATAGTTTCGGATATGGATTTTGATTTTAGTTCAGGGGCAAAGACAATACTGTCCCCCGGCAAATTAAGGACAAGCAAAATCAAGATACCCAAACAGTTATCTACCCCCGGCGCCTACATAAACCGGACCAGTAGATAAGATAAGACTTAGATCTAATCAGATGACCGCAGATCAAGAATGAGCATTAAAGCACGTCCAGCAAATAAGGCTGAGTACCAATACTTTAGCGCCCGGTAACCCCAGACCATGGCATGTGACCTAATAGGTGTGCGTTTATGGAATGTTTGAGAAGGAATAGCACGTGTTATAACGTGACCTTGAGATATATACGTGATTGGTCCACGCCTTATGGCGTGATCATGGCATCTTCTACTGCAGATGAGTCATTACTTACCTCCAGCCAATAGCATTAACAACACTTGATTGGTCATGTTCGGAGATAGGTCTTTAGAATTCTATAGTGAGCTTTCAGCTGTGTAATCAATTTACATCATTGCTGACAAAAGAAATGTATCTTTTCATTTAATCACTCACTCTAAAGAAATCCTACTAATCATACATTACAAAATGGTATTAATTGGCACTGAAGAGATGTACGTCAAAATTGGTGTAGGACTTTAACTTTTCAGAGTCCCCAATCTGACGATACCTCAACGCCTTAAGCCCAAACCAAGTATTTTTTTACTTTCCCCGTATTTTTCCAATCAAACATCCTATCAATATGTGGGCCATATCTTTTCTCTCTTTTCCTCCAATCTGGCCTAATGCAGAGATTCCATTTTTGAAATGATGAACACCATAACAAGCAGGAAGGGAGGAAATACACTGGTCAAGCTCCTTGAGATCCATAAGGTCCTTGCACCAGTCCATATGCTTAAAGACGCCTTGGTATAGTTGATGGAGAATGTCAGGGGAAATAGATAAATGAATGTCGCAATGAGGGAAGTTAAGCCAGAATGGCTTGTAAACACCACCGGAGACCTCTTTTTCCTTGCACCTCTCCTGAAATTGGTTGAAGGAGTTTGCATTGACTTTAGCATCATGAATGACTTCCTCAGTCCAGGTCTGTGTACATGGCTCCCCAGCAGTAGATTCTGAGAGCTCAGAAGCAGGTCTTTTGCATTTGGGACATGTGCCATACTTTGTACATGCCACAAGACATTATTCTGGATAATCTGCAATGTAGCAAGCCAAGATAGGATGGACTCTCCTTATAGCACCATCTCCCCCAGTGACATTAATTCCTTCGATACCAGCTCTCTTCAAAGGCTCTAGTATAATCTGCATCAACTCATGCAAAAGGTGCTAAACCCTTGAAGACTTCTCCTTTGCAGTAAGCTGAGATCCTGTGGCTTTGTTGATGGACAGGTATCTTATAAGTATGCAAGCATGTTGGCTTGGCTTACAACGTATAGCTCTGGGTATGTTGCCAAGTGTAAGATAAACAGGGTAGGCTGATTTAGAATTAGAGAATTGTGTAAGCTGGGTTTTTTCCGTAGCAATGATAACAGGGGCCAAGGCTGCCCCAGATGGTAGATGAGCCTATTCCAAAGATTCTGTAAGTCACTGTAAGTGGAAGATACAGAACCATGCTCACCTGAATAGCATGCCACCATTTTCCCGTCCACATTTCATGATAAATCCTTGATTCTTTCCTCGCATTGGTGAAAATCTTTTTCGGGCAATAGACTATATGTTTGGCATGTGCAGGGTTCCAAAAGAGAGTCCTGATGGCTGAAAGTACATTTCTATACTGGATAAGGTGTGTATCATTTAGAGTATCAGGAAAAGATATCATTGTTGATTTCTATTCAGCCCTAGATAGTATGCTGTAGTCAACAATCTTGTGTAATCCACGTATATTATGGTAAAAAAGCCCCAGCTTCTCCCTGATCTGGCAATGGTAAGATAGGACTCATGCAAACGCGACCACTATGTGGCGCTGTGATATTTGCGTGACGGTCAGGTGATCCGGGAGGATAAGTGTGCGCTAAGTACATTAAGCATGGGAGTAGGTACAATCTACGAAGAAAAATATTATTAGGGTATGACAAGCTGTAAACAAAATGCTATATGACTGTTTAAAAGGACTGAATGGATTAGTAAAGTGTATTAGTATGTCAAGAAGTCACTTCAGAGGCCTGCTGCTGCAAGTTCTCCCATGATACTCATGGGTAAAGTCCGGTGTCCTCAATATCTCTTGTTGGCCCACATTGCCTGCTTGCCGTCAAGACCTTTTCTATAAGTGTCCATAAAGTGCAGTGATCAAGTAGCAAACCTGCGTGAACGTAGATTAGAACAGCTGTAATTTACTATTCTTGTGACACCACAAATTTATGACTTACCGGCGCATTGTGCACAGTGGGACAGCATCAAGCGCAGCAATGACATTGCGCTCTAAATCGGCCTCAGAATTTGATGGTGGGAATTGACGGTAGGTGCATTTTGCGTGACCCCAGCATTGCTTGATAAAATTAAGCTCGCAGTGGAACTTGGGGAGAAATACAACCTGGAATCCTTGTGCCCTGCAAGTTACCTCAAGAAGGGACTCAACCTCTGCAAAATCAGGCTCGTTATAGAGCATACGGTGCAAGCAGCAATGCAGGGTGTCTTTGGGGCACTTGAAGCCTGGACATTCAGCACGAATCCCATCAATATCCTTGTACCCACACTCCTTAAGAAGGTCTACCATCCCTCAAAAGGCGCCTTCCTGTGGATCTCCTGGCGGGAAGTACAGTGACTGTGGTGAGCCGTCTGCAAGCCAAGCATCTGCCATTTGTACTTTCTCCTTCATGACCTTACCATTTGTTCTGTAGACCGGTTGCCCGCTTTTGTCAACAACATTCCTCTGAACACCAACAAATGGTCTCCCAGGTTTTGTTGGGTATTTTGACATCTTGCGGGCAGAAAGAGCGTTGTCTGCTTGTTTGAGGTAAGTGGGTGCGTTGTTGAAGACAAGGACATGAGTTTCAGTGGGATACCAATTTTCAAGAAGATCCATTGCTTGACATGCATGGCGGAGAACATCTTCATTCGAAAAATATCCCTGGAAATTCTTGCCGGCTTTGAATAATATGTGTGTGCATTGTTTGCTGTCGGGGGATGTCATCCAGCTGTAATCCGCAGAAATGAAGTCGGCAACCATGATTGATACACCTTCTCCTTTCTGGCACAGAACTGCCTTCTCGGTAAGGTGAACCTAATAAACCTTACAGCGGTCATTTGCGTAGAACATCGACTCATTGTGCCACCATACTACGACACTCTTGGCTGCCGGATTCCGCCAATCCCTTGCCTCCTCAATACCATCCTTCCAAGTCCTCATGTTTCATTCCAGTTCGGCAATTGTGGGCAAGAAGCGGGTCTGCCAGTACGTCACAACATCTTCACGTTCATGCCCATCAGTGTATTAACTGGATGGGGCTTTTGTCCAGCGGAAATCCATCATATGCATCCACCTGTGGGCAGTTGCCAGTGAGATTGATTTCTTGAGTCCATACTGTGATTTGATGTCCTCTATCCAGAAAGTGGACAATATCCTGTGCACTGATATATTTGCTGATTGTTTGAAGAGCCATCAGGAAAAACCTAGTTGCCTTTTATAGCTATCATAGCCTCTATAGTGCTATATAGGGAAAATAGTAGCTATAGTACGCCTAGACAAGTCCCTATTATATAGCTCTATATAGCAGCACTATTTTGAGCTGTTTGCTATGCCTGCTATAGTAGCACATTTGTGATATACATTGTTGCCTTTACTATGGCTGCTTTCATAGAATATAAGAGATATCATAATTCTGGATTCTTGTTTCAAATCAATCATACTAAATTTACTTTTACTATCGCATATAGCAAACTGTCAGACTTTATTCCTAATACTGTTGTATGACATACATAGAGTAAACTACTGTAATGAAGTGAACCCCCACAAACTAGAAAGTTCTCTCAACTTCCTGTTTAGTCTTAAGATACTTATTCACTATAGATGACATTCGATATTATTGTATAAATACACTTTGACAATACTCACAGAATTTCATGAATAACTTGATAAGTTTTCTTTATAGTTTATCAAGCCTTGATGGATAGTGTAAGCATCCAGTAAGTGATTATAAGTATAGGTATAGATATAAATGGAGGAACGTACTTTGGCTTGTTAACCTATTCACACCTATTCAGAAAAAGATAAGGTGGTCAAACACAATTTGGAGTAGTTGTAACATACCTTAGTGATAATTGAAGCAGTAGTGTATGCTGCTACTAACAGCTGATGATGTAGTGGTGGGATATGTTGGGTATTGATATGGCACTGGTGTTAGTGGCCACTGTGAATAAAGCAGAGCTAATTTCAGTGCCTTATAAGATAGTTATTAAAAAAAAACCATACCTAGAGCTAACAGTATACTTAACAAGTATGCTATTAGCTCAATTTTATTGCAACTTAAAAGGAAAGAAGGATGTGCAGGACTCTGAAGCGCAATGGTGTGCCATTGTGATGTGACATATAAAATCACACTAGTGCCATATATGTGTCAAGAGCTGACTCTGAAAAAAATGTGGCATTCAAATATAATCTAATCCTGAGAAGCGTGTGAAAATGGACAGTGACACTGTCCATTTTCACACACTCAATTATAGTGTTCAAAGTCAACTGCTGGAAAATTCACTTTGGTGCCACATATTCAAACTCCACTTGAATTCATCCTTGTGTGTCAAGCAAAACACTTCAACTTTGATGCAATATCAATAGTGTTCTCTAGTACCTGTACAATTGAATATTTTGGACATTTGTGATAGATTTTTAAAATAAAACCATTAGGCTAAATTACCTGCATACCAAACCATGGTATGAATAATAGGGGTGTTCTCATCAGCACCAGAAAAATGTCTCATAGAAATTAACAAGCTATTATAGCTTCTATAGCTGCTATAGCACATATAGCATCTATCATAGCAAAGCCTGGTTGCTGAAATGTATAGACAACATTTGGGACATATATAATAGACTTCCATTATATAAATAATCAGACTAACACACATGCCAAACCATTTAGTGAGTAATAATGGTGTTTTCATCACAATCAGAATGGAATTCCCAAAGATAGAAACAAGCTATTATAGCTGCTATAGCTACCATAACAGCTATGCTATTTATTATAGAAAAAACTTGATTATTATAGTAATACTATAGTTGCCATAGAAGCCATAGAAACATGCTTAGCTATATAGCAAAATGGTTTTTCCTGATGGATGTGCGTGAATTTCCTTTGCAAGCTCGCCTTTATCAAGCAAGGACACATACACATTCATCGGGAGGTCTTCCCGATCTGTAATGAACAACCTCGCCCATTTGTGGACATGTTTGGCAGTGTGCATGCTTGTTTGGAATGAGTGTGCCGTTTTCTCGGATGCTGCAGTTTAGGTTGTGGACTGTGACTTGTCCGTGTAAATCCACAGGCACATTTTGACCATCTGAAGCCGCTTTTGGAGGAGCTCATCTCCTTCAAAAGGATTGTGACCAATCCCGGATTTCCACTTTGGGTGCAAAATCTAAGTAGCATCTGCCAGTGCAGCCTTTGCATCAGAAGTTGTGGGTGGTGGTGTGAATGATTGTTTAAATTTGGTGTGTTTGTCATGGATGCCATCATTCCCATCATTCTCATCATCTGATTCTCCCTTGGAGTCTGCATTTGTTCCCTGCTCTCCTTTGAACAAAGCATCCTCATCATCCACTTTCTCCACTATAGGGGCCTATGGTTGATGCTGCTTCGGAGGAGATGGACTGACAGGAGGGAGGGATGGTGCATCCTTGTCTTTAACCTCTCGTACTGTGGGTGACCAGGCTTGTTGGGTCATCTGTACCACAGGCACAGCATTGGTGTTTCCACGCAGGTTTAAAGGCGCTATAGCCCCAGGTATGTGTGCCACACAGCATTGATGGTACCCCATTCTTCCCAGAAGATGAAGGGATGGGCCTGCTGTGTTCTCCCCATCATCAATAATGTCAGAATGTATGATTGGAATGAATGAAAAAAGATCCTCTTGCAACTCCTGTAGTACTTTGCCAATTGCCTCCTTGGTATGCTCATCATCTATTAACATGTCTAATCCACTAGCGTCTTCTCCATTATCTTCTTGTGACTGCGGGATAGCAAGTGATTGTAACTTTCCTTTGCAGTACCACAGGCTTTTTTTTTGCAGAGCCAAGATATGTGTTGACAGCATGAGCTGTTGCAAATGACCTTCCACATCCAGCAGGACACATATAGGGAGCATCTCTGTTAACCAATGTACAATGATGATATATCGGCAAGGACATAATAGAAGAAATGGAAGTCTCAATGATAATGGTGCTCCGAGTCACTGATAAAATGAATCTGTAATGGGTCTTGCTATTTGGTGCAATGCAGCAGTTATGGTCATAAGTTGTCCATTCATGTGCTAGTTAAAGTATAAAAAATACAAAGTATAAAACAACCACCAGTATAAAGAACACAATTCAACATAGAGCAACAAAATAAGGAATATAAGTGATAAAAAGCAATTTAAGAAGCATGGTGTTGGTGTTTGTGACAAGCAGAGGCTGGGAGGCTAGATCTGTAAGCAGTCAGAGCACTTTCTTTTCTCTTAAGAGCATTAAGTGCCCGAGTTGTCCCCATGACATCTGATGAAGTTGATTTGGAAGGTTTGACTGATGCAGAGTACCTGGGTATGCTCTCCCCACTACTCGTCCCTGCAATGTGCGTGACCACAAGCGGAGCATAGAATTTGAATCTATTATCACTTGAGCGCCAGAGATCCAAGTGAGGTATAAATCCCTCTGGCCTTGTCAATGGCTGTCTCAGGTGTGTCAATTTCTTCCTGCTAGTTTGTATAACATTGAGAGCATCATGAAAGATCTGCAAAATGGAGTCGTGGGTGGTGGGTGTCAACACCAGGAAGGGGGCGGGGCCAAGTTTGATGAACCTCTTGGGAATGAACATTGCAGAATCAAAAATTGTGCTATGCAACCATTCAAAGTAGGGGATCATAAATTCGAAGTAGGTTGAGATATGTCCGTCAAGGAAACTACGGAGGTTATCAGCCTTGCCAAATGTTGTGAATTTGTGATGCGCTGCATCTGCATGGGTGAACTTGGTGTTGAATTTAGGATTGAGCTCTCCATAAACACCTTGTCCTTGAATTGATAGTAACTCCAGTAGAATGCACATAGCTAAAATAATGTAGTAGAAGGACTCAAGATCATGATGTGCTGTGTGCTGAATGGGCTCTCCAGGTTGTGCATTCTGTATTTCTACAGCCATGAAGGGCTCTGTACCCTGAGCAAATAATGAGAATCGGTTAGTACAGGCGGTAGCTTCAAAAAAAAAACTTAGTGTGTGTTCAAGGACATGGTTTGCGTTATCCACAGCCCAACCCTGGCCTGCCAAGCGCTCAAAGGTCTTGTGAGCAGTACCTCTAGCAACGTCCATTTCCCACCCTGGAACATTATGGCCATGTATTGAAGTGCTGGAAAAGGAAGCTTGGGCCTGCTGGATTACACTTTGTTGCTGTGCCACCCTTTTCAGCATGGCATCCAACATCTTGGCCTTGCAATCATGGCGGGCAGGATCCTCCTCTTCAGAGGAAGCTTCAGATGACCCCTCATCAAATATGGCATCTTCTTTATCAAACTGAGATAGATCCCCAGTGAACTGAGAAAATTCCTCCTCCTTTATCTTTGGTATTGCAGCCGCAAACCCGGAGCGCCATACGCTCCCAAGTCCGCTTATGTAATATAATTTCTACGACACAGGCAATGTTTTGTACCTTCTCCTAATGTTTCTTGAGAATACATTGAACAAACATTGAACAAAATATCTTCATTCCAAGTATTATGTTGGGGGCAATTATCTCCTTTATAATCCGCCTCCTTTAGTACTGTCATAAACAGATGGTACTCGACAAGTTACAGATGAAGTTGTCACCCACTCGTGTTCTCAGCCCGTTTGGCCAACTAATATTACAAGTGAGCTGGATCAGACCATAGGAAACAAGTCCTTACCACTGCAGCTAAACTTAACTGCCTTGAAGCCGTGCTGGACTCTGTGGAGATGTGTTCGTTTACTTGCATTCCAACTCGAGAGTAACGGCCAGTAGAAGCGATAGGCTTAGTCAGGCCTTGAGGGGTACTGGGCTTCGTTGCCAACGGAGGTGGCGCAGGCTTAGGCTTATTACTAACAGGTAGGGCAGCCTTGTTACACAGAGACCTTGATGTTCTCGAATTCGTTGGAATGCTATCAGCTAGACCAGTAGAAACATTACCAACGGGTTTCCTCCAAGGTGCTGGTGCCCTATCTGAGGAAGAGAAGGGTGTGCTATCCGCCATTACAGAGCTAGACAGAATATTCGGTACGATGGGGGTAGAGCTTGAGGTAGATGGTGTGGATACAGGATAAAGCGGGACTCCCTTGGGAGTGGGAGGAATTTTGGACTTAGGCGACGCAACTTCAAGGTAATTATTGGGGGCCCAACCTTCTTGCTCGTCTTTCTTCACAAGCCACCACCCATTTACATCCTTCTCCAACAGCTCTACAATATCGTCCTTTTTCAAGGTCATTTCACCTTCCTGGCCTTGGAAGGCAAACTTCGCTTTGTACATTTTTACTTCAACTAAATTTTTCGACGGCGAAGGTAAACTGGGATTCGTCGGTGCTGAAGCAGGTTCATTGGCAGAGGCTGTGGTGGGGTTCGCCAGCAAATTTTGCGCGGCGAGCGAGAATTTTGGGACCGCTTTAGCCTTCTGTAAAGAACTGCCAATTAGGGAAGGCCAAGGCTAGATGTAAGTCACGAACATTAGAGGCTTCTCCAGCTTGTATCAACTTCCCACGGATTATAGGATGCACAATGCCAGGTTTCCGCATTGCAGGAGATCGGGACATGCTGCTGGGTGGTTCACCAGAGGCAACGTGGACGGAGTGACTCTTGTAAACGTCGTCTTTGGAAACAGCCTCGTCTTTGATGAATTTGATTTGTGCTTTTTTATCCTTCTTCTTAGAGTACTCGATACTACTTAGCATGAATTTTACCTCTTCCATAGAGCAATATTTTCAATACGTACGTAGCTCCAAGGGACATATTGATGCTTGCTTGCGAAAGCCGAAGTAGAGTGGCAGCAAGCTCAGTCTTGAAGTAACAATGGAATACAGGGTCTCCTTCCTCAGATGCATTGCAGTTTAATGCCTGAAGACTACATGAGCGATGGAGTGTGTGTGGATAACAAAACCTACCACCCAGTCATCTCGTAAAATAGACATAGATATAGCCTTGGTGGTAATAACTTGTATTTTCCGCTCGAGTGTGCACTGAGTGCGACCATCTTTCTGCCCCGCGGTAACAAAATATATGGTGGTTGGAACCTGTACAATGATGTCTGCGATTTCCATCACCCCCTTATTCTAAGAGGGACACTCACTACAATCAGAAACCGCGGACTAAGTTTGCTGGATCGTCCCAGTTTGGAAACGAGTAATTGAATCCTAGAACTGAAAGCTACATGCTCAACTGCTGCAAATTTTAGTTTATCAAGTAGACCACGGAGAAAATGAATGAACTACCTCCAAGTCCACAAGCCGAGCGTAGCTCCGCCCCCAAAAAACTTTGTCCATTGACGTCGAGATAATCGCCCATGAACCGACGATAACTGAGAAGACTAAAACGTCTTCGTTCCTTCCTCCCTGCTAGGATTTGATGTCCATAGTCTCGGAATTTTGCAAACTCTAGCCCTTCTTTGTTATTCTTCCAAAAGCGTTGGATACGACGTGCGCATTCATTTTTGTATCGCCAGTAATTACGCCATGCACGCTGTATGCGAGAAGCCATGTTATGCCAGTACCGGTCTCGCATAGTTTCCAAGGCAAACAGCTGCAAAACAGTCGTCAACAAACAGCTGAATGTATTAAAGCAAGCTTCACCGTCTCCGGATTTTTTATAAAAGCTTTTGTGACACCCATTTGCCATTCTTCCCTTGCAATGCTTGTATCTTTCAATATTTGTTCGCAACCAGATTTGGGATCACCTTTCCAAATATATTCCCCTGCGTACGACGTGGCAGGCGAAAGTAGATAAAATCTTTCTACCAATTTCTCGAATGCGTTGCGATAAGCGAAACCAGCTCGGCGAATGCGTATGTTCTCTTGAAGGCCTAGATACTTGATCTGGTGCAGCACAGCCTTTTGATCATATTCCGTATAACTGCGATTTTGGTTGGGCTTAATTGTACGTATATATGATGGCTGTGCCTTCATTAAGTTGTTGACGAGGGCACCCGCCGAAGACTACATATTTTATTAAATCAGTAATTGTACCATTAGACAAAATATCACTTACTTTGATTCTATCACCCGCTGTCGGAGGTCTCTTCTTGCTGTTAGGATCCGACCTATCAGGGAAGAGAGTCTGTAAAAACTGGTTTCTGCTACTGGCTATGAGATCCAGTATATCCTTGATCAGTGCATCCTTGTTCTTGTCGGTCATGCCTGCCACATTATACATCACGTCTCCTGCATAATGTCTGACTAGAAATTGTGCTCCACGTGCTTCGAAATGCGGGTTCGAAGACAAATTAGAAGTACGCTGTACGAAACTGCCGTCTGCGGCAGCAGGATCGGCATGGGCTGTTGCACAGGCATCATTTAGAGCTGCAAAGATTCCGGGTGGCCTACGTTCTTCAATAAGATCACACACGATCTTATTGTTGAAATATTTAATAGGGGTCCACTGAATCTGCTCCCTAATGTATTCTTCTTGTTCAGTTTTAAGCGTCAGCTCGATGAAAATCTGTTGAAGCTTTTCGTTCACATAGTTAATGCAAAGCTGTTCAAAAGAGTTGTCCTATAGACAAATAGTTTATAGTGAGTAATAGATCCATGTGCAGAAGTAACACTGACCTCAAATATTTCGAAACCAAATATGTCCTGAATAAAACCCACCGATGAGTTGCAAGATCATGTTATAGCTGAATTTACTAACGAGAATTCCAATAATTTGAGAAGTATTACCCCGTGCTTTCATGGATATATTGATTCTAGAGACAATCCACTCAAATAAATTGTTATAAATTGCTTTGGCCAAGGCATCTCGTCCTGCAGTAGCTTGTGCCGGGTTGAGAGGTACATCATAGGCAGAACCTCGACGACCACCTCGTTGCGTTTCCACAATCCTTGAGGTCATGACTTTCTCGACCATAGAAGAATCAACGGCCATGATGTAGCCGACAAAATCCGTGACGCCCGTATCAGCAATGGAAGAATTCCCATCTTCCATTTCTACAAATTGGATGTTCCCCAGCCACAAAATGATAGCAAGGATTCTAAAAATTTCGTTCTGTTCCTGTGCATTAAGGCCAATAACTTGCATGGCATGCTACAGATAAATCAGAAAAGAGTAAGCTGGTCAGAGGAATATACTCACGATAGTATGGCTGTAATCTTGAATATCATCCATATCCTGAACATCAAGACATCTGCTCAAGCTAGTGTATGCATATGATTCAGGGCCTTGTACTCCAAATTGATCTGCAGAAATCATCAGCAAACATTACATGAAAAAGCATGCGGAGACTCACCGCGCTGCTCGTCCGATGCTGCCTTAGTAAATTGGTAAAAGATATGGAAATTTCGCTCGTTTTCCACTTGACCTACAACACGGCTTTTTTCCAAGAGATAGTTGGTAATTTGGGCCCCAACAGGCTCACCGATATTGTTGAACATGATTTCTAGGTACTTGCCCTGATGCCATCATTTAGTGGTGCGCAAAAGGATTTAAATGTTACAAACATGACGACTGGAATTATTATTCCGCAGTGTCTTCGCACAACCAAAACTCTCTAGCAGAGGGTTGGTGGCTAGTACCATATCCTTGATTTGTTGTATACTATCATCCTGACCAACAGATGCAGCGGCGATATACTGCATGATGCGTTTCGCTGCTTCTGTCTTTCCGGCTCCAGATTCGCCTGATATAATGACACACTGATTCTCATGATAGGCATTCATGTTGTAGTACGCGGATTCCGCTATACTAAAAACATGGGGAGGAACCTCTAGTCGATTCTTGCTCTTGTATCTCTGTAGGATCTCTTCAGAATATATACCAAGGTCTAGGAACAGGCACCTGAGCTCAAAATCGTCATATAAAGGGCAATTTGTACCTCTGAATGGATTCACAGATATCAGGACACCACCAATATATGTATATATTTCTGCATTAATCCATCGTTTCTGAAGATTCTCGTTGATGCTCTCGTTGCTGATTGTTGTCAGAAGTGTCATATCGGAAACACCGACTTGTTTCTTCTTGAATCCATCCTTCCAATCCGCCTATCATAATGAAAATCAAGAAAATCTGAGTAGGCCATTGCATATTTGTACATACCTTCGTCACCCTTGTAGTACCGTCCGCCCGCTTAGCGGCTACACCTTTCGTTCCAGCCTTTTTAGACTTCGCCTATAACGACACTTTGCAGCCTTATTTTATTTCATCAGATAAAGCTACACACCATCTACGATTGTCAAACCCTTCTGCAGTTCAGCGGAATACCTCGAGGAATTTGGAAATTCTTAGATTCTAGTGATGAGGATTGAATATGGGTGGTGGCACAAGATGTGAGTAGTCTGGTCCAAACTCAGGGACCAGCGAATATCCTAGGGGCGGTGAGATCGATGAGATCTATGAGAAGTGGTGAGCCAGAAGGTTCCAAGCTCAGTTAACTTTCAGTAGCGATACGTTGATTGAGCGCCAAGCTGCACTGGCAAGCATCTCTCGGATGGAGCGGAGAATCAATATTTGCCGATCTGCCGAGTGTCCTTCACAATAACCTTGAGAAATTCCTGGCACCTGAGTCACACCGCTTATCTAACATATTAGTAAGAAAGCTGTAAATTAGGCTCTTTACTAACACATCACGTCCCAAAATGTTATCCAAAACTGCAAACAAAACACATAGTTTTACATTGACATTTCAATCGTCTGAAATTTAAAATTTCGCTCGGGCCCAAAGTTGTATTTGTAGTATATTTTACTGAACATTTAACTCTTTCAAAAGGCATATATATATGTGTAATTCATTCGTTGAAAAATAGACACCTATTGTTACAAATTTCACTCAAGATTTGAGTGAGTCCCAAAATTTACTGTGTAAAGTGCACAAAAAGTCGGTGTGAATATGATATTTTATCCGCCACGTCTAAAAGTTCTAAATATGAAATTCCGGTTCTCATTTTGGTAGCACCTGTAATATGACATTTTGAGTGCTATCAAAAGGCATTGCCCACTCATTGCCGACTCATCAGCCCCTGGTCGCCCCTCCATCAGGAAAAATCCTTTTGCTATGTAGCGCTATATAGCCACCACATGTACATATGGATGCTTTCATAGCAACCATAGCCCTATAAATGCGATTATAGCCTTATACAAATATTGTTATAGTAATTATAGCCCTATCAATGCATTTATAGCCTTTATAGCACAAGATTTAGCTAAAAACAAAACAATAATATTCATATTATGAATTTACCATAATGTCTGATAAGCGTATTTACTACTAAAATTGTTGAGATAAAACTTTGTACAAACATCCAAAACATTACTGTGAGTCCAATTAAGTGGACAATTATCTCTATTTCCCCCAAAGACTGGAATCAAATGACAAACCTGTCTAATTGCAGAAAGGGGTATAATATCACCAGGCAGGTAGCCAGAAGCATTAGGCCCAGGTTTGGTGACAGAGTACATCATATGGTTTTCTTCAGCTGTTGGCCTTAGCCAAATGATCTTTGGGCCAGTTAGAAGGGGCAATATGTGTGCCATATAAAGTTGTAGGTAACTTGAAGATCACTCTGAGACATCCAATTCTTGTGCCTGGTACAACTTTTAAACAGATAGTAGATAGAGCTTTATATTATAGAACTTACCTGTCAAACTTGTTGATTCACAGTCATTGGAGTTCATCACTATAATAGTATCAAACTTAGGATGCTCTCCACCAACACTTGAGGGTTTTGCCTTTACAGCATCCATTTGGTTATCAAACAAGTCCACATCATTTCCAAGAGTCTCAAGGGAGAATTTGAATGAGTGGAAAATATCAAGGTTTTGAAATGGAAGAGGATAAGATCTTGTTTGTGCTCTGGAATGGGGCTGCTGTAATTTTGAATTAAGATAGATTTTGAGTACATCCTCAAAGCCTGGGCAGGAGTGCTTCTCCATGATAGATACATCAGGAAAAACCCTTTTGCTATATAGTGCTTTATAGCCATCACCTATATATATATAAACGCATTCATAGAAACTATAGTACTATCAGTGCAATCATAGCTCTTATAGCTCTTATAGCACAGTGTTACGATAACACAATTTCCGGACTTTCCCTTTACTTTTATTCTCCGCTTTAAACTTTAGCTTTCCACACATGGTGCCATGCGGCACTTCCCCTTTCTCGCACCGTGTTGCCTTTCTTCTTATTTTGGACACAACTCTCTCACACAGTGGAGCTGGCCATGCGGGCTAGGCCTCATGACATCATCAGCCACTGTCTCTATCAACTGTATAGTACACATGTACAAACAAACCTGTAGTAGTATATATACCCCAATAGATCCAGGAGACTCCTCAGCGAGTCCTCCTTGATAAAATTGGATAATGACCAGACCAGGGATTGAACCTGGAACCTTCTGGATACATGCCAGCTGCTCTACCAATTGAGCTATATGGCCAAGGTTATACAATGTAGGACCTTAAACATGACATGCAACCACGGACGTCTTACACAGAATAGCTGCTGCATACTGGGCTGGCTTACAAATCAGAGGTATTATCCTATGGAGTATTGGTATGTCAGAGTATATTCTAACACTCCTGTTGTATACCAACTAACTCACTGTGTTTTAAGGGGTAACCACTCCCTCTTCATCTTCTCTATAGTGTGTTCCTGTGTGCGCCGGAGTAACTAACTCTTGGTTGTTACACACAGTAGTAGGCAAATTTTTAACCAAGGGGAGAAGTATCTATAATTCCCTCAAACTCTGGATTAATCTAATAAACTTGTTCAATAATAGAAAGAGGCCAAAAGTGTTTGGAGTAAAGTATATTATTATAGGCAAGATACTAAATGCTCTTATAGCCTATAGCAGCCTACATAGCTCCTATAGCTGTAAAGGTCATAGTTGTAATATAGTTCAAGGTGCTTAAAAGGGCTAATAAATCATCCAGTATTAATTAATTATGTAGCCTGTATTAGTGAAATAGTAGTTTGTATTCCTGATACTCACAAAATAAGAATAATGATTTATCCAAATATAAGTAGTGACAATGAGTAAAAAAATAATCTAAGTCCATAAAAAGTCAATATATAACACCTGTATAATACATTTTATAAGCTTTCATGGTGTAGTGGATAAATGTGATGTGTGGCTATAGGTTGCTTAGTCACCCAAGAGCTGACTAGCAGGTTGAGAGTTCAAATCATGTCTGTGTTGATTTTTTTAATCAGCCACACAACAATTTCCAACATCTATAAGAGCATTTATAGAGCTATATGAGGAGGCTCTATATATGGCAGAGGTTCTATAATAGGTTTGACTACTATAACTGCTTTATGAGTACTTATAGTGCTATAGAGCTCTATATAGCTACCTCCATTTTTCCTGATGTGTAAGTGATTGTTGGGATTTGCTTGGATTCTTTGCAATAATGATATGACAATCCTGAGACTTGGCACAAAGGAAAACATCTTCATCGTCTTTTTCCATGCTCATTTTAAGATAACTCTCAAAAGCAAATAATTTGAGGAGCTTTATTCCTCTTATGGGAGGCCCTCCATCCATCTTTAGCAAAGTCTATATGAAATCTTTCAAACATCTCCGTATTGTAGTTGTTGGTGGTGCCAAACCATGTGATAAACTCCTAGTAGTGTAAGAGGGAATGAAATTTAGGTACGTTGAAATGGTCCTTGACTCCCAGACAAATAAGGATATCTTTGTGTTGGTGAAAAATATTGAGGGATTGGGCAAGGTAGCCCAAGGTGGTATCATCATGCATTGGGTATTGTGCTATCTGAATAAAGTCTAAAAGTGATCAATAGGTGATGGTAGCATGACATGGAAGTTTGCCAATAAGGCATCCCAATAGCATCTTTGCCATATCTTTCCGTTCCTTCCCCCCTATTTGACCAAGAGCAGAAAAGCCATTCTTGAAATAACAAACACCAAAGCAGGGAGGAAGTGCTCTGATGCGTGCATCAAGTTTCTTAGGATCTAGTAGTTGCTGGAACCAATGCACCATGTGCTTGTAAACACCCTGGTATAACTGGTAGAGGACATCAGGAGTGATTGCAATATAGATGTTACAGTGAGGAAACCCAGTCCAAAAAGGCTTGTAGACTCCAGATCCTAGTTGCTCCTTGCACCTCTCTTAAAACTAATGGAATGAATGTGTATCTTCCTTAGCCTTGTTCATTACTGACTCTGTCCATTGATCAGTACGTGGCTTTCCTGCAGTAGAGGCTGAAAGCTCTTCTGGAGGTCGTTTGCATTTGGGGCAGATACCATATTTTGAGCACGTCACCAGACACTGCTCTGGATAATCGGCCACATAGCAGGCTAGCATAGGGTATACTCTTCTCACTGCTCCATCTCCTCCTACCACCTCTATTGTGTGGCCCTCTGATGTTGTGATAGGACAATCCCAGTCTCTCTTTGACCTGAAACAATAGCCGCTTCAAGGAGATCTAGTAAGTGAATAGAATACAGACATACCCCTGGAATAGCTAACAAATGGTCAAATGATTTGTGACCTATTCCATCCTGGATTGCCCAACAGGCAACTCGCCAGTCTGTTTCTGATGCAAATAGAAAGAACCTAGTATCCTGTGGTCCAGAGGCAACTGGGAAATTATTATCCATATCCACATCCCTATAGCTGTCTACAGCCCCTTTTTCCCCTTCAAACTCTTTTCTCCATCTCTCATGCAAGGTATGGTCCATACATATTATCTGTCGTGCTGTAGGGTGGAGAATTTTTACACGCTCATCATCATTATCATTCAGGGAAATGGCATTTGGATAATTAGAAGGACCCACTGCCTCCCCTGGCTCCAGATCCTCCTGTTCAGGTTGCCTGAGTGGGATGAATGCAAATAGACCTTCTTCAATATCTTCCACAGCATCTCCATTGTATTCCTTCTGGAATGGATGTGGAGGGCCATAGTGGTTATCTAAATTCTCTTCCACCAGCAATCCTTGCCTCGCCAAGTTGCCATCCTGCTGGGTTAGGATCTCTCTTGATTTGCCCTTGCAGTACCAAGCACAGCTTCTTGCAGAGCCAATGTGCGTATTGGGGCACGGGTACTGAAAAAATATTTGCCACACAATGATGGGCATACATGAGGAGCATCACAGTTAATAAGTATTGCGTTAGGTTGGAGATGAGGAACGATGAATACTACAGAGAACCCAATTTTACAGACATCAAACAAGGTCACATTACAAATAGTATAAGGGCAATCAGAAGCAGAAAATGAAGACAAGGCATTGTAACAGCGTTTGAGAGATTGGAGAGTAACAGCTTGCAGACAATTGGAGGCCTTGACTGCCTGAGGAGAGGATGCAAAGGAAGTAATCAACTTAGAATACCTTGCCATACTTCCACTGGTCCCCTTTGCGCCTGAAATGTAGCTCAACATCAAAGGGGCCTGGAATGCAAATTGCTTGTTATCAGACCTCCAAAGATCCAGATGATGGACAAACCCTGACGGCGTGCTAAAAGGCCTCCTCAGATCCTTCCACCTTTCATTGCGTTGAATTTCCTCTAGAGCTTCCCCGAGGATATTGAGAACATTGTCATGGAAGGCATGCAACAGTACAAAGAATGACGGCGGACCTGCCTCTACAAAGCTCTTTGAGAGGAGCAATGTGGACCCAAACAGAACCTTGCAGAGGCACTTGAAGTAAGGGATCATAAAGGCGAAGTATTCAGATACATTGTTTTCAAGAAACAAGCTGAGACCGTTGACTCTGCCAAAGGTCTGATACTTGTGGAAAGCAGTGTCAGAGCGGGTAAACATTGAAGTGAACTCGGAATTTAGCCATTTCTTGATGTCATCCTTTCTTTAGCATCTGCATCCATCATCTCATACGGCTTTACCATCAAGACATACATGGCCAGCAATACATAATAGAATGACTCCAGGTCGTGATGGGCAGTGTGTCAAATCCAGTCACCAGGCTGTATATTTTGCACTTCTGCTTCCATAAAAGGCTCTGTCCCCTGTAAAATGAATACATAAAACAAAATAATTGAATGATGGCTGATATAAACACTTACTGTATGCTCAAGAACATGATTTCCATTACCAACCTGCCAGCCCTCCTTACTCAACTGTTGTATAACCTCATCAAGAGTACCCTCTGCAACATCCAATGTCCACTCAGGTTGATTATGACGTAAAAATGAATCTGATGAATAGATACTCTGGTCAGAGCGGATTATTTCTTTTTTGTGGTTAAGGGAGTTTCTGATTGAGTCATCCCAGTGTAAAACTTTCACAGGAACTTGGCCTGAAACAGAGGTCACCATTGCCATCTTGTGACCTAGTTAATGTTAGTATAGACAAATAAATAGTGGGTATGGTACTTGCTTTTGATGAGATCAATGATTACGACAAGGAGCTCCTCTAGGAAATTTAAATCTGTTATAATTGCACCAGCAGGTGTAGTTGTTGAACAAATGTGAACACACAGCTGGTAAGGGTGGTGTGGATAAGCCAAAACTTGGGCCCTCTCCATGTCTTTCAGGGATAATGTGGAGCCAAGGGCATCACAAATATTGGATGCGGAATTATACTCTAGACTTTGGCTTGATTGATCATGCTGGGCCCATCATTTTGAGCTGCAAACTTTCTCTTCACAAATGAGATGTGGGACTCCCTTTACTCCCTTTGCCTCAAGCAGGCGAATAATTGTACCCTCAGTAAGACAGCAGCGAGTATTATGCCAAGTATCCTTTACTCTCAGATTGACACCTTTTAACTACAATGTCCATGGGTTGTCTGATCTCCTCAATGAAGGTATTTGTGCTCACCTAACTACAGTTCCACGCCCATGGATGCTGTCAGAAATGAACAGAATACAGTGAAACTTCAATTCACCCAAAGTGCTGACACAAACATAATTGGGGTTAGCCCCAGTATTGTTGTCCAAACACGTAGAGCAAAGTAAAGGAAGAACCCCATATAGAAAGATGCTATAAGAGGCTATAGCCAACTATAAGAGTACTATAAGAGCACATTGTTTCTGAATAGATGTTGGGGTTTCTATTGCAGCTATGATCACTATAACAACTATATTTGCAACTATAGTACTATTAGAGTCTATATAGCCAAAGTGTTTTTCCTGATGAGGGGATAAAACATGTCACTGGAGGATATATGAGTACAAGATCTGGGCCGCACCTTCCACCAGCATCACCAACTGCTTGGACAGCATACGCAGAAGTCCACCATCTGGACCTCTTGAAGGTGCTGGAATCCACAAGCTGATCAACTTTGTGAACCAGATAGTTGAGAAAATCTGCAACCTAGCCTTCTAAGCCAGGGCTCCATGGCTTAGTCAAATCCAGGCAGGAAATTGCAGCAGTCTACTTCCCTGACTCAGACAAGTAAAGCTCTTCCTGTCAAAGGCATTTAAAGGCAGTGAACAAGGGGTTTTCTTGAGGGAGAGCACCCAGCATAGATGGGAAGAGCTCAGATAGGGGAAATAGGATGTGGAGCATGTCTTCAATGGCGCAGTAACTTTTCAAGGGAGCTGCCCTTGCCTTGATAAGGAGGTCCATAAAGGTGTGATAATATTGCTTAGGTCTTTTAAATAGGAAAGTGTTGAACTGGAACAGGGATAAGTGAGAGAGAAATCAAGAAAATAATAGGATGGTCGTACTTTGGGTTTGGTCGGTGGGGTACTGTGGTGGAGCATGCATAGGAATGACCTCATGCATCTGGTGGAAATACCCAATGGTATCCAAGACTTACCTGAAGGCCTGGTCAATATTCAGAGCAATTTATCAACATTTCTATTGTACCCATCAATTCTGTCTGCATTGCCAGGTGAGCTTTCAAGTTTGATTTCTGATCTGGCTATCCTCAGTCAAAACTATATATTTGTCAGCTCTATCTAAATCCAAGTTATTGTTGGGTGAAACCTCACTAGGTATATTTACATTTCTCTTTCCACTTCCTCTTTCGAGAGCCAACAGCACCATCCAATACTATGCATCACTGGTACTACCCATTTTCATCTGGATTGCCACTAGGTTAGTCCATGTTTTATTCTGACTGTACTACAACTAATTTAATAACCTACCTAAAGAGCAATCAGCACTACCAAACATTCCTCCTTGGTTGGACGGGTCTCATGTTTCTACCGACACTGATATGTTCAAGATTCTGGTTCCGAATCAATCATACTACCCAATACCAGCATTCCAAAAAAAAAACCATTGTGGCTTCCAAACAAAGCAATCAAGGGAAATCTAGAGCAACAAGACAACAAGCTCAACACTTCAGTCACCCCTCTGGGACATACCTCTTAGCTTCATATATTTCTATATACCTTTATACCTAAAAGGCCATAATTATTAAGAACAAAGCTTGAAGGAAGTGTCTAGCCACTTGCTGAGAGCAATCAGGGACTGGAACTAGAGTCCAATGTGAGTAACTATATTATTAGAGAGTATGACAGGTATACAGTACCTAGAGTCCAATGTGAGTAACTAGAGAATAGGAAGCATTGGACTCTGCAATACTGTCCGAAGTTTTGTAAACAAAGGTAAACAAAGCAGCCACAAAGGCGAAATAATAGAGAACACAATCAATAGTGAATGATAGAAGAATAGATAGAGAAAAGAATGAAAATATATAGGTAGCACAAAGGTGCAGAATCACCAAAACTAACAATAATATGCCGGTCTTCCCTGGTATGTCCCCAGGGACAACCACTCTATGGTCCCAGGGACAATAATTCTCTTATGCCTGGAACAGCTGCTCTGTTATCCTTGGTGTCTTCTTCTACGGTTATAGGGTGCTAAATGTTTGGTCTTTGTTGAGAGAGAAATTGTAGTTCTTTGTACACAATCCAGATTTTTAAAAGGTTGGAAGGTGAAATTACATCAAATTAGTCAGGGTGCACTAAATTATTGTGTATAAAGCAGTTTGATGAGCTTTAGAGAGTTAGGTGATTGTCCTTTATGTGTGTTTCATTTTCAGATATTATTTATAGGTGTAGCCTTTGTACCAAATGTGTAAAACCCAATCACATCTCTAATGAGGCAAGATTGAGATTTTAATCTGTGACAAGTATAGTAAAGAGTGCACTGTGCACTAATTAGGGAGTGATTTTGCCAAATTGAAAAATTCTTGGATTGAAATAATATATTCATGCATCCTGTGCCACAGCATCAGCTATATGGTCTGATGACACCTAAAAAGGTATCCTAATTTACATGGGACATCCTTCAGATATTGCACTTTTAATGCTTTTGGAGAGTATCACACACATGTAACAATCTAATGGAATAAGATATGGGGCACTTTGGAAGATGAAAATATCCATGTGGTTCATCCTGGGGACAGTTCAGGAAGTCCCAGATTAATAGGATCATCTCCAGGTATTGCACCTGGGAACATTGGATTATACATTGGATTATACATTGGGATATTAACTGGAAATATAGGGATATAAGGATATCTGTTAGGATGATATTTGAGAAGATGTCAATATCTCTTCAGAAGTGCCAGGCCTATAGGGATATCCATTAGGATTGTACTTGGAATGTATAGGGACATCCTCAGGGATAACACCTGGGAAGATGGGGATGTCCCATGGGAAATCCCAGGGGTGTGGGGACATCCCTTGGGATATTGCTGAGGATAACACTTGGGACATTACTGGGGATAACATTCAAGAAAATAGGAATTATTGTTTCTGAATATAAGTTTGTACGTGAAAAGTGTGACTGGATCACTTCAGTTACCCCTCTGGAACATACCTCTTAGCTTCATATATTTCTATATACCTATATACCTAAGAGGTCATAATATGCTGGTGTATTGATATCTGTGAGGATAACACTTGGGAAGATGACAATATCTCTTCAGAAGTCCCAGACCTATAGGGGCATTCCTTGGGATAATACTTGGGAAGATGGGAATATCACATTTGAAACCCCAGACATATGGGGACATCCATTGGGATAACACTTGGGAAGATGGGGATGTCCCAGGTATTTTGGGGAAGATGGGGACACCCCTTGTACCAACATTTGGGGAAAGTGGATATTCTATGGGAAATCCCAGACATGTAGGGACATCATTGGGGATAACATTTGGGGAGATGGGTGACAAAAACGGATAAACCCAGTCTCTGCCAAAGCAGCCATTGTTCTCCTAGGAGTCATTATACTGTAGCAAGTAGCACCTCTGACTATAAGTAGTAGGGGGTTTAGTATAGAAATACCTCAGTTGTTTCTATAGCCTCTCGGGCAGCGGCTGAGTTTCACTTAGTTTTATTAGGTTATGAGCCCCCCTGGTGCGCAAAAGCTACGCAGGAAATAATTCTTATTTGAAATGGCAACCTCGGAACCATGACCACAGCACACGATACATCTGCATGTCCAGTTCTCACTGGACCCAACAATTTTCAGATATGGAAACTCCGGATCATCTCAAAACTACGTCGGGAAAAAGTTCTCCGGGTTGTTACTGGAGAGGAGCTTAAGCCCTCACCAGGAAAACCTACCTCCTCGGAGGACCCTGAAATCACCTGGATACTTAAGGATAAGAAGGCACATGGAATCATCCAGGACCACATCTCTGATGCCCTCCTAATGAGGACTGGAGACCTCACCAGCTCCAAGGAGTTATTTGATAAACTTGTCTCACTGCATCAAACATCCAACATTGCCTCGGCCTTCTATTCATTCCAGCAACTCACCAAATTGTCCTGGGATGGGACATCACCTATCCAGGACCACATTGTGAAAATCCGGACAATTGATTCACACCTCTCCAGAATGAAACTAGGAGTTGATACCAAACTCATGGCTTTCGCTCTTCTCCAATCTCTCCCATGCACTCCTGAATGGCAAATATTTCAGTCATTGGTAATCAACACAATTGAAGAAAATAAACTTACCTTTGATGCAGTTGAGATCCGGGTTACTGCAGAAGTTGCACGACAGTCAGGAAAGGCCCCTGGAGGTTCCAAATCAGCACTCAAATCCGAGGAGAAGTGGTGTGACTTCCACAAAGCTAAATCACACAACACCTCGGAGTGTCAAACACTTCAGTCAGCTGGAAAAGGTCAAAGGAAGAAGGGAAAGGAAAGACACAAGGATAAAAGAAAAGAGAAGGAAAAGGCAAATACGGCGGAGCAATCATCTGGATCTGACTCCGAGGAGGAACAGAGTCATATTGCATTGGAACATGTACATATTTCCAATAAGACCAAAACAACAATCATCATTGACTCATTTGGGAGAAGAAAACTTCACTCCACTGTACACAGAATTCCTCCGGAGCGATGGGGGAGGAGAATATACTGGCAATCCATTCAAAAATCAACTCCAAGGAGATGGTGTCATCCAAGAAACTACAGCTGCAGATACTCTGGAACTAAATGGCATTGCAAAACGCATGAATCAGACATTGGCTACATTAGCAACCACTATGCTCCATGATTCCAAGCTCCCAAAGTCATTCTGGGTAGGTGCCATGCAAACAGCTGCATATATCACAGCACGCAGCCCAGCCTTGGGACTCCATGGAAAGACCCCATATGAAATACTGTTTAAAAGGAGAGTTGATCCAACTTTGTTTCGCCCTTTCCGATGCCAAGCATATGCATTGATTCCGAAAGACAAAAGGCAAGGGAAGTTTTACTCCAAGGGGCGCAATGCCATAATGATTGGCTACACACTGGCCATCTTCAGAACGGAAACCCAAAGTATAGTCACAGTCAGTGGAAGGACAGCCCCTCAACATACAGCCAGCTGATGTGGAAAAAGTCCGAATACAGCTCGACAGCCTGTCCATTGGATCAGCTTCTGGAAGGCATACAACACCTCCAAGGAGTCATCCAACACCTCCGAGGAGTGATTCAACACCTTCAGGAGTGAGTGGGGCAACAAATACACAAATGTGTCTACTCCCTGGAGTACCTGCATAAGTTCCTAAAAGAGCAGTCATGCCTGCTGAAGTCCTAGGAGTACGCAGAAGCAATCTCCAGACTTGTCCTGCAGATAAAAATTGAGATTATCAAAGGACTCTAGATGAGGAACAGCCTTGAAAAGAGCAGCATGATAACTCCATGGAGAAACCTAACACTCCTGAGGTACATGAAAAAACATCTGATACAGAGGAGACATTCTTTGCTGGAATAGCAAGTACTGGTCCATTTAACACAGACCTTCTAAGGACACTAAAGGAAGCCTTATCACGTCCGGATGGAGAATTATGGAAGTCTGCCTTGGAGGAGGAACTCCTAAGTCTCAATACTAATGCAGTATATGACACTGTTCCACTTTTGAAGGGAGTGAAACCCATCACATCAAAACCTGTGTTCCAGATCAAGTTTGATCAAAACGGAAACATTGAGAGATACAAACTCCGGATTGTTGCATAAGGTTTTACTCAAAGGGAGGGGATTGATTACCAGGAAGTTTTTGCTCTGGTTGCAAACTTAGAGTCAATCTGAATTATTCTAGCCCTGACAGCAAAGTACAACCTAGAACTTGATCAAATGGACACATCCACAGCTTATCTCAATGGAGAACTTGAAGAAGAACTGTACATGCTTCCTCCAGGGGGTGTTCCTATCCAACCTGGATACTGCTGGAGGTTGAAGAAATCCATCTACGGATGATTAAAACAAGCTGGTTGTACATGGAACAAAACCTTTGATCACAAGCTCCAGGAGCTTGGTTTCACAAGACTAAATGCAGAAACATGTCTCTATGTATTCCGGGACAACAAACAAATATGCTTTGTTGTTGTCTATGTAGATGACTCCTCCTAGGAGCTTCATCCAGAAAGTTCATGGATATCACAAAAGCCAAACTTGAATCCATATTCAAAGTGCGGGATCTTGGAGAAGCAAAATACATCCTCAGAATAGAGATCCAACGTGATCGTTCAAACAAAACAATCTCCCTATTGGAACACCAATACATTGACATAGTCCTGGAGCGTACTGGAATGAAGAACTGCAAACCAACATGGACACCAATGGCCCATGGATCAAAACTCCTTGCAAATGCTCCAGGGGAAGATATTGTGCAACACGAGATGCATATTGAAGGGCGTCAAGTGTCATACCTCTCAATTGTAGGCTCCCTGATGTATGCCATGCTTGGAACCCGCCCAGACATTGCCTACATTGTTGGAATACTAAGCAGACATAGCTCAGCTCCAAGGAACCATCACTGGGAAGCTGCAAAATGTGTCCTCAGATATCTGAAAGCAACCAGGGACATGGAACTACGATATGATGGCACAGATGTCTCCATGGACATGGATTTCTATGGATACTCGGATGCAGATTGGTCTGGAGACCCAGATACGTCTTGATCAACATCTGGCTTTGTTTTTATCACCATCCAAGGAGCAATATCCTGGACAAGCAAAAAACAAAGCATGGTAGCTTTATCCTCCACAGAGTCAGAGTACATTGGATTGAGCAATGCTGGACAACACCTTGCATGGCTTGGGATATTTTTTGAAGAAATCAGACATGCTCAAAATGGACCTACAACATTGCACTGTGACAATCAAGCAGCTATTATTCTTACACAAGATCCACAGTTCCGTGCTTGCACAAAACATATTCAACGGAAATATCATTTTATTCAAGATGACTTAGTATCAAAGGGAGAGGCAGTAATCAGATATATTCCTACAGGAGATATGGTTGCTGGCATTCTCACTAAACCCTTCACTCACAAAAAACACTGGAAATTCTCTAAAGCTATGGGACTATGGTTGCACTCGAGTGGGAGTGACAAAACCGGATAAACCATGGTCTCTGCCAAAGCAGCCATTGTTCTCCATGGAGCATAGCCACCACTCCATGGAGTCACCATTGTTCTCCTAGGAGCACAATTGTACTCCTAAGAGTCATTATACTGTAGCGAGTAGCACCTCCGACTATAAGTAGTAGGGGGTTTAGTATAGGAATACCTCAGTTGTTTCTATAGCCTCTCGGGCAGCGGCTGAGTTTCACTTAGATTTATTATTTGTATTATAGATAGACTTCATTGACACAAGGCAGCAAAGGCAAGGGTGCAATCTTTTGTCTCAAGTGGTGGCCAACAGAACCCTGAGCAAGATATTTAAGTATGGAGGATAGACTCAACAAAAGATCCCATCTATACATTTAATAAATATGCCATTTTTGTAAGCTTCTATAAATTGGCATGAAAAAGAATATCCCAGACGCCTTACAATAGCTCACACTGACAATGCACAAAGAGCTTATTCCACAAAGTCTTCAAAATATTCCCAAGTTTGCTAGTGAAGAATCTCTGGATAGTGTCAGGAAGCTAGTTTTATAGTCAACAAAGGTATTTTCTGAAGGATAACAGCCGCATTTACTGAAAAAATGTACACCACATGATGGCATGCACTGGAGTTGGGCTGCGCACAAATACACTTTGAAAGGTTGCCAAAGTACATATAACATGTTCCAAGGTACAACCTGGTTCTGGTTGTTGCTACTGTAGATTGTGATGAGCCTCAATCCAAGCATTCAACATGTAAATTTTGTCATATATGCACTGTTCAGAGTTATTGGTTTTCCATAATCTCTTGATAGGCTTAAATATGAAAACCCATTGCGGACGGATGATTGAAAGTGGACTTCATTATACTTGTTAGTGAGCGATGACAAAAGCTGGAAACTGTAAACCATTTATTCAATGTGTCTTTATCCTAAGTGGGCATTTCTATGCTGATATTGGATTCTTTCCACCCATCAGTAGATGAATTAGATATGTTTGATGCAGTCAAATCCAACAGCTTGTTACCCTGTCTACTATTAAAACCTAGGAGATCCTTGGAGTGAAAGTCTGGGGCAGTCAATGCCTCACTTATAAGGCAATTCACTTCGCGCTTGGACTTGTGTTTGCTCCCAGTGTAACAACCAAGAGTTTGTATACTCTGGCGCGCAACTCAGACAAGCAGTAGTGAAGTGAGTGGGAGTGTTTCTCCCTTAAGATAGGACCAAGTTAGTTGTGGGTAAACAACAGGAGGACTCGCTAAGGAGTCTCCTTGATCTATTGGGGTTTATATACATCACAGACTATTTCTACATGTGTACTATACAGTTGATGAAGGCAGTGGCTGATGATGTCATAGGGCATAGCCTGTGTGAGAGACTTGTAGCTAAGAATAAAGAAAAGCAGTGCAGCGTGAGAAAGTGGATTTTGAACAAAAAATAGAAAGTGCCGCATGGCACAGTGTGTGAAAACCACAAAATAAAGTTAAAGTAGAGAATGAAATTTAAAGGTCCAAAAAAGTGTATTGTAACACCCAGAATGCATCCAATTTATTGGGCGCCACATGGATATATTTTCATAAGGCCACATAGGGGGAAGGATCTGATCTTGAAAAAATGTGTGCACTGATAATTGTGACTCTTGAGTTCCTTATTTACAACTGCGCAGATCATATTGAGAAACATATTTGTCTGGATCATACAATGGGTGATACTTGTACTCTCGTAGAGGGCTAAAATAATTGGTGATGGTTCAAAGTGCTATACCAAGCTTCAGAATGACCTTACAAATAGTGCGAATACCTGTCAAATCCAATGTGTGAATGGGAATGGAGGCCTGGGGCATGTTGTTATTAAATCTCTGAGGTATGTGTGCCATTTGGGGAGTGGTTACAGATGACAATGAGGCGGAAGGTGTTGCCACCACTTTTGCTGTATCTCGAGTGGTAACCATGAGCTAAACTTAAAAGTGGGATTGTCAGTACTGAAGTGAGCAAGAACAAACCTTGTTGTACCAGTTGCATTAATAAACCATGGCTATTGTGTGTCAAAATTTGGAGATAATGTTGGGGGAGAGATTGACTGTCCTAGTCCAGATGTATAGGCTCATCTAAATCCATCATCTGTCCCTGCCCTAGAACCATACTGCCACCCTTGCCAAATGAGTGACATTGATCTCCCATGATGATTTGAATGAAACAAGACACAAAAATGAATGATATATAGTACATACTTGAGTTGAACTTAAAGACAAGCTCCCTTCCTGACCAGCAAGCCCTGGAGACAATTTCTTCTGAGCCAAATTTCTCTTGGTGTTGTATCTGTTGGCACTGTCTTTGGCCCATTCTTGTTGATTATGTAGTGTAATTGCTTGCTCACGGCAATACACATTGCAACTAGACCGGTGATGACTTAAACCACGTTGAGTAGCAAAGAAGCGCTTGCAAGAACCACCACATATGACTGTCATCAGTACAAGGACAATTGATAGAAAGGAAATGATGTTTCTTAACCCTTTCCTGGGCACCTGGCTCATATCTGAAGGTCTGGAAGAACTAAATGCTGAGTTGGCAAACCAAAATCTATACGCTTAATAGGATGTCATGTCAATTAAATGTAAGTGTAAGCCGTGGGATACTTAGCTTTTCACGGAAAGTGTTCCCAGACTTGGAATCTTATATAAACTTTTGGCTCTTGAAATATCAACAACCCAAATTTTGACCTGTCAAGTCATTAGCAAAAGCACATCATAGTTGCTTCAACCATGCTACCCACTTGCCTGATTTTGCTGCTATCAATTCGGTAATTTCCCAGTTTTCCAAACTGTTGGTTCCAAGTAATTGTACAACACTGAAACTTTCCAACTTGTTAAAACTTATATATGCTATGGTATTATCCTTGCAAGTTACATACATGATATTAGAACTTACTAACAATTCACATTGCCATTCAGCTGGAGTGTGGTGACCCCTCTACTGCCGTGTATTATTATTGGGATATTACACAAGCATGCGAGATTGCATGAGCCATTGTAGATACTGTGAGTGTCAAGGAAAAGAAACTGCAAAATGGGAAAGAGGCATTGTAGCTTATGGAGGGGCAGTTTAAAGAGATTCAAGTGAGGCAGAAGAGGCACAATATTACAATGTTGTCAATAAAATGTCTGCCATGCAACATTTGAATTGGCTCACTTAATTCAGTTTCATCTGGGTTGTGATTTTATTTGCCATGTATTTCCCCACTCACACAATAAAGGAGGTTCAGGACAGGGTAGCTTGCTTTTTAAAGCAGGAGCAGCATAACCTTTCTCTTTTGTATCAATTATTAGCCCCCCAACCACTGACAGCATCAACAAGTAGTCATCCATATAACACTGAGCGGCTACCAATGTCTGTGCAAAGCTTGTCACCACTGGGAAAAGGAGGCCAATGTTAAGATGGAAAATTGACATATCAGGTACATAAAGACTAAGGATGTAGCAACCCCCAGTAGCCCTCTCAACAGGGATTTTTTTGTTGGGGTGCACATCCCATATCCACCTTGGGTTGTTTTCTTCACTAACATTTGCGGTGGCATTCTGAGAGACCATGGCCTTCTCAAAAATGTGTTGGATATATTTTGTGGGTTCTTCATGAACAGCAGACAGGTTGGCACTATGACTGAATGTATTCTTCATCAGGAAAAACTCTTTTGCTATATAGTGCTATGTAGCCACCACCTATATATATAAATGCATTCATAGAAACTATAGTACTATCAGCGCAATCATAGCTCTTATAGCTTTTATAGCATAGTAGTAGGCAAAATTTTGACCAAGGTGAGAAGTATCTATATTTCCTCAAATTCTGGATTAATCTAGTAAATTTGTTCAACAATAGAAAGAGGCCAGAAGTGTTTGGAGTCAAGTATATTAATATAGGCAAGGTACTATAAAGTGTTCTTATAGCCTATGACAGCCCACATAGCTCCTATAGCTGTAAAGGTCATAGTTATAATATAGTTCAAGCTGCTTAAAAGGGCTCATAAATCATAAAGCATTAATCAATTATATAGTCTGTATTAGTGAAATAGTGGTGTGTATGTTTGATATTTATAAAAATAAGAATAATGATTTATCCAAATATAAGTGGTGACCATGAGTAAAAAAATAATCTAAGTCCACAAAAGGTCAATATATAACACCTGTATAATACATTTTATAAGCTCTCATGGTGTAGTGGATAAATGTGATGTGTGGCTATAGGTTTCTTAGTCACCTAAAAGCTAACTAGCAGGTTGAGAGTTCAAATCCTGTCTGCATTAATTTTTTTTTATCAGCCACACAATATTTTCCAACATCTATAAGAATATTTATAGAGCTATATGAGGCCCTATAGATGGCAGAGGTTTTATAGCAGGTTTGACCACTATAGCAGCTTTATGAGCACTTATAGTGCTATAGAGCTCTATATAGCTACCCCCATTTTTCCTGATGTTACTTCTCAGCCAAAAAAAAGCTATAGCCCTCCCACCAAGCCTTGTTAGTTTGATGTACTTCCTCTTGTTTGGACACAAGGACATTAAGGCACCCCATCCTATGGGAGACTGATGAGCATCTAATTGTCATCAGGATTGACAATATCTTGTTTTGAGTCCATCGATCTATGCTTGTCAAAAGGTTAGAGTACTTTGCAAGATTGTTTTATGATGAAGAGTCACACATCACCATTAATGGTTCAAGTTGTTCAGGCTATGGCTGAGAGGAACATATCAGTGATCAAGGGAACATCACCAACATATGGGATGGGAAAGTTGCCACAATTCAAAGAATATATTACATCCTCAATGCATCAATTGAAGACTTTGTGCAGCTTTTAATAGCAGAAAGGAAAAGCATGTGAGTATTGATCAAGTGATGAATCACTTCAGGTGCTGATGTGACACACCAGCCAGTACAGTGTCTATCCTCCATTGACGGATGTAGCTGCTGCAATAATACAAACCTCTGTGTGATGAATGAAGAATGCCTTCCATGGGCATGTGAGATGGTCAACTTGGGGAGAAACTTGAATGTACGCCGGGTCCTCAAGAGGGCATTATTTGCGGATAGATGGATTAGGCCTTCTTTGTCCTAGCTGCCTGGATTCTGATGCTGTAGCTAAGCTGCGTGTGGCAGGCATAGCAATGTTGATTGATGCTAGGGAAAAAAATTACTTCAAAATGGCTCAAACAAGTCTTCAAAGCAAGCAACTACTCAGTATGTCCATGTGAGCAAGCCCCATCACACAAAGACAAGAACACTTCACAATGCTATACTGTCAAAGACAGGACTGTTGGAGTGATGTACAATATGGCAAGTTCTGGTTTGTTATGGTATTACTTGATGGATCTGATATGCAGACTACAAACACTCATCAATGCAGAATGGGTAACAGAGAAATATTGCATTATTTGTGCAGCGAGGAACCAATGCCAGTGGACCCTGATTAGAGAACAAATTTGGGAGAATCTTGACTTGGATTTCCACCTTCTATAATACTATAGTAATTCAAATTTTGCTCATAATATAGATGACACTCTTACCATTTTAACTTTGACACTGTCACAAGGACTTCAAGGCTAGTATTAGCAGAGGATAGGGAATAATAGACAAGTAAATAATTAGAGTGGTAAACAAAGTATTAAGATCCTTAGGAGAGAGCGACTGGAAAGCAAAGGTATGTCTGAGACACAATGTACTATGAAAATGATTGCCATGCTGTAGCAAAAAAATAGAACACACCAAGCATAACTGACTTTTGTTATACCCAAAATTGATGAAAAAGCCAGCCCATATAGTTATAAATGCATGTCTTAGATGGGGCATTATTACCTGATAATATTACTATATAGATAGGGCCAGTGGAGTCCAGCGGAGTGTGTCAGCCGGGCCATGTTAGATGTGATATTATTGTGCCCATTATCAACGACCCGGCTGGTTGAGAGGACACTCATCTTAGACAACACGGCTGGGTCACAGAGTGCTCGTTCAAGACAACCCAGCTGGATCAGAGTCTGCTCATCAAAGGCCTGTCTGTCATCTTTTTAAGCATTGTTTTCTATTTGAAGTTGGATATGCAAATATTTCATAACTTACATTATAGATTCATGGACATGTTTAGACAACATGTTTCTGGAATGCTGTATTATATAATGTACTTGTTCAATTGAGAACTTCTGGGAAGTGTCTAGCCACTTGCTGAGAGCTAACAGGGACAGAACTAGATTCCAGTATGAGTAACTATATTATCAGAGAGTACAGAATGTGTACAGTACCTAGATTCCAGTATGAGTAACTAAAGAATAGGAATACTGGACTCTGCAATATTAGTCCAAAGTTTTGTAAACAAAGGTAAACAAATCAGCCACAAAGGCGAAATTATAGAATGCTCAGTGAATACTGAACAATAGAGCAAAAAGAATAAAGAGGGAAGTGATTTAGAAAGAAGGGAAAATAGATAGCACAACTAGGTGCAGAATCACCAAAACTAACAGACAGAACTATTATAAATGTGATTAGAACTCACCTAGCTTTGTACATATTCTGTGAAAAATCTTGTATGCTCTTACCACCACTATTATAGGCTCTGAGAGCACACTCAACCTAGTGGATAAGTAAGTAAATATTCAAGAGTAGGAAGAAGAAGTTATATCACAGAGGCAACCAGTGCGAGTAAAGGCAGAAGAATACCTTTGAAAGTATGTGCATACTTAACCCCTTCACATTTTCTTCCAAACCATTAATTCCTTATGAGGTCCTTGAAAATAGGGTTTGAGAACAGTCTTTGCTTGTTATAGGTTCTTCCCTGATACCCATAAGTTGTAATACAATGAAAAAAAAAAGTAGCTCTCACTTTGCTATCAAGGTCCCCATCAATAAACGCACATGTATCAATCAATCACTGAACAGCAAGTTTGATTTCTTCAGGAGACATATCCCCTGGGTTACCATATGCACTATTGATCATGAGTCTGGCCTTGGCTACAACCTCTCCCCATATTTGGGGCCCAGCAGACCATACCTAAAAATTCAAGCAAGAGTTAAAACTAAATCACAGCAATGAAAGAATACACTCACATAATCCATCATAAAGATTTTAAATGCTTTATTGACTTCAACCTCCCTTAATTTGGATTCAAAGCTGTTGCTAATCTTGGAGCTTTCGGTGACTATTTGCCATGAGATGTCAGAGTGTATATTAGAAGCAGGGAATCCTTCATTTATTGCAATATGAAGACACATTTGAGTATGGGCTTCTATAGCTAGCTGTGCCAAAAAAGGAGGGAAAAGAGCTAGTGTAAGTTTGCACTTCCTAGTCATAGCAGAAGATAAAGATACACTAGCTATTGCTGTGCTTGATGTGTGACTGGAAGGTTGAATAGAAGGAGCTGCAGATGGCAAGCAAGATGTTGTGCTAGTGCTTTCACCAATATTACCAGCTTGTTGGGCATCCTATATACATATGAAGATATTAACCTTTATTGAGAGTAGATAAATATACTCACTTTTCTGCCTTGCATTATTGCCATCCTCCTCCTCTATACTCGTTATATAACAGAAAACTTTGATATACAAGATAAATGAATTGCACCTTCTTGTTCACTATCCCCTCTAACAGTGTTCCTAAGCTCTTCTGTATCTGTATTGTCATCCCCACCCCCACCCTCACCCCCACCTATAGGCCTCCAGGATCTAGGTTGAGTTGAAGGTGGAGTCTGGACCATGTTACTATCATTTTCTTCATCCTGGTCATCCACTACCTCATCAGGAAAAACCTAGTTTCCTTTTATAGCTATCATAGCTGTCATAGTGCTATATAGGGGAAATAGTAGCTATAGTACGCCTAGACAAGTCCCTATTATATAGCTCTATCACAACACAATAGGATCCGCACCCGTGTACAGTGGTTCTGGACTTTTTGGGCATGCAACCAATCAGTATACTTTCCAAGTACGCCTTGGTAGCTTAGTTGGTAAAGCATCAGACCATGAAAGCTGGAGTCCCAGGTTGAAGCCCTGGCCAATGCATGTTTTCTCATACTATAAACAAATGTCATAATTTGTCAAGCTCTATATAGCAGGGCTATTTTGAGATGTTTGCTATATCAGCTGTAGTATCACAAAAGTGATATATACAATCCATCTCTACTATGGCTGCTCTCATAGAATATAATAGATATAACAACTATCAATGGTTATTTCAGAATGGTCATATTATATATGTTCCACAAGCTTATCATAGTTTTCAAATTCTCTCAGTTTTGTTCACTATTATTATGGTTTCCATACTCTCTCAGTTTCACTCTAACCTGGACAGATAATATAAATATCTGATAAACACTTGTGAGTAAAGGTTGACGTAGAGTGGATTTTGAATTTACCTGGGCCTGTAGACCTGTTTAGAGAAATTCAAGGTGGTGCGAATACCTTTTGCAAGCTCATGAAGATAGTTTTCGACCTGTGAAATATGGAGTGAGGAAAATTCATGTATATTACATTACAAACCCACAGCTGTAACAGTCAAGGCAATTAATGGCAAAGGTGAGTCTTTGAAATCACTTGGATAGAGGACTCCCTCCCCTTTTTTATGAAACCACTGAATCTGAAGTAGTAGCTTGATGATGTGATGTTCAAAAGGTTTTTGCTTATCATCAGAATAAGTCTGAAATACATAGTCATAAAATGTTTAAGAAGAGTACATATGAACACTTACAGAAACATCTAAACCACCAAACGTAAAAACACCTTTTCCATTACTCAACAACCACTCCACTATAGTATGTACTTCCTCTGGGAGCTTGTCTTTGAGGGCGTATTCTGAGAGAATGAGTATCCTAGCCTTTTTTTTGACTTCACCTCTAAGCTGAGCTGCAGCCGTCCACACCTGTTTAAAATTTTGATATTAGTTCTCACTCACATAATCAATGATTTTACTTTTTTTCTGCTCGTTCCTTGCATTCTCCAAATCTACTACGGTAGTTTTGAATAGTGAAGAAGAACTTGCAACTTTGATAATTGCATTCTAAACAAATTCATCTCGTTTATCAGTACCTGGGAAGCCTTTCACAGTAAAAAGAATGACACACATTTGAGAATGTCCTGCTTTAGCTAGCCTGGAGCTGGTAGGGCTAAAGCTAGTGATGACGGCCTGTGTAGACTATAAGCCTCATAACTTTAAACTTATTGCACACTTACCTTGGAATCTCTGAAAGGCGTTAATGAAGGAAAACTACTGCTATTCCTTTTACGCTTATTGTTAACCAACTGGACACTTTTAGCTGGTGATGCAGTAATCTGTATCTGTATATGTGGATTAGTGAACTAGAAAAAAAAGGTAAAACTCACATTGGTACGCAATGATAAGACCATTTTTTTGTAGTAAGGATTGTCCAACTTCTGGGTCAATGAAGGTGAGGGAGTAACTTGCTGTGAGCTTTCTGATGATGATGCTGCATTAGTACAGCTTATAGCTAAGGTTGAGTTACTTGCCTGTCAAGTGTCTAAAGATCTGCATCAGAGCATCTTCATCTTCATCTTCTAGTTCCTCTTCCATGCTATTCCTGGCCCTTTTATGAAGAGGTTCATCTTCACTATCAACATCAGGCCTATCCAAGTCTCCTTCTTCCTCATCATCCTCAGCCTCCACCATGTGAGCTGCTTTCTGACGAATATCTGGGAAATGTACTATGTAATGGACATGATACATAACACATATTAAATGACTCACCTGCTAGCTTGTCAGTATTTGCATCCTTTCCAGATGCTTGCAACTTCTTCATCAGTTGGCTGTATAAGATTTCTTCTGTTAGTTTTGGTGATTCTGCACCTTTGTGCTACCTATATATTTTCATTCCTTTCTCTATCTATTCTTCTATCATTCACTATTGATTGTGTTCTCTATTATTTCGCCTTTGTGGCTGCTTTGTTTACCTTTGTTTACAAAACTTCGGACAGTACTGCAGAGTCCAATGCTTCCTATTCTCTAGTTACTCACATTGGACTCTAGGTACTGTATACCTGTCATACTCTCTAATAATATAGTTACTCACATTGGACTCTAGTTCCAGTCCCTGATTGCTCTCAGCAAGTGGCTAAACACTTCCTTCAAGCTTTGTTCTCAATATCTTCATCTTGTGTAAGCCCATCAGAAGAGTTTGATGTCTCTTGAGCCCTGGAATGTTTAGTTAAAGGCTTCTTGGACTTACTCCCCTGAGTTTTGTTCTGTCCAGATCTTGTCCTAGCAGCCATCACCAAAATAGTAGACAGAGACAGAGGTAAAAGATATAGAAAATGAGGAATTAGCAAACAGTGGAACATTTCATCCCTCACACCTTTCAACTTTCTTCTCAAAAGTGATACAACAAACAAATATACACTAGTACAATTAGTGACAAACTCTGGATTAAACAATTGGTAAATGTCTAAGAGTATCAAGGTCAAAAAAACAAAATGCAGTACAAAGTCCATGGTTATCAATGTAAAGAAGAATGTCCAGCCTATCCATTTTGCCCATTTCTCCAATTATCCATTTATTTGTCAGTTTGCAAGACAATTGAGCCCCTCTGCCCTCTGAAGTGCAAGTTAAAATGAGTTATATCACATGAGCAAAAGAGCACAATATCCCCCTTTCTCATCTGCAACACCAGGCCAGGCTCAACAAGGCAAAGCTCTCCCCCTTCATGCTTACCCAGTGGTATGACTAGACAAAAGAGTTTGTCCTTGGCATCCCTGTGAGCCTTGGTTGAAACATTGATATTGACCACAAGACCTAAGAATGGGCAGGCAGCAGAGGCATTGTTTCCAGGGAGTAACTCAGCATGTTGTCTGAGTACCAAATATTTGGCAGGTAGATAAGTAGCAAACTACATCAATGGTATCAGCATATTATCCTGTACATAATCAGAAACAATGTCACTCACCATTTCATTTATCCATTCAAAGAGATCAGCAAATACAGTTTTAAGTCTCTGGTAAATGTCAGTGTGGTCTTGAATCTCCTTGGACGTATAGGGGACAAGCTGCAAATAATTTGTTCTTGAGGCATACTTTCTCTTCATCATCAAAGGGGGAATATCATTGGGTGCGTCATTTGCCTTCATTGATTCAGCATAGTTTGTAAATGGAAAAAAAAAAGAACTCACTTTTGTACAATGGCGGTTGTACCAAGAGAAATGTAGAGCTTCAAATGTGAAGCCTTCACCTTCAACAGCTGAGTCTACATGATGTAAAGATATGGTGGAGCCTAGGCAGGACTGGAAGTTAGGCAGGAGAGTAGTGCAGATTGATTCTGGCATAGAGCTGTTTAAAAATAACATGAGCAAATCATCGCTGTTTTTCAAGAGAAGAGGGATGGAGGGAACTATTGAGGATGGTATATACAAGTATGCTGAGGGGTCTGTACGAACACCCCCATCATAATGTTTCTGTATCTAAGAACAAGTATTTAGCATTGATATTGCATACACTACATGACATACCTTGGCTGTCAGGTCCTCTACATTTGTGACCTTGATGGCTCAACTTGCCCTTTCTCTTTCTGTTTTGGTCCACTCGTAGTTATCGCCAGGATCCCGCGGTGCAGAGTATTGGCGATTGCCTTCAGCCATATTCTGGAATGTTGTGCTAACCACATACATTTCAGGGAGGACAACTGGTGGTAATGATGGTGATGGTGGTTGAGAACAAGGCAGGATATCGTCAAGATTGGATAAGGGAGTCAGAAAGTGTACTAAAGATGTTGTACCTACACCTAAGATAGCCTGACCATGACGATGTATGGGTACATGAGCTATGTCTATAGTGTGCATACAGACTCCCCAACAATCTAGACGACGATCTAAGAGTTGGAAAGTACTACAAAAAACCAAAAAAAATCAGAAACTGTTAGAATCAAATGATTGTAACGTACTTGAATCAGATAGCCTTAAAATTTTGATCAGAAGCCTCAAAATTTGTGCAATCAATATTGGCAGGAAGGCCATAATAACTGAGCACGTCAGGTGCGAACATGCAGTTTATGTTCAGTGGCAGGTTTTGGCGTAAGCTAGAAATAGTTGGGATGATTCTACTAATCACCAGCTGTCCACTCACAGTAGCTGCATAACATTGTTTAGTTAGCATACACGCAGTAAGAAGTAGTACACTTACATCCAACTGGCCACCTAAAGACATTGGCTATCTCCCATGGTGTTGTTCCATCTATTTCACCAAGTTGAACCCATAAGTTCAAGCCTGCAACCAAAATAAGGGCATAGATAGATCCTACATAGATCTGTAAGTATGGTTTAATGCGGACAAAGGTAATCTTACCACCGGCTGCTATGGCTGCAAACTTGCAGCCCATAGCATGCCATTGCTCAAACTGTTTCTTAGACGGCTTAGGCTGAGGGAGATCCCTCCAAAGGTTTGCCAGGGAGATACCTTGCTGAGAGCGAAGACTAGCATACAAACATAAACATCAGAAAGAAATGATAATTATTTGTAACAATTTTCACTTACCTTTGGGACTTGGCAACGAGCTGGATGTAGTTGATCATCAGCAAAAAGATGACACCTATGTCTTTACTGGTCATGCGCCAACAGTGCGCCACAACAGAAGCCAAAGACTTGTCCAGGTAGTCATTGGTGGACGTAACAGAGGTCAACAGGGAGTCGACAGAGTACGCCCACTCTCCTGAGTTGAACATTGAGGAGTCTTCATGTGCAGCCGCAAGTCCTGCTATGAAAGTGTTGACAGCCGAGTTGATCCTAATAGCAGGGTCATTGACTGCTTGCCACAGAGATTGCTGGACAACAACTCTACCCCTTGGACAAGGCCGTTGACGTGCAGGAGCTGGAGCAGGGGCAGGAGCAGGTTGTTGACATGCAGGAGATGGAGATCGACAAGATCAACGTGCAAGAGTAGGAGTAGGAGCTGCAGCAGCATACGGGTGTTGACATGGTTGGCGTCTTTGTGAGCGTATCACCGCCAGAGATTGTTGCAGAGATTGATTGGTCTGCAATTCAGACTCATCAGCTTGAGTTTGCTGTGGAGAAAAAATAGTCAGTAACATTGGCATTAGGAGGGGAGAGCCAACATACCTCTTCACCAAAGCGGGCTGGGGATAATGTTGTTAGGCCTTGATGCATGGTGACAGAAGGTGAGCTGTCAGAGAGTGACAATGGAACCATTGAGGATGGAGCCACTTTGTCTAGCAGTGCAGAGAGGTCAGCAGGAGTGAGCATGCTTAGGATACCCACCAGTTGGGCGTGAAAATCCATCAGCTCTGTTGGCAGTGGTTGCTGACCCAGTATCCGAGCGAGAATCTTGACCTGTAGTGCCGGAATAGTAAATCTGTACATCTTCAGTATACTACAAAGACTGTGGGAAAATGTATGGCAGCCTGACCTTGGTTACACAACGATATGATAAGGTGTTGCAATGCTGATAACGTCAAATCAGCAATCTGCTGGACCGTGCAAGAATGGACAGTCAGACTGTCCATTCTCACATGGTCCATGGTCCAGTATTGTACCAGAAAAGATAAGATTAAATGAGCCATGCGAGAATGGACAGTCAGACTGTCCATTCTCACACGGTCCAGTATTGTACCTGCAAAGATAAGATTAGATGAGCTGTGCGAGAATGGACGGTCAGACTGTCCATTCTCGCATGGTCCAGTATTGTTGTTCCAGCAAAGATAAGATTAGATCACCCAATGAGCCGTGAGAGAATGGATGGTCAGACTGTCCATTCTCTCACAGCTCATTGGGTATTCATTATTGCAATTATATGCGGTGAGTGCGGATACTGAGGTGGAATGAACAGAGACTTACTATTTTTCTCATAGTGATTATTGGCTTTTCGCAATAGCAACCTGTTGATTCCATGCAGTGTGAGAAAAGAGATCAGCTGTTGTCCCCTTTCTCACACTGCATGGAACAATGCGACTGCACACGTCCAACTGTGGATGTGGGTGGCCCTCCGCTTATCATCTTTTGAATCATTCTCTTCTTTGCCCGCCCGCTTACACCTACATATTGGTGCAAATATTTAGATTTGAAGTGAGTTTCCTGGGTTTTTTTAAACTACTTACTTGGTTGGCCGAGTACTGAGACATATTTCAGCAGAACATCCCATTCTCAGTCTGCAAAAACGCACCTGTCCCCCATGTACACAATATCCTCCACTTCCACTGGAAATAGTGCTACCTACTGGTATACCCCCCCCTATTACTTGGTCAAAGTCCTCTCCTGGACCAGAGGGTAAGTCAGTTATTTAATTTCAAAAAATTACCTGATGGCAATGCACAGCTACTCAACAACAATCTTTTGCCACTCCCCCGAGTAATCTATCAACATCCACTCTTTCAATATCCACCCATACTGCACCAATCACTACATCTGAGGATCAAGTCCAGCCCATCATTGAGCAAATTGTTATGCACTTGAAGTATAATTCTCAGGACGTATATATCCAGGTGAGAAATTATTGTCTGGCTACATTCCTGATCTGATTTTTCCCCCTAGCAATTCTATATTGAACCATCAAGTTTCTCTGAGTTTGTGGACAAGCTCAGAGAAAGTAACTACAGCACTCTAAGGTACATGAAGTTTTCATGGAGCGCCTCAGTGAACTTTTACAGGGGAAACTGTCAGGCCTTATCAGATGGTCAGATGGGAAGTTCAAGTTGAGTTCTAATACATCCAAGTTCCTCTGGCAAAGTCAAATCACCACTGTACCCAACTTAGCCCTCAAGTTCCAAAGCCTCAACCCTAGCACTGAGTGGCAGGACTTGTTCATTGTCGAGGTCTCCCACTCCCAATCACTTGGGGATGTCACACCATATTTTTGTTTCATTTGGGGCATGAGGACAGTTGAAGAAGTGTTGACCATTGGACAACATATATATTGTTCCCTTAAACTGTACTCCCAAAAAGAGTATGGCCTGCTTTGACTCCGACGGCTCCCCAGCATCATGTGGCTGAAAAGTCGGAAAAACCAATATTTTCTGAAAATTGAATTCCCATGTGAGCTCTAAACTATACAATCCTCAGGGCTTAAATCATAAATAGTGAGCTCAAAAAAGGAAACATATAAGATAGGGCTCATGCAAACGCAACCACTATGTGGTGCTGTGACATTTGCGTGACAGTTAAGTGATCCAGGAGGATAAGTGTGTGCTAAGTACATTGAGCATGGGAGTAGGTACAATCTACGAAGAAAAATACTATTAGGATATAACGAGTTGTAAAAAGAACAATTCAGCTGGCAGGATTTAATCAAATTTCAGGAAAATAGTCACACAAGGAATTATGTCACATGTGACATGTTCATCATTGGACTGCAGCTTTGATTGTGAATCAAAGCTGCAGTTCAAGGATGAAAACAGTCTGAAAGATAATTAGAAATAATTTCAAAAAGATGCTGTGGATAAGGGTTGAATATAAGGAAGATATGAGTTGGAATTATTTCATAATAAATGCTTAGGATCAATGATATTGCAATTTAGAGTGCACCCTTGCATAATTTTATAAATATTATCTACAAAATATTCTCTTTATGTTGCCTGCCTTGAGCATGATCATTTTGTCAATATTTTCTATATAATATATAAGATAGTAGCACAATGATTTTACTAAAAATTCCAGACTTAAAGCTGTGAGGACAGGCAAATGATATTAGGGATTATATTTTAAAATTTTGCTTCATATTTTGCTTAGATATACTTAGTATATTTTTACATAAAAATCACTGTAAGATCATACTGCAAGTCTAGCTATTATAAGTCGATCCCCACAGTGTGTAAGCATCCATAAAGTGCAGTGATTGAGTAGCTAACCTGCATGAACGTAGATTAGAAAAGCTGTAATTTACTGTTCTTGTGACACCGCAAATTTATGACTTATTGGCGCATTGTGCACAGTGGGACAGCATCAAGCGCAGCAATGTCATTGTGCTCTAAATCGGCCTCGGAATTTGATGGTGGGAATTGACGGTAGGTGCATTTTGTGTGACCCCAGCATTGCTTGATAAAATTAAGCTTGCAGTGGAACTTGGGGAGAAATACGACCTGGAATCCTCGTGCCCTGCAAGTTTCCTCGAGAAGGGACTCAACCTCCGCAAAATCAAGCTCGTTATAGAGCATACAGTGCAAGCAGCAATGTAGGGTGTCTGTGGGGCACTTAAAGCCTGGACATTTGGCACAAATCCCATCAATGTCCTTGTACCCGCGCTCCTCAAGAAGGTCTACCATCCCTCAAAAGGTGCCTTCCTGTGGATCTCCTGGCGGGAAGTACAGTGACTGTGGTGAGCAGTCTGCAAGCCGAGCATCTGCCATTTGTACTTTCTCCTTCATGACCTTACCGTTTGTTCTGTAGACCGGTTGCCCGCTTTTGTTAACAACATTCCTCTGAACACCAACAAATGGTCTCCCAGGTTTTGTTGGGTATTTTGACATCTTGCAGGCAGAAAGAGCATTGTCTGCTTGTTTGAGGTGAGTGGGTGCATTGTTGAAGACAAGGATATGAGTTTCAGTGGGATACCAATTTTCAAGAAGATCCATTGCTTGATATGTGTGGCAGAGAACATCTTCATTCAAAAAATATCCCTGGCGGTTCTTGCCAGCTTTGAACAATATGTGTGTGCATTGTTTGGTGTTGGGGGATGTCATCCAGCTGTAATCCGCAGAAATGAAGCTGGCAACCATGATTAATACACCTTCTCCTTTCTGGCGTGGAACTGCCTTCTTGGTAAAGTGAACCCAATAAAATTTACAGCGGTCATTTGCGTAGAATGTCGACTCATTGTGCCACCATACTACGACACTCTTGGCTGCCGGATCCCACCAATCCCTTGCCTCCTCAATAACATCCTTCTAAAACCTCATGTTCTATTCCAGTTTGGCAATTGTGGGCAAGAAGCAGGTCTACCAGTGCGTCACAACATCTTCACGTTTATGCCCATCAGTGTATTGACCCAATGGTGCTTTTGTCCAGTGGAAATCCATCATATGCATCCACCTGCGGGCGGTTGCCAGTGAGATTGATTTCTTGAGTCTGTACTGTGATATAATGTCCTCTCTGTCCAGAAAGCGGACAATATCCTGTGCACTGGCATATTTGCCGATTGTTTGAAGATGTGCGTGATTTTCCTTTGCAAGCTCGCCTTTATCAAGCAAGGACACATACACATTCATTGGGAGGTCTTCCCGATCTGTAATGAACAACCTTGCCCATTTACAAACATGTTTGGTGGTGTCCATGCTTGTTTGGAATGAGTGTGCCATTTTCTCGGATGCTGCAGTCCAGGTTGTGGACTGTGACTCGTCTGTGTAAATCCACAGGCACATTTTGACCATCTGAAGCTGCTTTTGGAGGAGCTCATCTCCTTCAAAAGGATTGTGACCAATCCCGGATTTCCACTTTGGGTGCAAAATCTAAGTAGCATCTGCCAGTGCAGCCTTTGCATCAGAAGTTGTGGGTGGTGGTGTGAATGATTGTTTAAATTTGGTGTGTTTGTCATGGATGCCATCATTCCCATCATTCTTATCATCTGATTCTTCCCTGGAGTCTGCATTTGTTCCCTTCTCTCCTTTGAACAAAGCATCCTCATCATCCACTTCCTCCACTGTAAGGGCCCATGGTTGATGCTGCTTTGGAGGAGATGGACTAGCAGGAGGGAGGGATGGTGCATCCTCGTCTTCGACCTCTTGTAATTTGGGTGACCAGGCTTGTTGGCTCGTCTGTACCACAGGCACAGCATTGGTGTTTCCACGCAGGTTTAAAGGTGCTATAGTGTGCGTCATGGACAAGTGTGCCACACGACATTGATGGTACCCCATCCTTCCCAGAAGATGACCAGGTCGGTGAAGTATTTTCTGCAAAAGTCTTTGCTACTCAAGCCAAGATTTTCTTCAGTGACCAGCAGGGAATCTGTTTACTGTTTTCAACTGCAGTCTTTTCTCGTGTGTTTCATCATTGCTTACATTTTCTTTTCCTCCCCCTTTATCACCAAAATTGTCAACTTTGAGCTTCTTGTTGGCATGGCCCTTGAGATTGGAAATGCGTGAAACTGTTGAACACTTTTTCGTCATCCCAGTAGGCTGGAGGTAACTATTTCACTCTTCAGTTTATCCCTTAGAATGTTTGTCATTCATCATGACTCATCACAAATAATTCATTGCTGGGGGTGCAGTAGACTAGCACAGATACAAGAAATCAAGAACCTGAGGAATTTTGGGAATGATGATCCTTATAATCCTCAGGTTTTAGATTTCACAATTTTTTGTTGTTCTAATTTCTACACTATTTTCAGGCAGTTTACCCCCGCCAAACAGGTGTAAGTGTGACAAGATAGCTCACGTGATAGCAGTCGTATTTGCATGAGTCCTATCTTATAGGTACAGCATCACCCTCCGGGCACCCCTGGCACCAACAACAATATTGAAGTGGGCATGTGAGCTCAAATCAAAGTGACATGAATTGCATTGACAACATTCAGTCGTCTGCTAAGGCACTAACATCACATGATCACCTGTGACTTTCTTGTATATATCTAATGGCACGCACAAAATCTTATTTTTGTCTTAAAAAACTGCACAGAAAGTTTTGCAGCTTGATTCCGCCCATCTCTGTCCCAGCCGATTGTCAGAAATATGCGACGTGCAGTTGCCATTAAGAAAATGGAGTCGGACACAGTGTCACAACAAGCATGGATTTGAGTGGGTCACAGGTTGTCACAGATCACGTGGTGCGTGAGCCCTACCTTATGCAAGTATTGGCGTGCGAAACATACAGTCATAAAGAAATACTCGGTGCGAACAACCGGTGCCATTTCCAGTGTCGAATTGTGAATGTGAGACCTGGTAACTACCAGGAATATCCAAAAAGAGAATAATGCAAAATTAGTCATACACTTTTTTAATTTACCCCATTTTGCAGAGCAATCGACAGAGTGATGGTCGTTTGCTACTACCCACAGAACCCTCCTCAACTAACATTTAGAGTCGGGGATGTCTGTTCTCGTATCGCCTTCAACATCTCGGGGACAAGTAATTCTTCAGCCCTCGTACTTCACTTCGTCGCTCTATGTACATGCAGTTCGCGATGATATAGCCACTCTTAGCCATCTATTTGCAGACCAATATGTGAGGATACAACCTATGCGACCTTTCGGACTGTTCAAGGACATTTGGAACAGACAAGGATGGACCTGGCTGCATTTCAAGGTATTTGACGCACGGTCTCACGAATCTTTTCTGTCAATCACAATGAGGCTATTTTCTGGTGGGTCGCATAATGTTTTTGTAATTGCCATCATAACATTTGACTACAGAACGCTTGATAGAAACTGAAGCATCGATGAGCAGAGTTGTAGCTCTGTTTGGTCTGTACACATTTTTCTCTACTCAACCATCCTCTTTGCCCTCTTTGCAATCAATGGCTCATCTCCCTATCTCAACCGGTGCGTAGGCTTAATTATCATATTACGGGCCGCATCCAACTTAAGCTCCCAGATCTTTACGAGTCTCTTTTAACGTTACCCGACGTCCTCGACACACAGCATCTGCTACCACTTCAACCACATGTGATCTGTGTGCTTTCATTACTTGTGAAGTCCGATCTTTTCTATATTCTTCCGACATCCGTATGCTTCCCACTTAAACATAGAGCATTGCCGCGAGAGATATTTTTACAAGATGGCAACGAATGTATTCCAGGCGCTGATCCTTTTATACGACGGCTTGGTCAACATTCGGCATTAGATGGAGGGCCCAAAAAAAGAGGGCGGCCAACGAGACGCGAGAAGCTCAAGAAGGCGAAAGATGCTGTAACAACTTTAGATAAATGGTTAGACAGGAGCAGCTATACATATCAGCCTCCTCATCTGCCTGATTCAGAAATATCAAAGCCAGTGATGACACATATTTTGTTATCACATCCCCCGACGACGACGCGCAACCACTATCGCACGCAGAAATCACAGTTGCTGGATTCGCTCGACTCTCATGGATTAACAGAGCAAACGTTGGGACAGATAGCCTTGGAGCGGGCAAATACTGCTGTGCTTTTACGGTTGCGAAAGATTGATGAACAAGCGGCTGAAATGGGGATGGAGGTTGGAGGGGAAGGGGGAGAGAGGACTGGCTTGGCGAGGGTAGAAAGGGTGGTAGGAGAACTGCAAAAAAGCAATATGGTGGACCGACGAGGTGGGATACTAGGACTTCTGGAAGGCAGTGGCATTGAACAGAGCACAGTCAAGGTACAGTGTGGGACCGGCATTTGAGCCAATCGGCCATAGCACAGTCTTATGGAAAGCGAAATTAATCAGCTCGTAAATAAATTTAGACACCAAGTATAAACAACTTTTGTCACAGCTAATTGCAGAACGTTAGACATGTCAGCATAGAAATCGCATACAGGTGGACTTGAAAAAATAGAAATCCCCGAAAGATCAGGAGACTGTATCATCTCAAGTCTAGCTGTGGCGCCTCGTGGCTTCCTGTGGTGGGCAGGCTCTGAGATTAGTCTTTTGAGTCTAAAATCATTTACTCCCCGCTCATTCCGCTTCAACTCCGAGTGCACATTTTTCACACCAAGATCTCTAACAATCTGCAATTAGCTGTAATGAAAAAGCCTGAAAGTAGTTAGAATATTTGATTGTATTTTTGGGCCTATAAGATTTTGTCAGAATAATGTAATGTTGTTGACATATTTTTATATTTCCACACAAAACATAGTATCAATGGAAATATGTCAACAAAAATACATTTTTCTGACAAAATTTTGTAGGTCCAAAATTCAATCCAATATTTTAACTACTTTCAGACTTTTTCATCAATTTTGAGTGTGACAAAATTGAGTTATGCTTGGTGTGAGAATGGGAATCCAGCGACTGCCATGCCTGGTTGCTTACCGCTTTAGGGCCGATTCCCACCTTGTGTAGTGCAGAGCATCAAGTGTTACAATAACACAATTTTCAGACCTTTAAATTTCATTCTCCTCTTCAACTTTCTTTTTCATTTTTGCACCCTGTGCCATGCGGCACTTTCCATTATTGTTCAAACTCCACTTCTCGTGCTGCACTGCCTTTTCTATTTTTGGATACAAGCTTCTCACGCAGTGGAGCTGGTCACACGGGCTGTGCCCCATGACATCATCAGCCACTGCCTCCATCAACTGTACAGTACACATGTACAAACAAACTGTAGTAGTATATATACCCCAATAGACCAAGGAGACTCCTCAGCGAGTCCTGTTGTTTACCCACAACTAACTCAGTCCTATCTAAAGGGTAACCACTCCCATGCACTACCTTTGTAGCTTTGTCTGAGTTATGTGCCAGAGTATCAAAACTTTGGCTGTAACATTAAGCTTGCTCTTTCAGCTTTCAACCACCGCAGTTGTTCAATCTCCCATCCATGTAAGTCCATCGCTTCTGTTCAACCACACTAAAGTAACCATTAGGATCATTAATTCATCAATTTTTTTTCCATTATGGAGTGACCTGATTTTGAGGATGTGCTGGATGCTACATCGGGAAAAACCATTTTGCTATATAGCCAAGCATGTTTCTATGGCTTCTATGACAACTAATGTATGATTATAATAATCAAGTTTTTTCTATAATAAATAGCATAGCTGCTATGGTAGCTATAGCAGCTATAGTAGCTATAATAGCTTGTTTCTATCTTTGGGAATTTCATTCTGATTATGATGAAAACACCATTATTACTCACTAAATGGTTTGGCATGTGTGTTAGCCTGATTATTTATATAATGGAAGTCTATTACATATGTTCTAAATATTGTCTATACATTTCAGCAACCAGGCATTGCTATGATAGATGCTATATATGCTATAGCAGCTATAGAAGCTATAATAGCTTGTTAATTTCTATGAGACATTTTTCTGGTGCTAATGAGAATGCTCCTATTATTCATACCATGGTTTGGTATGTAGGTAAATTGTTTTATTTAAAAAATGTATCACAAATATCCAAAAAATTCAATTGTACAGGTGCTAGAGAAGACTATTGATATTGCATCAAAGTTGAATTATACCAGAGCGGATTTTCCAGCAGTTGATTTTGAACACTATAATCGAGTCTTTTGAGCATGATCTCAGCTGCCTCACATGGTAAAGACTCCCTTAGCATTTGCAAGAGTGAATATATCTGTAGATATCGGTAGAAATTTAGACTGAGAAAAAAAAAAAACTTACGAGCCAACTTGACTAGCACATACAGTGAAACTCACTGGGGAACATTGCCTTCAGCTCTCTGTTTGCATGATTGTTTGCCTTGAATGATTTGAGGACCTCATTGAGACACTCAAATAGAAATGTCCAGAAGTTGTGTAAAGGGCCAAAGCTTTGAGCATGGTTATCAACCTGAGTTGCATAATGATAATTTGGCTTGATACAGCTGGACCTGTATAGTGAAAATAGAATAAAATATATATTAATAGCTATAGTAGCTATGTTACTAAAAAGGATTAGACATACCATGATAAGCTCTGTACAATACTCTCTAATCAGTGATTTAGCCTTCTTGATAGCCTCATCTGTTGTGACAACACCAACAAAATATTACGTTGAGGCACTGGAGCACAACTACAGAAACAACAACTCAAGGAATAATAGTACAACTCATCAAGAGAGGGAGATTGTCTTCACTAATGTTGGTAGACTATGGTCATGTAATCAGTTATGTGACTTTTTAAAATGAAAAGTAAAAGTATAGTAAAGAGTAAAGCATAAAATAGGTACTGGGTTGCCTATTGTAACATCTGTCAGAATATTCTTGACTAGGATTTGAAGAGCACTTGGGAGCTTGAGGAAATTAGCTGGATTGTCCGGGTGAAGTGAAAACTTAGCATCAGTATCTGTTACGATACACAATTTTTGGACCTTTAAATTTCATTCTCCTCTCTAACTTTCTTCTGTAGTTTTCACACAGTGTGCCATGCGGCACTTTCTATTTTTGTTCAAACTCCACCTTCTCGTACTGTACTGCCTTTTTTCACTCTCAGCTACAAAACATTTTACGCAGTGGAGCTGGTCACATGGGCTGCGCCCTATGATATCATCAGCCACTGCCCCCATCAACTGTATAGTACACATATACAAACAACCTATAGCAGTATAAATACCCAATAGATCCAGGAAACTCCTCAGCGAGTCCTCCTGTTGTTTACCCACAACTAACTTGGTCCCATCCTAAGGGTAACCACTCCCCTCACTTTTTTATAGCTTTGTCTGAGTTGTGCGCCAGAGTAACAAACTCTTGGTTGTTACAGTGTCATCTTCCATATTCTTTGAGTCATGTTTTCATCAGGTAGAAAAGTGTTGCCAGTGGGGATGGTATCTAAGGATTCTTGATCTGTTACCATAGGATCATCAGTTGATGCTTGTTTGCATTTCCATTTTGCAGCCTGTATATGATCTGGAGGTGAGAAAAATTCAGAGGTGAGAAAAATATTGAGAAGTGAAACAACTTGCTCATTTTCATGTAGCCTCTCAAGCCTTGGCTGCTTTTTTATCTGCAGCAATCCTCGGTTTGTCTGCTTTCTTTGTTGCAGTTGCTCTCAGCTTCTCCATTTTTTTTAGCTTTTTCTTCCTCATTTTTTCCTGCTGCAATGCACACTTTCTCTGCTGCTAAGGCCTTGTGCTTTAGCTTTCTTGTGCATGTTAAAGAAGCAATAATGGGAGCAGCAGTATACAAGAACTCACCAAAATTCAAGTACTCCATGCTCATTTGCCACACCAAAATTCCTTTGCCATTAAGGCTCAGCAGTTTATCAAGTCTTATGTCATTGTATTCTGAGTCTGTTGTGGACTCAAGAGGGGATATTGAAGGGGGGGATTAGACAGGTGGCTGATGTGGATAAAAGGGAACCTACATTGGAACTAGAGCTCTGGGGTCAACCTAACATTCTAGAGATGTTTGGGGATTTACAGGAAATTCTGTCAACCCAAAGCACAGGTCCTGATATTGACAATAGTTTATTTGCAGAAGCATGCCATCCTAGTTAGTGATAGAGCAGACAAAAATACCTGTGATAGAGTGCCACTCAATTGGCCAGTTGGGACAGTATTTAAAACATACTCATGGACACAACATAAATTTGGAGCAAACAGCCTGTGGTATCACTTTGTGCAGTTGATCAGGATAGAAGAACATTTAGGATTTGTTTGAATAAATGTGTATATAAACAAGCATGCTTGTGCAGCCTGTGAAGGGTGCACAGACTACAAACTCATGTCAAAAATTTGAAGAACATGCTCATGTTGTCCTCCCACATACCCCATATAGATTCCTCACTCACTATCAACTTTGTGATTTGTTTAAAACTTACAACAACTAACTTAGCACATTTCATTAAAAGGTAAATTTATTTTAGTCACTTTATACAACTCACTGCCTATCTTTTTATGAACAAGACTTGAATCACAACCGCAAACTGAGCATGATGGTGTGGCAACATGATGGTGTGGCACTTAGATGACTGCAAACACTTCATTATGGCACTTGCAGAGAAAGATGTCTCACGGTTGTAGCAGTTAATATAGACAGCATTGCATCAAGACACAAGTATCAGAAGGATTATAACAAGGGTTGAACTTGCAGCAGAGAACCTTTATAGAGCGCAAGGATTTACACAATTGGACAATGATTTGATGCTGCTCATTCTTGCATTGTGGTGTTATAAGCTTGCATATACAATGAATCAATCCCTTGGACTCCTATCACACTCATTAGCCATGCACTGGTCCAAATATTGCCATTTGATCCCCAGTATTTTGTCAATCAAAGCATCAGATAATCAATGCCAGATTTTTTGGCCAGCTCATACCTCAACCAAAATGTGGACGCAGCCTGCAGATGATGAGATTGCCACCAATAAAATTGCCAACTATGACAAGACACGAAATACAGGTGGAGGACTCTGTTATAACCATACATCCTCAGTGGATCTGAAGACAGTTGACTTCAAATCACATGTATCCATATATGGAGTAGTACATGGTGATCACCCTGTTTTCCACTATGGCATCAAACCCTTACATGATACTGACACATAAGCTAAAACCCCTTTTCACTTACACCTTCATTAGCTGTACTTTGTATTGGAAACACACCAACTCATTTATGTTCAATAAACTATATGGCAACACCCAAGTTATGATCAAGAATATTGTTTTTACAGTTGCACACCAACAAATATTGGATAATAGCCAGCCTGTTTATAGGGTGATAATTGGTTAGTGGGCCTATTTTGCCA